TAATTAAGCAATTAACATAAAAAGAAGAGAGAGGGAGAAAGATTTGTGGTTTTGGAATTCAAATGGAAAATGGAAAAAAACAGGAGAAAACAGACAAATATGAAGATGGAATATAAAAAGCAAACAAAAAGAAGAATTTGAAATCTTATCTGCGGAAGGAATGATGGATCACTTGGCGAAAAATGCTGTAGAATGGCTGATCAAAGAAAAGAAAAGAAAGAAGCGGGTAAAGGCTTGAAAGTGTGAAGGAAAAACAGCCTGCTTCCCCCAACTAAGTAACGAAGCCTGCTTGCTACAGTAGTTGTTGATGACGGACGATCATCCATATTCTTATTGTGGATTTATTTTTTAAAAACTCCAGAGAAAACAATTAGGCAAACTACCAAGAGAAGTATGATAATAATAATAATTTTCTATACTGAAGGCTTGAAAGGAGGACTGGATTTTTCTGCCTTTGTAATTATTATACCTACCACCAAACCATAATAAAGGAAGTGACTTGACATCTTCATCATTTGCTTGTCCAACGGGCCTACTCTGTAAGGTATGCTTTTTTAAAATTAATTCCTATTTAAATGCTGTTTTCAATTTTCTTTCTTTTCTTTCTTTTTTTTTTTTTTTTTTTTTTTGTTCTGACGTGAAATATAATTCTTTTTTCTTCTCCTATATTGATTTTTTGGCATCATCCTATAAAAAATATTGAGCAAAAAATTCATTCTCTTGAAAAATTGAATTGACATATTGTAAAAAAGACTGTTAAATTGGAGCAGGGATGCAATTTATTTTATGTTATTCTCTATTTTTAATCATTTAAGTAAAATACGTAATATTATTTTTTAATTGTACTGGGAAAAGAAAATTACTTCCAAAAATTTGATTAATTCTTGAGAATTGATAGTAAAAATAAAAGAAAGGTGGTCCCAAAATTAACGTTCATTTGACGATTTAACAAATGAAGGTGAATGATACTTTACCCTTGTATAAACGTTACAAACTATTCCAAAACTAAGATGACATTTTGAGTCATTTCCATGCAGCATTACAAATAATATATTATATTGTAATTTAATTTCAAGAATCGAAAAAATATATATATAAAGTTCTTCAATTTTTTATATATAATTTTTTGAAAAAAGTACTTAACCGCTTTTATCCAAATTTCACATGACATTATACAAGATTGGGGTGAGAGAACAGGAGTTTTGCGCACTAATTACAAATAGCAATTAGGTGGATAAAGCTAGTATATCAGTCTACTTTCCATAAGAAGCTTCCAGAATTCATGATAAAAAAAAAAAATAATAATTAACAATTGATGGCAGTTAATGTAATAATTTACGGGGGTGGAAGGGTAAAATAGTCAAGAGAATTTATTGGTTTGATTCTTCTAGCCGTAGGTAGCCTAGGGTTGTACGGAAGCAGAGCTGGCCGCTCTTTTGAAGCTAGAGAGAGGAGGAGTCTCAAAGACTTTGCTTGACTTTATGAGACCCCAAAATCAAAATTTGGAGATTATTCGATTCAATTGCCCTCCTTGGTTTAAGCTTTGCACTTAAGTCAAGATGTCTGACCTTCCAAAACTGCCCTCAACTGTGATTCTCTTTTATTTTTAAAATCTTTTTTAAAATATCTTTCATTATCAGAGGAAATTACAATTATTAATGTGGTGAAAAAATTTTTTAGTTGGTGGATAAAATAGCGTCATTCAGACTGAATCATTTTATTTATCGATTTTAGCTATGCAGAATCATCACTAACATAAACCGTATAGTGTGAACAGTAGTATACAGTAAATCAGTCACCAATTAATTAAGTAATAGTATAATCGAATTATAACTTTATGTATGAACATAACTGTACACGTAAATATACTATATAGAATAGTACATATATTCATGATAGTACTATACGTAATAGTGCTGAGGCTTATAGTGACGGCTCCAGCAAGGATAGCAACCAGTAACGCCAAGAGTAACTATCACTTTCAACCGCGGAGTACTATATTACCATTCATCACTAAAGTCGATTCAGATGCAACGGTCTTTCCGGAGCGGATAACACCAATGGAACCATCGTAATTTTCTCTTCGTCGTGGTATATTTATTTTCAAAATAATCCACGGATCTAGTACCGCTATCTAATCGGCTGGATCTACCGACCTTCGGCTCTGATACCACTGTTGGGAATCAGTTCTGATACCAGTGTCTAGGATCAAATTTCTGATACCACTGTGTTGGGCCTTTTCAAGAATGTAAGAGATAATTACACAGCGGAAAATAGAAATGGGACACACAGAAATTTTACGTGGTTCACCCTCAATTGTTTTAGGGCTACGTCCACGGGACAAAACTCCGAATAATTATTCTACTATTAAAAAACAGTTCACCCTCAATTGTTTAGGCATACGGGTCCACGGGACAAACTTGCCGAATAATTAATTCCATATTAAAAAATAGAAGTAGTTACACAAAAAGAGTAACATAAAAATAGTGGCACATAAGTGTTTCCAAAAGAACACCCCATTAATAATTCCTCACTAATTTTCTCTCACCTAGGGAAACTCTTCCTAAAAACTAGAAACTCTCATTGCCTACATTTTCTTTTTTTCTACTTGTGTTGCAGGTGGCCTTATTTATAGAAGATATGAGAGACGCATAATTATCGTGTTTACTGCCTAACATCTCACTGCCCTGTGCAAGCAATTCAAAGCCATCACGGTTTGAACTGTGCTGCTCCTTATTTTTCTTACTTGCACACGTGTGGGTCCCATTTAAGTGGGCACAACCCACAACCACAGAACAAGGTACTCCGGCCACTGAAGGTCTGTAAATCCCAAGCAAAAAGTCAAGAAACACAGAGATGTAAGTATTCCAGGTATCTAATTGTTTTTACCGAAAGACAATAGGCAACAAATTTGAATCTGCCAATAAGAGCAGGAAGAGGGATGGCTTAATTTACATAAACTACCAGAAATAAATTTTATTAAAAAAGAAAAAAAAAAAACAAATTACAATCAACTACTTAATAAAACACTGTTAGTAAAGATCGATACAGACCCATCGCAAAGAACTCTATGGCATAGGGAGTTTAGATCCTTTCCTGACTGTTACAGAACCCGATTATTGAATCACCACAAAATAAAGCCTGAGGGAAGGAAACTACTTTACATTTAAATTCTAAAAGTCACGTGAAGTTATTTAAAATAAGATGCATGTCTTTGTCCTGAATTAACAGAAGAGGCTACAGTAGGTTGTGATGTACGATCTACATCACAACATTCTTTTCAGATTTTACTTGATCATCATGCATTAAACTGGTTAAAATAACAATTATGATTCAGCAGTTGAACTTAGAGGCTAATCTGCTTGTTTACACAACAAAATGTAATTTTACCTTATTATTATCATTCGATTATAATACAGGAAGAAAAAAAAAACATTGACCTCAATACAAAACAAAAAAAAAAAAAAAATGTAAACAAAACTCAAAGTTGTGATTGATTATAGCTATGGGCTACAATGCACATGTCATTTTGCATTGAAGACACTAATAAATGCAGCGAGGCCAAATTGTTCACAGGACCAGTATTAGGGTATTCATCTCACTGCTGAAATTGATGGATCTAAAACTGTGGTTTTCAATAATTGATGATTTGATTTGCTTTCGTAAAATTTAAAAACTTGAGCTTTTAGTTTGGTTATATGGTTTTGAAAACCATCCAATCCAATCGAACCATTATATATATAAACTTTTAACTTCCAATCCAATTTGCTCTTTGAAATATCAAAAATCTTTTCGTATAATTTATCTTCAGAATTTGAAAGCAATGTAATTATTTTGTTTAATTATATTGTAATTTTTAAAATTATTTTTTCTTTTTTAAGTCTAAACTTTTAAATTATTTTTATTAATTAAAAATATTTATAAAAATATTTAGAAAATAATTTTTTTTTTTAAAATAAGCTTTTTCTTTTTTTTTTTTTTTTTGTTTTTTTTTTTTTTTTTTGTGTAAGTTCAAGAGATAAATTATATAAAAAACTAATTTTTAAGTAAATTATAGTTTGCTAAGTGGAATAAACAAATTGAGCCTTATTCCCAAGATAAATTCCACGAAAGACAATTGTCCTTTTTTAAAAGGGAATTTTCTTTTTTTTTTTTTACTTTTCTGCTCACAATTTATAGTTTTAAATATTTAAATTATGGAATAGAATAGTTCGTAGATGGTAACGTTGCAAGTCGTGAACCTAAAAAAAATTTTGGGGAAGACAAGACCAATCATAACATGAGAAGCTAGAAAGGCCATCGCCCTACTCCAAAGAGAGATGTACCACTTGCAAAAAAATAAAAAATAAAAAATAAAAAATAAAAAGGTCGAACGCATAGTATTATCTCTGAAGTTTATGCGATTTGTGACACCCTCTCAAGTTTGCGGAAGACCTATTATAATCTTACACCTTCATATTTCAGTAATAATTATACTCCTTACCAAAATAAAATGTAAAAATGCAGAATTATAATTGAATTCTTACAAAGTTATTTTATTTTGAGTAGAGACATAATTATTATTAAAAAGTGAAAGTCTAAGTTCATGATAGGTTCCCTTGCAAAATTGAGGGTGCCACAAGGCAAATCCACCTAAACTTTAAAAGTAAATTTATGCATTAGTCCAAAAGAAAAACATAAATGAAGTATACATGCTGACCTTTAAATCAACCCTTCCTCCATTTAAAACCTCATCGAATCTATAAAAGAAAAATAATAATATACACGCTTAAGCATTAAGCAAAATCTCCCAATGTTCTTCTTACAGAATAAGTAATGTCTCTGCACTAAAATAGCCATCAAACTTCACTCTGCAAGGTGAAGGCCATATGCTATGCTGCTTATATTTTTGCCTATTCCATCAGCAAATATGCTATGCTGCTTATATTTTTGCCTATTCCATCAGCAAATAAAATATAAGCTTCACAGCATTCTCTACATGCATGTTTGGTAATATATAATGGAGCGCAATGGAATAGTTTATTATTTTATTATCTTTTTATCATATTGAATTACATTCCATTATGTTCTATTATAATATATTGAACATGCAGTATGGGTTCAAGCTCCAATCAAGGGAAAAGCTATAGAAACTACCCAGTTAATGCTTGATCACAACTATCTCAGCGAGACTTTGATTTTTTACTCAAACATGATGGTCTTGTTGACAGCGGAAATATTACCTCACAAAGATTGTGAAAGAATCCCTTATCATACACGTTTCTCTTAACTAAAACCTCAGCATCTTTGAGGGGTGATCTCCGGCAAAAGGCAAAAGCCTCTACATTTGCTCTCTGAATGCTTTGTTTTGTCACCAATCTCACTGATGCTTGCTTTTAGTGCCGCGGCACTAACCCTTGCTTCATTTACCTTCTTTTGCCAGACAAGGTACTCTTGCCACTTGAAGGTCTGTAAATCCCAACCAAAAAGTCAAAGAACACAGAGATGTAAGTTTCAGGGATTAATTGTTTACCAAAAGAAGTAAGGCAACAATTTGAATCTGCCAATAGAGTGAGGGAGAGGCATGGCTTTAATTACCATAAACTACCAGAAATAATTTGATTAAAAAAAGAAAAAAAAAACACAAAGTACATCAACTACTTTAATAAACATCACATGTAGATCGATAAGCCATCAACAAGAACTCTCATGGGAAGTTTGAATCTTAACTGACATTGCAGAACCGATTTATTGAACTCACCACAAATAAGCCTGAGGAAGGAACTACTTTAATACTTCTCAAAGTCACGTGAAGTTAATTTAAGAATTAAGATGCATGTTTTTGTTCCTGAAAATTAACCAGAAGAGGCAAAACCAGAAGAGGCAAACATGTATAGCACTGCAGTTGTGGTAGTTATTCATTGTTCAACAACACAGTTGATTCCATTTTCGACCCATAAAAAAGATATGGAATCAGGGATAGTATGTGCTTCTCCCATTTTATAAATTATTCTGCCTATGTCCTTGCTTCATCTATTTCCAAGAGAAAAGATAAAACTAGTTGAACAAATTACAGAGAAACTAGACCAGACCTCATTAATCGTGGTATTCATGCGACACAGGTTGGCATGGTGCCCAAAGAATCCTGCTAATAAGAGAGAAACTATGGCAAGAAACACCATAAGAAGTATTTGTGTGTTATATGAGCCCAACAGCCACTGCAAACAGAAAATAACAATTAATGAAAACATAAATAGAAAAGTGCAATAAATTGCCAGAGAAGAATGGTAAGAATTCATCATGTCTACCTGTACAACATGTGGAGCTAGACTACTAAATGAATTTTCAAAGCCATAGTAAACTGCAAATAAGGAAAAGTTAGACATTACATTCACAAGCATAACTGCCATCAACTAGAAGATAACTAAAGTTAATTTTACTAGTCAAAATATATACAACCCTTAATTCTTTCAATCTTCCTGCAAGAACCAACCCAAGGGCAATTGTCCCATATATACAAAGAAGACAATGCCTGCACTAGGACAGAAATGGATACATAAAACTGAAAAAACAGAAAGCCAAAAAATGCACCTTATAGTGGTGAATATCAAACATATTTGCAAAGGAATAACTGGATATGTGAAATGGCGAAAGCACTGAAACTGCTAAGTCAAATCTAGCTTAACATAAATACAGAACTTTAATTTTGGCTTATCTATTAAATATCAGCTGTATAATATCAGTGTACAAAAAGGATTGATACCTTCATACATAAAAAAGTTACATCTTCCCCAAAGTTACATCTTCCAAAAAGATAATTCCACTTTTAATTTTGAGCTAATAAATCATGTGTAACTTACAATAAAAGAAATGCCAAAAAGTATCGGGTATTTTTCTCCCCTATACAATTTCATAGGGTACATGGAACAAGATAATGCCAATAAAGATTCAGGCAATTCTGCTGAAGCACAAGCTACATCAGTATCACCTGAAAAAAACAATGAGGAAGCTAAGAATCCTGTGGAAACCTCCACCGAATCACCATCAAGTGCAATGCAAAATAAGGAATCTGGGAATCCTGGTGAAACACCAATTAAACCAGAATCATCCAAAAAAATAAACCCCAAATCATTGAGGGCCAAATCTGAAGTTAAGAAGAAATCATTGAAGGTCAAGAAAGCTAAAGATAATCCACGAACTTGGGGAAGAAACAGAAAGAAGAAGAATAACAATGTTGTCCAAGAGAACAAGGAAGGTGACAGGCAAGAGCACAAGAATGATCAGAACCCAAATTCTGAGAAATCTGAGAAAAAGGGACAAAATAAAGGTGCACATGAAGAGCACAATGCAAAACACCAAAAGAGACTGAAAGAGCCAAGGAAAGGGTTTGCTGGTTCAAGTCGGAGCGGAAGTAACCTAAGGAGCGAAGGAAAAGCCTGGCAAGTAAAACAGATAAGAGCCTCGAGGAGTCAAAAAAACAAAGGAAAACCTTGATGTGAAGGAAGGTAACAGACAGGAGCACAAAGAATGACAAACCCAATTCTAGGGAAGAGAAACTTAAAAAGAAAGGTTGGCCCATGAAGAGCACAAATGCAAAGCACCTGAGACTCAAAGAGCCAAGAAAGGATTGCTGGTTTCAAGTTAGGAACGGGAGTAATTAAGCAGATGAAGGAAAGCCCTGGAATACAGATAAGAACTCGAGGAGTCAAAAAGAAAACCAAGGAAGCTTGATTGAAGGAAAAGAGTCAAAGAGATGAAGAAAGGAGAAGCTCGGTGGTTTTGATCTTTAATGTGTAGTTGGGCAAAGACCAAGCCAGATTGTTTCCGATTATCAAGTCCATGGGAGTAACAGGAAAGTAAAAAAGACCTTTGTGCTGGGGTGTGAAACCTGGACTAAAGGTTTTTCCTCTATGAATTTTGATTCTTAGACTTATGTATGGATTTAATAAAGCTCATCTTCTGGTGGGATGAAGACTGGAGCCCAAGGCTTTGTGGGTCCTTCCCAGTTCAGGTATGTTTTAGTATATCCAGTCTAAATTTATCTCGGTATACATTGGTTGTTTTCTTCACCCAATTTAGTTAGATCTGTAGACTGATATCTTTTGAAGTTCCAGGTACGTTTCAGTATCCAATAAGGATTGTTTTCCACTCCCTGAGAGTGTCTTCAAGAGGGCTATAAAGGACCAAACTACGATGAGAAGAACAAGTTCAAAGATAGAACTTACTGTTTTCGAGCGAAGTGGAGAATTAACTTGTTTAACCTGGTAGTTTTATGTTATTCTCTATTTGTCACAGTTTATCATTCATGATTTTATCAAAATTTCGCCCTTTCAGTGTTTTAGAAGCATCATTGTAATCTTTTTCGCGAATCTGCCATAATTTCAGTCAGTGCAGTCAGCTACAGTGCCTATCCATCCCCAGCAAAAGGCACTATGCGAGATAAGGGAAGCTGGTGAGGGGCAAGAGAGATTTGCGACGTCTTTCAGATCCGGAGGAAACATTTGCCAGAGTTAGTGGTGATGGTAGGAGTTATCCTGTAGTCCCTCATGAAAGGGATCAGGGTATTGGGCGCCAGGAGGTGGTATTAAGACATAAAGAGGAAACTTCTCGCGATTTATACATGAGTGAAAAGGATTATCGTACTTATGGTCTTCAAAGAGAGCGAAGAAACGTGACTCCTCTACGTGGTGCTCCTTCTAATACCCTAGATCTTACGTGGTGCTCCTTCTAATACCCTAGATCTATACCAGAAGGATCTGGAAAGAGAGCAGCTTCTTAGACAGCCAGCTGCTATGTATGGTGATACTGTTCCCATGCATAGAGCATCCATTCTTGCTGATCCCCTGTACTTGGCTCAAAGAGAGTTTCAGACATATAATCTTAGTGGTAGAAGTGAATTGCCACCTGCAGCTCCTTCAGTTTCTGCAGCAGCATCTGGTTCTGCTATTACTGCGTTAGACTCGTATACAAGGGATCCATATTATTCTTATCAACTCGGTGCTTCTGCGAGCTCATATGTGCTGCCCCCAAGGCGCGAAGAAGTTTCTTCAGCTTCCTATTATTCTGATAGTCTGAAAGAGACTTATTTAACTGAAGCTGATCCTCTACATAGGAGAGAGACTGATCAAATGGATAAATTGTACTTAAAGTATGCTATTGATCCACTACCAGATTATAGGAAGACATACCAAGGAGCCAAACCAGAAATCGCACCACCGCCTTGTGGGTACCGAATATATATATATGGCATAACCCAAGAGGGGGTGAATTGGGTTTTCTAAAAACTGAAATAAATTTTAGAAATTCTAAATAAGAATTAGAATTCTAAGCACAGCGTTTTAGAAATTCTAGTAAGAATTAAGAATTATCTGAAAGCCACAGCGAAAAACACACCAGACTTTGTAAGATATGAGAATATGGATTAGAATATCCTCCACAATGTTTCCTAATATAAAAAGGATAGAAAGTCTGTGCGAAAGTGCAGCTATTGATTAGAACAGCTTCTCACTGACTTTTAACAGACTATCAAAACTTCTTTATGAAGGGAATGTTATTAGAAATTGAAACTTTCTCATAAAGTTTTGAGAAATCATATAAAGCTTATAGTGAAGGACAGTTATTAATTCAGAACTTATTCACAAAGCCTTAATCAATTAATCAGAAATAGACTTTATGATGCGAGAGCTATCAAAAGATGAGGAACAATCCTCATATAAGTTAAGAAGCATTTAAAGTTTAGAACATTAAATAGAAACTCAATCAGTGAAATATACTGTGAATAGAACAACAGTTAGAACATGGTATATTCACTGTATTAGAATACCAGAGTTTTAAGGTTCAGAATAGATATAATTTATTACCATTTTAGAACATCTGAATTAATAACAATATTAGCGTTTCTTAATGAAAATCAAATAGAAGTGTTATAAAGATAGTATCAAGCAAACTTCAAAAATAAAGAGATCAACACAGAGAATTATAGTGGTTCGGCACTAACTCGCCTACATCCACTCTCCAAGACGCATCTTGAGATCCGCAACTAAGTTATCTCTTTTAAAGGGTAAGAGACAAACCAACAAGAGACAAACCAACCAGTAACAAGGCAATAAATCACAACCGTAGATCTACCCTTTTTGTCCCCTAGATTTTCCATAAGGTTCTAAGTTAAACCTCAGCCCTTTTCTGTTTTGGTGGCAGAGTACAGAACACTCGATTCAAGACATTTACTATCCCAACATGAAGAAGGTCCGCTTGATAAACCTCTATCTCAATAGCTTCTAACTAAGTTATTTAGCAACACAAAAGTTTAACAAAATAAAGGGCATGTTCTACTATATGATTACACAATGCTAAATAGACAGAAAGAAACGCCTATATAAGCACAGGAAAACAATTTTACAATTTTATCAGATTAGAAGATCGATTAGAACATAGAATCATTTTTCAAAAGAAAATGTAAAAAATCTTTTCACTTTAAATATGAAAACGTTAAGTGTAGAGATGAAAAGAAAATGGGGGTAGAGAGTAAGTTTTGAGAGATAAAGATTCGTTTAATGAGAGAGTACTCTTAAAACAAAACTCTTACTTCACCAAATGTTTTAAGGCGTGAGTGTTCCTATATATAGGAAACAAAGGAGCTGTCACTTTTGGAAAGAGATCAGAATATCTTCTTTCCTTATTTTAGAAGATGTGAAAATCTTTGTTACCATAAATTATTTTATCCCTTTTTGGTAAGAGAATAAAACCCGATTTTTCTTTTAGAAAAGATTTTTGATAACGTTTATTTTGGAAGGATATTTTTGCGGAAGGATACTCTTTGTGGGTCCCGTTTATATATGGCACAACCCAAGAGGGGGGTGAATTGGGTTTTCTAAAAATTTAGCTTTCAAAAATAAAAATCAGAATTCTATTGAAATCAGAATTCTATCTGCAGCGGAAATTAAAAGAAGGCATTCTGTGAGAGCATAGTTATCAAGTTAGAATTCCTCAAAAGCGCCTTTATTGGCACGATTCTAGAAAGACTCGTGGAAGAACAAATTATTGCATTTAGAACTACGGCCTCACAAAGCTAAACAATTTTGAATAACTCTGTGATGATAGTTATTGGCATTTTAAAACTAACTTCATCAAAGCATAAACAAGTTTAGAAAGACTCTGTGAAGAACAGCTATTGTGATTAGAACCCAGCTTTCACGAAAAGTTTTAAGTCAAGATTAGAAAAACTGATTAATAATTTCATATTGTGAATTATCTGAATATAAGAAGGACAGAATTAGAACTTGGTATAATCACAATACAGATCCAGAGTTCTAATGTTCCAACAGAGATAAAAGCTTATTCACCGATTAGAATCAGAACTCATGTAATAACATCGGCAAAATTTCTAAACAAATTAACAAGTTGGCGTACAATAGACTATAATAAGGCAGACTTCAGAAAAGGTAAAAGGAAGATAAACACAGAGAATTTATACGTGGTTCGATATCTAACTCGCCTACATCCAGTTCCCCCAAGACGCATCTTGAAGATCAATCCACTATGTTATCTCTTTTCAAGGGTAAAGAGACAAACCAACATACAAGGAAGATAGACTCAAGCACCTAGATCTAACCGTTTATGCCACTTAGATTTTTTCATTTTCCAAAGCTAGTTAACCTCAACCCTTTCTGATTTTGCAGAGATCAGAAACTCAAATCAAGACATTAGAATCTCACACAAGGAGAAGGTCGTTTGATAACCTATAACACCATAGCTTTTCACCTAAGCTATTACACAAAAGTTTTTCAAATAAAGAGTCTGTTTACAACAGATTACAAAATCTATATAGACAGAGAGAAATGCAAATATAAGCACAGAAGAACAGAAAACGAATTTAGAAAACAGATTTAAATATCAGAACTGTTCTTCAGAAAATGTTGTTAATAAATTTTCTTTTCTCTTAAAAATTTTAATTTTTTTTTCTCATTAAAAATTTTTCTTGAAGAAAAGAGAAAAGAAATAGGGGATGAAAGAGAAGCTTAAGAGAGAATTTTAAAAACTTTGAAACAATGGACTCATACTCTTTTGCAAAACCCGTCTTTTTAAAAGAAGGAAATGGTTTTTATATGAAAAGATGAATATTCTCTTTGGAAGTTAACATTGAGATCATTTGCTTTAATGAAGCAATAAAGATCGATTTTTTTTAAACTAACGAAGGCAATTGCATGGGTTGGGCAATTTAAAAGGGCTGTTTTGAACCATATTTTTAAATATTCACACATGGGCAAGGTTTGAAGATGAAAGGTCAGTTTAGAAAACAGTGTCATTTAATATCAGAGAAACCAGATAAGCTGTATAAATAGTTTTTAAGAAAACAGTGTAACATTTATATCAGAAACAGCCAAGCTGTAATCCAAGAAACAGATAGCCCTGTATTAAAATCAGAAAACTGTTTTTTTAGATCAGAAAATACTTTTGCAGAATTTCATTTAATAGCTACCAAAGAATATTTACCTCGCAAAAGGATATTTTAGATGGAAAAACGTGAAGAAAGTAAAAGATTTTTGGCTATATCGCTCGTAATTAAATTTATTCAAATAACATTTCAAAACAATTTTTGAGAGATATAAAATAAGATTTTGTGCTTTATAATATCCATTTACTCTCTCTATCCTACAATAATTTTCCTAGACTTATATAATAACTAACCAATAGAAATATCTTCATTAATCTTCATGTTCAAATAAAAATCTTGGGATGTAGGAACTTCAATTTCTTCAATAATTTTTTTCAAACAAATAATTCTAACATAAAATAATATTAGCACATACAAGAATATTAAATTTATTTGTTTTGTATAATCATACAAATTCAAGTAATTGACCCTTGAGCAACACTCTTGGCTTAAAAACCGAAAGAGATTCCCCTTTCGTTTTTAAGGTAATGAAAAATAATTTAAGTAACTTTAGATCTATCAAAATAATATTTCCGAAAAGAGTAAATGATTGGTATTACCAAAAACAATTAGAGAAGAAATCTCTTTAGTTTTTAGGGAAACAAATCTTTCGATTTATAAGGAATATTTCGAAAATAAATTATTTTTGAAGAAAACTATTTTTCCGAAAAAATATTTTTTTGAGAGAAGAAAAAAAATTTTTTTTTTTTTTGTGCTCATAATTATGGATTTCTCTCCTATCCTACAAAGTTCCTAAAAATACTAGTACTAGGTCTTCGAATCTTCAACACTCAATGTAAGACCGTTGCCTTGATGAGTTTTTTTCATAGAAAATTCTACATAAAATAAAATTAGCACAAATAATATAATTTAAATTTATTTGTTTTGTATTAATCATCAAAATCCAAGATTTGACCCTTGAGCCAACACGCCTGTTTCATCTCAGTACTCATTTGCAGGGCCGTCTATGTCCTATCGCTAACTTCTTGTTAAATCTATTTACCTTTTCTGTTTAATTCCCCATTAGAGCGCGCAAGTTAAAAATCAGTAGAGGACAATTTGTTTCCTAATACTTGCACTATCATCAGTGCTTGGTGCTTTATTATTGTACCTTCTTCCATGCATTGTATCAGTAATTGTCAGCCTAACAAAATAGTTGTCAGCCTAACAAAATAGTTGCAGGCAAGTATGGGGAGGTTTAATATTTGAAGGAAATGCCTGCAGCATCAGAGTTGTTAAAAAATGTGGAGATGGTTTCATTTTTGCACATCCAGATTACTGCTTATGTACTGGAAACCACGACTTAGACATGTTTCTGTTTATAACTTCGTATCCACTCAAATCTCGAAATTTTCAGGTATAGAATTGGATTGTATTCATTATTTTATATATAGTAATCCGAGTATTTTAAGGGTTTAAAGTTCAGAAGCTGAATTTTAAATATATATTAATATTAATATGTCAAGAAAGAATTTACTAAATTTGAATTCATTTAAATTAATCGGGTTTAATTTGATTTTATTTAAGTTTTTAATGAACAAATTTAATAATCGTTAACTTCAAGTCGTTGGCAACATTTTTTAAATTTTTTAAAACCGAGGTCAAGTAAGCAATTAAAACTCACTTGAGCTATAGCAAAGTTCGTATACTTAAAACGGGCTTGTGAAAACTGAGGCCCATGGATTGTGAACACATGACTAGTCCGAGGGCCTAGTGTTTGGATTTGAATTGAACCTGAAGGAGATCAAAGTTTGGGCTGAATATTTTTCTGGTATTGTAGAAAGAGGGATGTTTTGCCATGGAGAATCTCGTGTATAGATTTATTTAAAACAAATTTAAGTTAATGCAATTGTGTGAAAAATTTCTAGTATAATTACAAATATTAAGATGAATATCAGAATCCTTTTAATAAATACAAATATAGAGAACAAATATAGAGAGAGCTTCACAGCAGCAACAACATGGAAATAAAATGATCCTCCACCATTTCATAAATCAATAGAGTACACCATTTGCCTCTACTGCCTCGTATCACAACGAAAATCGACTTTCTACGCCTTCAGCACTCGATAGATGGCGATTGATCTTCCTCTGCATTCTGGCGACCATGCAATATATGCAGCAGAGGCAATAAAGTCAGATAATGCTTGAGGAATGGTTTTCCTTTTTTGGTCTTTTAATGAATTGTGTGATTTCTTGAACTAGTAACGCAGGCACTTACCTACCTATTCATTAAAGGAAATGAATATTTAATTCAGAAAACATACCATTTCTGTAAACAACTGTTGTATGGTGGCGTTAAGATTGCCATTCCAACGTCCTTCATCTTAGATTGCCATTCCAACGTCCTTCATCTTCTAGTTCTTCTGTCACTCTTAAAGTTTGTAGCTTTGGCGTGCTTAAGACTCCATTTGAGAAAACCTGCATCTTGGGGCACTGCTCAACAATTACTAGTGTCAAAGAGGGAAACTTGAAGCTGTGCTCTGCTGCACAAAAGCTAACAAGGCTGGGTAAAGAAATCAGTTCCAGACTTCTTCATTTGTTGAAGATGATCTCCTCTCTTCATCCATCATTTCCTTCGCTGGCAACTAATCCATCATTTCCTTCGCTGGCAACTATTTCTATCAGCATATCGCATTCCCTTACACTCAATCTTGTAAGCTGAACAAGACTTTTTGCTGTTGAGGATGTCATCAAACTTGCTAATACTTTGCAAGATTTTACATACATAGTTGTCAGATTCTGGAAAGAAGCTGAGGATGGTGCTAAAGTAATCGAACTGTCACACCCCGAAACATCTAGAATTTCTCGAGACTGAAGAACTTTGTCTAGCTGGGAGTCTTGGTTCCAAATATGTTCTAAATTGGCAAGACCATCCAACTCTAAGTGCCGTATCTTCTCCACAATCTTAACATAGTTTTCTTTACCTACATGTCCTTCATGTGGGAACAACTCTTTGAATTGACTGCATCCTACAAGAAGTTTTTCCGTGCTGTGGAATCTTTCAAGGAGATCAAATGGAAAAAACTGCAGATTCATCGTGATAGCAATTTATCTGAATGACTTTCAGCATGTGAAAGAGGTGTTCTGGAAACTGGCCTCCTTGCAAATATCGATGTGCAATCCTTTCTTGTTAGCGATAAATGCTCCAAGTTGTTGATGATCTTGGAAAAAAAAGAACAAATTGAAATAGTTTTGCAGAACATGTAAGAAAAAAACTCGTTTGCTTAGATTTTCTTTAATATAGGGATTGAGGACCAAGGTACCGTCTCTAAATGAAGAAAAGCGGGTTCCCATTTGTGTTCTTGCCAAGTTGAATGTCAACATGTTCAAAGGTGTTCTCCATTTGTGTTTCTTGCAAGTTGCTGTCAACTGGTTCAAAGGTTAAAGTCTCCAATTTGTCACAATGAAAGACAACCAACTTTTCTAAAACTGGACATTCTAGTGTGTGAGATCCAGGATAGAAACAATTTAGCTCATTTAATCTCCACAAGTCCAAGGACTTGAGTTGAGGAAATGCAAACTTAGGATTTGTTTCCGCTCCTTCCTCCTTTGTAACAAGTTCTTTCAAGCCACAATCATCTAAGTAAAGTATTTTATGTTGGAGAAGATTTTTAGCAATGGAAGTTGGAAACAGGTTTTTCAGGCTTGGACAGTCCGAAACATAAACTGAACTCAAGTTAGGAAAGGAGAGAGGGAAAGGAGAGAGCTTGTTGGGGATCCTTATTCCACACATACTTCAAATTTTGGAGGTTTCGAATATCCAAATCTCTCAATTCACTCGTTATTGATTCTGTTATATTTATAACCAGCTCTTGGAGATCGAAGACCACTTCTAGTGAATCACAATTCCTTATGACCACATCCTTGAGATTCTCGAGTCTCTTGAATATGTTAGACGGAAAAATTTGCACCAGTTGATTGCCATATTCCACCTTCATTACCCGTAATTTGTAGAAAGAAACTGAGTGAAGGTGGTTGTGCCAGATCTTTCTCAAAGCATCTGCATTCGAAATTTGCACTTGCACCAAGTTGGGGAATGCAACCTGCATCACAAAATCATACTCCATTACTAATATGATGACAATAGAACACGAAAGTACACCAGCTAAATAAACAAATTAACCGAACCATATAACAGGAATGAAGACAATCTTTTTAGATAATTAGAAAAAGAGATCACCTTTTCATTAAAGAGTGTATAGTCCAATATTTCACGTTCACTGCTTGCTGCCATGACTGCACTTGCAGAACTGGAGACAAATGTCATCAGTACAGGGCAATTTTTAATTTGCAACTCATTTAATGCAGGACATTCAATCAAATCACATGTGCAGAATCGTGTGAGTTTCGGGAGACCTCCAAGTTTCAGGAACCCTAGTTCACGTAGTAGCATCCTCATTTCTTCTTCTGAACCGTCCCCGACTATTACTTGCTCCATCTTTTTACAATCACATATCTCAATTCTTTGGAGATGCACAATACTTTTAATCATTGATGATGATAAAAGATATTTTAAATTGCCACAACCATGCACAGTCAAGCTTGTTAACTTTGAAAAATGTCCAACAAATCCACTCAGATTTAGCCATTCTAGACCAAATATTCGTTCTACTGCATCACAATTTCTTACCTCAAGCTCTTCCAATTTACCCAAAAATGGTATTAGATTGGATGGAACTGAGCTAAAGGTAAATCTGAATCATCGATCACCAGCGTATTTAAATTGCAGAATAACTGTACGGGAAGTTGGTCGTGCCAGATTTGTTTAATCGGGGAAATTCTGAGAGTTTCAAATGCTGCAGGCCACTAAATCCAACCTAGAAAGCAAAATTGTGCTTTAGTGATTGCAAGTCTGTAACAAATTAATTATTCTCATGGACAAGAAACAAATAGACATCCGGAATTTAGCAGGAGAGATTGCTATCAAACTTACCATTTCTTCATACAATTGTTTTATGGTGGTATTCAGGTCCCCAATCCAAAGCCATTTATCTCTATCCTGTGTCTGATAGACTCTCTTTAGCTCTGGTGAGGTTATGACTCCTTGAGAGAAAATCTTCATGTTGGGGCACTGTGCCACAACTAAATCATTCAAAGATGGGAGTTTGATGGTGCAACTTGCAATTGAGCAGAAGCTAGTCAGGTTTTTCAAGCCACAGAGCTCTAGAGTTACCAATTTACTGAGAATAATCTGAGGTTGGGAATGGGATTGGTATTCATTTCCCTCGTTGGCTACAATTTCTTTCAGCATATTGCTATCTCTTACAGTCAATTTCGTGAGGTTCCCCATACTGTTTGCAGTAGAGGATGCTACTAGGTTGACTAGTTGATCACAGCGCCGAACATCAAGAGTAGAAAGGTTTTGGAAAGATGCGGTTGACGGTGCCAAGATAATCAAACTGGGGCAAACCCATACTTTTAAAGCTCAAGATAATCAAACTGGGGCAACCCCCGACTACTAAAACTTCAAGATTTTGGAAAACATGGTCAGGTGGGCAATCTTCACTCCAAATGTGGCTCATGTGCGGAAGGGTTTCCAGTTTTAAGAATTGCAGCCGAGCGAGAGCCCCTTCAGCTTCACCAAGAATACCATGTTGGAATAGCACTTTGAAGGAAGAAGCTGCCAGAGTAAGCTTTTTAATATTTGGAAATTTATGAATGAGACCAAATGCAGAATCTGTTGAACCATCAAGAAAACAACTCAATTCAAGAAATTCTAGTTTGTGTGCTGGAAACTGGCCTTGACGAATCGTTGAGGTGTCCTTGTTCCCTAATGATAAATGCTTCAAGTTGGGAATAATCTGGAAACCATTGATTAGAAATCAAGTTGAGCTAATAGTCCGTTTATAGGAATACAGTTATATGATTACGAACTCAAACGAATAAATCAAAATTTGTTCAAAAGGAAAAATATTTTGTTTTATAAGTTTTTAAAAAATTTTTCTTGTAAAATATTAAAATTGTTTTCTTGTAAAATATTAAAATTGAAAAAAACACATTTTCTTACATACCTTTCTAAATGAAAAAAATGGCTGCGGAACCTGAATCTTCAATTGAGTCTCCTGCTTCTCCAAATCCATTGTTTGCAAATCCCCAGGTTCTGAAGTAAAAATTTCCAATTTATCACAGCCATAGACACTCAATTTTTCTAACTGCGGACATTCTAAGATGTGGTTTTCTGAGTAAAAAGACTTTAATCCATTTAATCTCCAAAGGTATAAGGACTTCAGTCGACCAAATGTAAACTTAGGAGTTGCTTCTGCTCTTTCCTCTTTGGCAACAATTTCCTCCATCCCGCAACCATCTATATTCAGCAGTTCAAGTTGTGGAAGACTTTGAGCTATTGAAAATGGGAATAGCTCTTTCAAATTTGGACAATCCCATGCATGCACATTTTGTAGGTTATGAAAGGACAAAATTCCACTAGGATCCCCATTCCATACATTCTTCAAATTTGGGAGTTCTCTTGCAATCAAATATCTCAATTGAGTCTGAGTGGTTGCTGCAACATCTGTTTCTTCTTGTATTTTCATCAATACTTGGAGATCAAATACCTCTTCCACTAAATTACAATCCTTAACCATCAATCTTTCTAAGTTCTTGAATCTCAGCAACTGTTTAGATGGAAAAACTTTCAATAGTTCTTTTCCATGCTCTACTTCGAGTACTTTCAATCTATAAAAGGAATCCACACAGAGTTCATCGTTCCATATCATCTTCAATGTGTGCATGTTCGTGATACGCAGATTTTCCAAGTTGGGAAACAAAATCTGAAGTAAAAATGGGAAACAAAATCTGAAGTAAAAATTTCATGGAGTTAACATCAAATTCTGAAAACTAAAAGATGAACGTGAACAGATAAGAAGGAAATAACCTTTTCATCAAAGAGAGTTGAGTTTGCTTGTCCGCTAGTTCCCGCATATGTACTTCTGGAACTAGAGATAAATGCTTGGAGTTGCGGGCAATTCTTTATCCGCAAGTGTTTCAAGGAGGGACATTCTATGAACTTCGCAGTGCAAAATCTTCTGAGACTCGGAAGTCCTTTGAGCTTGATGGAGTCCAGTCTAGGGAATAGCATTATGCTCTTCATTTCTTCTCGGTTTGTAACTATGACTTCTTTCATGGATTTGCAATCCCTTATCTCAATGTGTATGAGTTTCGCGAGGCTTTCAACCATAGAAGATGTGAATAAATAACTTAAATTCTCGCAGGTGTCAATAATCAATCTTGTTAAGTTTGTAATCCATGGAGATAATTCTGTAAGTTGATTGGGCCATATCTTCTCCACATTGATTGAAGCTAATTTCAGATCTACCAAATTGGGGAATTGAATCTGTAGACACAGTTTGTGTTTCAAGAAAAGTAAATTTGAGTACTGTCAACTCCAAAAAATACTAATATGGTAATGGACATGCTTAAATTTAATAATTGCATTAATTTTAGTGCCTAAAACATAGAATAGAAAATTATTATCGAAAACTTTTAATTTAATTGGTTAGCTTAGTTTCCTATTATTGAAGGATTGTTATGTATTGGAAATTAAGTAAGAAATATTAACAATAACAGTTTTTAAACCTAATATATATAAGGGTAAATTATTATTTAGTCCCTCAGGTTTTACATAATTAACCAATTAATCCCAAGTTTTGAGCAAATATCTAGCTAGTCCCTCAGGTTTATCCGTCTATTAACAAGGTTCTTCCGTCCAGAAAAGTTTGAATTTTTTTTCCGTTAAATTGTAAGACTTAAAAGACTAAAACACCCCTCCCTAGCTGACGTAGGACCATAAGGGAAAATTATTATCTAGCCCTCGGTTTAACATAATTAATCTAACTAAATCTCAAGTTTTTTGCACAAATATCTACACTAGTCCCTCGGGTTTAACTCCGTCTAATGAAAGGTCCTTCCGTCCGAAAAGTAGTTTTCCGTTATTGAAGACTAAAAAGACTAAAAAACCCCTCCTAACTGACGTAGAACCAGTATGAAGCGATAAGGGAGGGAATTTGTATAAACTAAAAGACTAAAATAATAAATTTTCCTTAAAGATAAATATTTAGAACAAACTATTTTTCTCAATCTACAAATATTATGGAACAAAAATAAGTAATTAAAAAGGATAAAAAATTAAGTTTTGATGTTCTATCAATTAAATATTATGAAATTAAAGTGAATCATGAAGAAATACTCCTTTCAAAAAAAGTAAATACTCATTTTTCTTTTTTACCCCAAATTATCATCATAGTTTCTTTTTAGAAAAAGTAATAAAACATAATGTTTCTATTTATTCAATAATTTATATGCAAATTGTTATCAAAAAAAACATTACTATTTACATTTGATAAAATCTATCAAAAAAAAAAAAACAAAGTAATTCCATCTATTCCATAAATAACTTTAATGTTTTTATGGTAATTAAGTAAATTTATTCTTATAAAATTATAACAAAATATTTAATTAATTTTAAGTTACGTAACCTTAAGTAAGAGAGGAGATGTTATATGATTTTGGAAAAAATTATAAAAATAGATTTTAAATTTAATATAATAAGGATAAATTGAAAAAAAAAATTAATTACTCATGTAATAATTCTTAAAAAAGATATTTTGTGGAGAAAACACCGCTCTAAAATAATAGTTTATTTATAGATTAAAAAAGTAATTATTTATTGCCACCTATATTATTATAATTTTCCATAACTTTGAATATAAATATTAATATTTAATAGCAAGGTTATCTTGCAAAAGATAAACTATTATATCATTATGGCATGGACAAGGAACATAAAGGGAAACAAACTAGGTTATAATCTTACGCTTCATACTGGTCACGTCAGCTAGGGAGGGGTGTTTTAGTCTTTTAGTCCTTCAATAAACGAAAAAAACTAACTTTTTCAGACGGAAAGGACCTTCAATTAGACGGAGTTAAAAACCTGAAGGGACTAGTTAAGATATTTGTGCAAAACTTGAGATTAGTTAGATAATTATGTAAAACCTGAGGGACTAGTATTAATAATTTCCCTTATGGTCCCACGTCAACGCTAGGGAGGGGTATTTTTAGTCTTTTAGTCTTCAAATTAACGGAAAAAAAAATCAACTTTTTTGGACGGAAGAACCTTTGTACCTTTTAATTAGACGGGGTTAAACCTGAGGGACTAGCTCAATATTTGCTCAAAACTTAGGATTAGTTGATTAATTATGTAAAACCTGAGGGACTAAATAATAATTTACCCTATATATAATACTAATTAAAAAAAAAAACTTTAGATATTTTATAATAAATATGATATATATTAATTATATACGTAGCAATATAAAATTTAAATTAATATACTTAATATTATTAACTATTAATTAATTATTATTAAGTTCAGAGAAATGTATTGTCAAGTATTTCCACTTATTACATGAGAAATAAACCGTATTTGTATTTAGTTATTAATATTACTTCTACGTATAATTTAACTTAAAAAAAAAAATCCGACCAGAAAAAGGATATGGAGCGTACCTTTTTGCTGAAAAGTAGCGAAAGAGTTAAGAGTTGCAGATTCATCCTCCAATATGACCTCTCCAGAGCTCGTAGAAGCTGTTGCTGGCTTTTGGGAAATGGAAGGCACATCCCCTTGGGAGCAAAAGCATGTAAGCTGAGGTAAATGCTTCAATTTCAATTTGCGTAACTGTGGCAACTTAATTTCAGAATCTTCTCTTGTTTCCAAAGCAACAATCTCTTTCAAAATTTCACAACGGCTTACATTTATTTTTTCGAGCACCACAAGACCCTTGAGCATAGAGAACGAAAAGAGATTCTTCAATACATTACAATTTCTGACCTTTAATTCTCTTAAATTGCTGAAAGACCCCATCCCATAACGGCCGTGATAAATCTTCTCCAATTTCTTTAAATTTTGTAGAAATAATGACTCCAACTTGGGGAAAGCAATGAAATGGAAAGCAATGAACATGGTTCAATCCTCCTCCAGTCCCCTATAATATGTTCAATATCAGACCAATTTTGGATGTAGAGTTTCTTCAAGTATGGAAAACCTTCTTCGTCTAACTCATGGAGGATATTTTTTACACCGTTCAGCTCATCCAAATGTAGATGTTCAGTTGTCTTCAATAAGACTTTCATTCCCTCAAGGTTAACACTTGTGTTAAGCTTGAGTTTCAACAATTTTGACGTTGCATACATATCAGAGAACAAATCAATATTCCACCCATCCCCAATCAATATTCCAAATCTCTCCAGATTTTCAGGGAACAAATCTCTAGGCATTATGTTTGCATCAGTAATGTGTATGTCTAGAGCGACAAGATTTGATAGAGCCTTCAATTCAGAGAGGTTAGCATTTTTCCCTACACCACCTTGATTTTCACCCTCCCATTGGACAAAGCTGTTACCCATACGCAAGTCCTCCAGTCGGACTAACTTTGACAGGACATTGCGCGGAATCACTTCTAGGCTAGAACAGTTGGTCAAATCTAGAAGTCGCAGATGAGTCAACTGCTCCAATTCCCTTGGCAATCGAACAATATCAGAGCTCATAAGGCTGAGAACTTGTAACTTCTTGAGCTTTCCGATTATACTTATATCTTCCAACTTACATCCAAACACAAGGTTTGAAGATTCTCAAGAATTTGAATTGACAAAGGTAGTGACAATAAACTTATGCCTGTTAAATCCAAAACTTTCAGTTCTGTTGTCATAGTAAAAAGGTCATCTGGGATTCTTAACGAGAGACCCAAAGCAGGATAAACTAGTAGAAATGATTGCAGTTGCGGGCATTCAAGTGTTGTCGGAAGCTCAGGAATTTCAGTAAAATACAGAGAGATTGCAGTGCACTGTTCAAGTTTAGATTTAGGTGGCCATTCTAATACCTTGTCATCTGCTACAGCGAAGAAGTGATGATCCCTAGATGCAGTTGAAATAGCAAAACTGCGAACAACGTCGTGCATTTTGAATTCTCCATCCCTCTCACCTTCTAGCAGTAAACATGAGGATTTGAGGTCATTAACATACTTATGAAGTCTATTTCTTGTTTCCTCTAAGTTTCTGCATCGCTTGAATAAACTCATGCCCAAAACATATTTCAGCAATTGGTCTACTCTACCGCTAAGAAATAAATATGCGCTTAAGCGCAACAGTGATTTGATTTCATCATTTTCCAAATATCTGTAGCTTAAATCAAAACAAGAATGAACTTGCTTATCCATATCATCCTCACCAGACCTTTTCAGCAAATATCTGTAGCTTAAATCAAAACAAGAATGAACTTGCTTATCCATATCATCCTCACCAGACCTTTTCAGGCGTTCCAAGGCATCCTTCCATTCTTCCAACCCCTTATTTTTCAATGCTGTTGCAACTGCCACAATTGAAATTGGCAAACCTGCACATCTCTTTGCAACTTCATCTGTCATAGGTTTTATCTGCGAATGTTTTAGAGTTCCCACCTTCTTCTCAAATAATTGCCTTGCCTCTTCATCCTCTAAAACTTCAAGATTGAAATTCCTCTCTATGCCCATCTCATGCAATACATTTCGATTTCTGGATGTCATCAGTATCTTGCATCCTTTATGTTCGGTGCCAAGAGGGATTCCGATATCTTCTAGTTTGATTTGTGCCCAAACGTCATCAAGAATTACAAGAATTTTCTCCTCCTGTTCCAGTCTTGAGCATAACAAAGCTGCCCTCACTGCGGTGAGCTCCGCTTCAAGAGGGAACCTTAACCACTCTGCGATCTCTTGTTGAATTCTTTTCAAGTCTACATTAGAGGTTACCGTTGCTATAACCACCACCTTGAAAATTCCATCTTCCACAACTTGTTTGGCAAGCTTTTTTGCTAGTGTTTTTTTGCTAGTTTTTTTGCTAGTGTTGTCTTGCCCACACCTCCCATTCCATACACCCCAATCATAGTAACATCAACATCTTTTAGAGCCTCCAGCATTTGGTTCAAAATTAGCATTCTGGATTCAAAGGCTTCATAATCCTTAGGAGGGCCTATCCCCTTGAGAGCAGTGCGGTAGGAGATTTTCTCAAACTTGCCTTCGTTTCGAACCTCAACCAGAACTTGTGTCTTTTTATTTGCTTTTCTGCTGAACTGGTGGCGGGTCTTCATATTAGGACAGCATCCCATAAAGCAAAAATGATTCGCTCTGTCATTATCTTCCAAAATTTTCTCAGAAGCTTCAATTTTCTCATTCGCATCTTTCAGCCAGCTCTTCACAAGATCTTCAATTTGTTCTCCTTTTTGTCTAGCATTCTCCATTTTATGCTCCAAAACTTGCATTTCACCTTTCAGTTTTTGTACTTGAGCTCTCAAGCTCTGGAGGTTGTCCCGGTAGTTCCATATATACCCAATTTGACGCAATACTGAATCAATCAACGGTTCTGTAACTTTTGTTACTCCAGTTCCCACAAGTGTGTCCATTTGCTCCTTAATTGGTTCTTTTTTTTTTTGTTTTTTTTTTTTTTTGTAAAGGAAAAGAAAACAAAAATTAGGACAGGAAAAGAATTGAGAATTGGAAAGAAATCAAACTAATAATAAGCAATTAACATAAAAAGAACAGAGAGGAGAAAAGATTGTGGTTTTGGAATCAAAATGAGAAATGGAAAACAACAAGGAGAAAACAGACTAAATATGAAGGAATGGAATATAAAAGCAAACAAAAGAAGGAATTTTGAAATCCTTAATCTGCAGGAAGGAAGTGATCACTTACTTGGCTTAAGTAGTAACTCTCCAAATTTCTTAAACTTAGTCACTAAAAATCACTTTTCAAGCTATAATCTCTAGGATTTATTGATTAAATCAAGTTAAATAGAGTGAATTTGGTGGATTTAGCTAGGAAGCGAAGAAAAACAAAGAGAAGAAGGAGGAGGAGGAGGAGTTAACGGCCAAAAGGGGAAGAAGAAGAAGAGAAAATGGTAGCTCAATTATTTGAGTTGACTTTATTAAAGGGCTTTTTAGTCATTTACCATAATTTGGTGGTTAAGATTTAGTTAATGGTAATCTAATCTAATGGCTAAAAATATTCTCCAATTAAATTTCTCAAAAATATTATTTATCTCCATAAAATTCTTAAATTTACCCCATAAAAATAAATTCCTCAAATTCTTTAATTAATATAACACCATAATTCACTAATTATCTAAATTTTCTAAAAATATTCATTACTTACTTTTTATCTATAAAAATTAGCATACATGCTCTAAAAATATTAAATAAAATATAAAATATATATAGTAATTTTTTTGAACAAAAATAATACTAATTTTCGAACCAATACTACTATTTAAAGACTAATAAATTACTATTTCAGACACAGAAAACATATCATCGTTACATGATTGCTCGGTGAAAGCTTTAGAATGGCTGATCAAAGAAAAGAAAGAGAAAGAAGCGGGTAAAGGCTTTAAGTGAAGTAAAACAGCCTGCTTCGCCCAACTTAAGTAATGAAGCTGTTGCTACAGTAGGTTGTGATGACGATCAAATCACAACAATTCTTTTTCAGATTTACTTGATCATCATGGATTTACCTTGATCATTCATGCATAACTGGTTAAATTAGACAATTATTATTTCAGCAGTTTTGACTGAGGCTAACTCTTGTTTTAACACACAAAAGTTGTTGATTTGAGGCTAATCTGCTTGTTTACACACAAAGTTGTTGATTGATTATAGAATGTTCTACATGCAAATGATCATTTTGACATTGAAGACACTAATAAATGCAGCGAGGCCAAATTGCTTCACAGGACAAACTGGCATGAGTTTACGTTGTGGACTAATTTTATATTACAATGGCATTCAAAGAGTTATGAGAGAAGCTTTGAGTCATTATTTATGCACAGTGGAAGCTAAAGAAAGTTTCCAAATCTATACCACTTGAATAAATTTGATCTGTCCTTGAAGATGATAGTGCTATTTTTTTTACCACTTGAATGAAATAAATAACAAATTTGAGAGTCAACAGTGGACAAAAGCACAAATCAAGCATGAAAATAGCAAAGAAAGGTGTTAGATTACCATACCACAGATCAAGGGTATTCATCTCACTCCTGAAATTGATGGACCTAAAACTGCGATTTTCAATAATTGATGATTTGATTTACTTTCGGAAAATTTAAAACTTGAGCTTTTAGTTTGGTTATATGGTTTTGAAAACCATCCATTCGAACCAAACCATTTTATATATATATAAACTTCTAACTTCGAATCCAATTTGCCATTTGAACTGTTGGGATTATAATTGATCCCGAGTGGGGTCCACGGAAAAATACCGGTGGTAAAAGTAAAATAAAATTACTATTACCACATATACCTCCAATAATTAAATATTGGATATTGACGATCGACTCTACCAGAAATAATAATCACAGTAAAAATTAAATAATTACAGTAAATGTCAGATGAAAAATAAGAACACTGAGATTTACGTGATTCACCTTCAACTGTTATGGGCTACTTCCACGGGACAAAAACTCTGAATAATTCTTCCACTAAAAATAGTAGGTACAAAAGAGATTACAAAAATAGTAGTACTCTAAGTGTTTCACAAAAACACCTTAAAAATTATAATCCTCACTATTTTCTCTCTTTCCCAATTTTAGGAACCTTTTCCTAAAATTCTCTACACTCAGTTATGTATTCCTATAGGAGAGGTTACGAGAAAGTCGTGTATAACTCATTCACGGCTCTTCGTCTTTGTCAAAATTGCATGCCAATTTTTCTTTCCTTTTTCTTTTCTTCTTCGCAGCCTCCTTTGAACATCAAAAAAACTTGCCCTTTCATTTTTTCTTTGTTCAAAACTTGTATGGGTCCCACAACCACTCATTTTCTTTTTTTTTTAATTTTCAAATTTATGTGGATCCCACATGTGGGAGGGATCCCACGACATGAACGAGTAATGTATAATTTGTTCAAAAATCTTTTCGTATAATTTACCTTCAGAATTTGAAAGCAATGTAATAATTTTGTTTAATTATATTGTAAATTTTGTTTAATTATATTGTAATTTTTTAAATTATTTTTTCTTTTTTAAGTCTAAACTTTTAAATTATTTTTATTAATTAAAAATATTTAAAATAATTTTTTTAAAAAAAAATAAGCTTTTTCTTTTCTTTTTTTTTTTTGTGTAAGCTCAAGAGATAAATTATATAAAAAAACTAATTTTTAAGTAAATTATAGTTTGCTAAGTCGAATAAATAAATTGAGCCTTATTCCCAAAATAAATTTCATGAAAGACAATTGTCCTTTTAAAAAAGGAAATTTTCTTTTTTTTTTACTTTTCTGCTCACAGTATATTGAATATAGTTTTAAATACTTAAATTGTGGAATAGTACATAGATGGTCACATTGCAAGCTGTGCACCTAAAAAAAGTTTTGGGGAAGACAAGACCAATCATAACATGAGAAGCTAGACAGGCCAGCGCCTTACTCCAAAGAGAGATGTACCACTTAAAAAAAATATATAAAAAAATAAGTTCGAATGCATAGTTTTTTATCCGAAGTTTATGCGATTTGTGAAATACTCTCGAGTCTGCGGAAGACCTATTATGATCCTACACGTTCATATTTCATTAATAATTATATTCCTTGCTAAAATGAAATAAAAAAATGCAAGATTATGATTGAACTCTTACAAAGTTATTTTATTTTGAGGAAGAACATAGTCATTATTAAAAAGTGAAAGTGTAAGATCATGATAGATTCTCTTGCAATATTGAGGGTGCCACAAGATAAATCCCCAGACATTTAAGAGTAAATTTATGCATTAGGCCAAAAGAAAAATATAAATGAAGTATACATGCTGACCTTCAAATCGGCTTCCTCCATTTAAAACCTCATCGAATCTATAAAAGAAAAATAATATACATGCTCAAGCATTAAGCAAAATCTCCCAATGTTCTTCTTACAGAATAAGTAATGTCTCTGCACTAAAATAGCCATCAAACTTCACTATGCAAGGTGAAGGCCATATGCTATGCTGCTTATATTTTTGCCTATTCCATCAGCAAATAAAATATAAGCTTCACAGCATTCTCTACATGCATGTTTGGTAATATATATTAATTATAAATGGAGCCAATGGAAAGTTATTATTTATTATTCTTTTATCATATTGGAAATTACATTCCATTTACGTCTATTATAATATAATTGGAACATGCAGTATGGGTTCAAGCCCTATCAAGGAAAAGCTATAGAAGCTACCCAGTAATGCTTGATCATCAACTATCTCAGCGAGACTTTGATGTTTTTCCTCAAACATGATTGTCTTGTATGACAGCGGAAAGATTAACCTCACAAATGATTGTGAAAAGAATTCCCTTATCATTACACGTTTCTCTTAACTAAAACCTGCATTACTTTGAGGGGTGATCTCCGGCAAAAAGCCTCTTCACATTTGCTCTCTGAAATGCGTTTTCACCAATCTCACTGATGTCTTAGCTTTAGTGCCGCGGCCACTAACCCTGCTTCATTTACCTTCTTTTGCCAGACAATACTCTTGCCACTTGAAGTCTTAAACCCAACCAAAAAGTGCAAAGAACAGTCAAAGAACACAGAGATGTAAGTTTCAGGTATTAATTGTTTACCGAAAGAAATAAGGCAACAATTTGAATCTGCCAATAGAGAGAGGGAGAGGCATGGCTTTAATTACCATAAACTACCAGAAATAATTTTATTAAAAAAAGAAAAAAAAAAAAACAAATTACATCAACTACTTTAATAACATCACTTGTAAAGATCGATACAGCCATCGCAAGAACTCTTATGGCATAGAGTTTGATCCTTCCTGACTTTACAGAACCGATTATTGAACTCACCACAAATAAGCCTGAGGGAAGGAAACTACTTTACATTAACTTCTAAAAGTCACGTGAAGTTATTTAAGAATTAAGATGCAATGTTTTTGTCCTGAAATTAACCAGAAGAGGCAAACATGTATAGCACTGCAGTTGTGGTAGTTATTCATTGTTCAACAACACAGTTGATTCCATTTTCGACCCATAAAAAAGATATGGAATCAGGGATAGTATGTGCTTCTCCCATTTTATAAATTATTCTGCCTATGTCCATGCTTCATCTATTTCCAAGAGAAAAGAGAAAACTAGTTGAACAAATTACAGAGAAACCAGACCAGACCTCATTAGTCGTGGTATTCATTCGACACAGGTTGGCATGGTACCCAAAGAATCCTGCTAATAAGAGAGAAACTATGGCAAGAAACACCATAAGAAGTATTTGTGTGTTATATGAGCCCAACAGCCATATTCATCTCACTGCTGAAATTGATGGATCTAAAACTGTGGTTTTCAATAATTGATGATTTGATTTGCTTTCGTAAAATTTAAAATCCTGTATCAACATGTGGAGCTAGACTATCTAAATGAATTTCAAAGCCATAGTAAACTGCAAATAAGGAAAAGTTAGACACTACATTCACAAGCATAACTGCCATCAACTAGAAGATAACTAAAGTTAATTTTACCAGTCAAAATATATACAACCCTTAATTCTTTCAATCTTCCTGCCAGAACCAACCCAAGGGCAATTGTCCCATATATACAAAGAAGACAATGCCTGCACAAGGACAAAAGTGGATACATAAAAATGACAAAACAGAAAGCCAAAAAATGCACCTTATAGTGGTGAATGTCAAACATATTTGCAAAGCAATAACTGGATATGTGAAATGACGAAAGCAGAACCAACCCAAGGGCAATTGTCCCATATATACAAAGAAGACAATGCCTGCACAAGGACAAAAGTGGATACATAAAAATGACAAAACAGAAAGCCAAAAAATGCACCTTATAGTGGTGAATATCAAACATATTTGCAAAGGAATAACTGGATATGTGAAATGGCGAAAGCACTGAAACTGCTAAGTCAAATCTAGCTTAACATAAATACAGAACTTTAATTTTGGCTTATCTATTAAATATCAGCTGTACAAAAGGATTGATATTTTATACAAAACAAGTTACATCTTCCAAAAAGATAATTCCACTTTTAATTTTGAGCTAATAAATCACGTATAACTTACCATAAAAGAAATGCCAAAAAGTATCGGGTATTTTTCTCCCCTATACAATTATTCTGCAATGAAGAAAACCTCTTTAAGTGGAAACCAGAAATTAGGTAACCGATAAGTTTCAGCAACAAAACACTGCACAAAGTAACTAATTGCAAAATATTTTAAAAACATAACTAAAAAAGACAAATAGAATACAAACCATCCATCCACAATGATGGTCAAAGCGTGCCACACAGCGATTACATATGCTACAGTGCTTGGACCTAGCAGGTCTGGAACAGGGGGGAAATCCTTTCTTAAAATGAAATTGAGAAACTTATAAGAGATATTCAACAAAAAAAAAATCAAATAACTCACTTGAAAATTTTACAAGTGGAACATTCTTTCTTTGTATATATGATATTGTCATATGGATAGGCAGAGAGATATTCTGAAACATTCTCAGCCTTAACAGTTCCAGGATCAGAAAAGCTAGTCAATAGAAAAAGTAGAACACCAACAACAACTGCCAACGAGCTTGTGTACCTGCAAGCACATATACGTTTAAATCAACTAAAAATGCTCTTTATTATACAGCAGATGTCAAATATCTATGACTCTGTACATACCTGTGATATCCACTTAAATAATAACCAGGAATATAGCTAAAGGATGAATCTACAATGAAGTAATAAGTTGCTCCAATGATTGCCAAATATATAATCTGAAATCAAATAGAAAAATTTCAAGTGTAAGCTTGAAACTCTGCCATAAAATAAGGGGTGGTTGCTTATACATATTGGATTAGCAGTAAGTTACCTCAAAAGCTAATAGATGAGAAAGATGCAAAATCATCTTTCCATCTGATAACTCCAAGTGCATATTCCATAAAATTCCTTTATATTCTTAGTACTTCTGATATTAGAAGTGCTAAGTGTAACTTTGATAAACTGATATTAAAAATCTAAACCTTTTACATTTTTTTTTTTTCATTAATTCCATACATCCACAGTTTCACTTTCATTTTCTCTCACTTATTTTCTTATTGGTTCAAATCTTGCATCTTTAAACCTCACAACACATAATTCTGATGAATTTTTATATAGGTCAATCAGCATTGGACAGCATAAATTTGATAAATAAGCTATTCTTGCATTTTATTTTGATGTACCTGACACACACACACTGTGTGTGTGTATTATTCTTCCAAAGCAGAGAAAACAAAAGATACATTCAATCCATCGATATCAAAACAAAACACTTTGAATCCAAAAATAACCATCTAACCCTAAAAAATTCTCCTTCAAACTTATGAGCAGAAAAATTCATAAAATAGTTTATAAGGAGGAGAAACAAACTGTATTTGAATAGAAAAAAGAAAATACCTGTAAGGTAGGGTTCGGGCGATCGCAACAGAAATGCTCAATGGAGAGAACAAAGTTCGTGCCTTTATTTCCAAATACAGTCCCTACAAAGCGCCTGACAAACAGTTTCAAAATCAATTTCGCAAAACATTAAAAAAGAAAATGTCTGCGTAGATAGAGAGAGTACAGGAAGTAATCGTAGGCACCGAAGGTGAGGAAGTTGTGAATGCGCTCGATTGGAGTGCCTTGAAAGATAGGCCATTGGCCGCAAAGGAAAGAGACCACCACTAACAGTGTGGCTAGTCCATGGCATAACAGAACCCACTGGACCTCCATGCTTATTAATACTCTTGTACAGAAAGAAAAGAGAGATTTTTGAGAGGGAGGGAGAGTTTAGCAGTTGTTGCGTTTGCTTTTGTTGGATTTGGCAGTTTGGAAATTTTGGTTCGGGTTTGACTTTGACCTGGGGAAATTTTAACGCCGTCGTTGTTACTTTGTTAACTTTAATTTTCTTTTATTTTTTCTTTATAATTTTATAGTACGACCATGAATCAAGAAATTAATCAAAATAGAGGGAAAAATTTTGGATCCATGACATTATTTACGGAATATTTGCTGTTATAAGATCATTCTTATTGTATAAAAAATAAAATTAAAATCTCAAAAAAAATTTATCAACTTTCAATAAATTAAATATTATTTTTGTATAAAAATGATATTATCAACCCTTAAATTTATAATTTCAAAATGGTAATTAAATAATCGTTTTAATTAAACATTCTAAATATCATTTTTTTAATCGATATAAAATATCAATCACACAACACCTAGTCTGTTCATACAATTTCTCTTTTGATTTACTTTTCTAGAAGCAACATAAAAATATGTAATTCACAAGTGATGACAGATTTTGTCTAGGAGAGAAAAATTTACAAAGGATAGTATTTGTATGAACTAAACCTAGATGTCTGCATCATCTATATTATCTTCTACGATGGCAATGCAAGATCCTACAGATTTTCCCATAGACATGGCCTCTGCAAGTTTAGCTCGAGCTCTTTCATGGCGACGTAAAATTAAGACAGTATTTAGCACAGACCATCTAATTTGAGAATCAGCTTTCTTCTGTGTGAATCCCAAGCCATTAAGCAGCAAATCCAACTGTGCAACAAGCAAAGTAGAAAACAGTAATCAGTAATGTCAAAGTTTAGAGCCAAAAGAAAAACAATTCAGCAGAGAAATTTATTTTGACCTTACCTTATTTATATCAGCAAGGCCTCCTTCTGCATATCCATATAGAAGATACTCAGTTATTACACCTGCTAGTGCTATGCATGAGAATCTGTTCAAAGTCTAACAAAATGCACTCCAACATTAGAACTTATCTCCTGTTTAGGGGGCTTCATTAAAAGAAAGACTCTTAGTCTTAGTATTTAATTTATCTCAAGCTATTCAATCGATGAACTACTAGTCGCTAACAGTTCAAGTACCAAATTTGAAATTAAGAAATCAAAAACATACCGTAGCTGATACTTTTCCTGCATTAACCTGTATAAAAATGTCGAGTGCTCAGAAATAAGAATCAATAAAGCATCAATATTGTAAAGAAACAACATACTTCTTCAAGAAACTCAAAATCCACAAAAGCAGTCCCTGCTTGAACATTAAGAGATCCTTCTTTCTGTAAAGCTTCCAGACTAGATAATGTATATCCCTTTGGAAGAATGCCTAACAAATAGGCAATCAAGAAATGCCCTGCTTCATGCTGCAATATTAGCAATCACTTCCATCAATAAGAGATTTAAATAATGTAGTGAATTTTTTCAAGAATAGAAGGAATTTCCTCAAACATGTAATGTGCATGGTACTTACTTGAATAACCCTATTGTGGTACTTCCGACTAAATGTATGACCAATTGTATCAAGAACCAAACCCCCAACTCCTCCATTAAAAGAGACCTATGTAGAACCCATTGTTCAGGCATTATAGAAAGTTAGAAATAGAGCAATATAAGCAAAACAGAGGAATTGTAAAAAACTTACAGAGTCTAAAGTCCATAGAAACAAGAATCCCAAAGAAAAATAAAGTATTTGTTGTGGGTTAAACCCAAAAGCATTCCATGCAGCAATCCCACCAATTAGAGCAGCGAGTTGCAGATTTCTTTCTATAGAACCCAGAGTTGTATCAACAGGGGACAAAAGAGAAGTTGTTTCTATTCCATTCAGTTTCAGTTCATCCAATGTGTAAAGCCTTTGCGGCACTTGTCTTGCAGCGCCGAAACATCGCAAGCCACTGGGCTTTCCCTTCAAATCCTTGATAAGGGAAAGCGCTGCTCTTTCATCTCCTTTGGCTAGTTCCTTGTCCACTTGGTCTAATGCTTGCTGTCTTGATATGCCAACTGATGGAGATGAATTAACGATTCTGAAAGAGCAGATTCTTGTTCGTGTAGGAGAAACTAAAGTCGTGTTACAGACCACTGTGCCCATTCAAAAGGAAAACTGAAAAAGAACCCAAATTTGATCATATGTGATGTCCTGATTCTTAAAATGCCGTTTTTCCAACTTGAGTCGTCAACCACACATACAGGATAATCAAAATAATCAAAATACAAGATTTCAACGACAGTTTAAAAGCTAAACTGGCTAAAACGGCGACGTTCAAATTCTTCAGCTTTTATTTCCCCTCATCTGTATGGGGGTAAGTTTAATTTGCGGCGGAGCTCCAACTAGAACCTAGTGATGACAGTATTCTAGCCCCGAGGTAAGTAAAGGAAGCCGATTTTGCTACACGGCGTCGTCTGTACATCCAGCAAATATTCAATCTGTACATCTAGCATCATGTTGGATTACTCTAAAAATTCATTTTAGTATCAGAAAACAGACCTAGAAGTCACACCTTGAATTTAACCTGATGGGAATTTTGTATCTATTATACTCAGCTACAATTGGATTACTGTATGACGTAGTTACTGATTTAATTCTCTATTGAAGACTCTCAACAATTTTTCCTGCATAGTATTAAGAGGCTTATTTGCAGAAAACCTAGAATTTGGCAATTCACAAGGCCATTATTTACCAAGGTGAGATTGAACTTTTATAATAATATTGTAGAAAATCAATCTTTTCCAGTAACCAAGACTTATTTCATCCCAATTAACAGTTGGACAAAGCACCTATAATGGTTGGGCTTCTCTCCCAGTGAAACAAAATTTCGAGTGAGGTGGACTGCACTAAACACAGCGTGTTGCACCGCCACTGCAAAGCTGTATTGAAACTAGTAGATACCATGTCACAGGGGCATTCAGTTTGCTTTTGTATCAATGCAATAGACAGAAAAAAAAAGTTAGGTAATGTCTCTAAATTCTTATAATGTTCCATTCTCATTTGTTAAGTTACAATTGGCCAAGAAAATTGATATGATAATTCATACTAATAGTATGAAAAAAATATTAAATCAGAGAAGCATTGATTGATCAACCGATTCATTTACTCAGAAAAGATGAGCAGTATTTCAAGTGCAAAGCAGAAAACCAAAATGAAAAAGTATTTTACAACTGTAGCATCCCTAAATCAAACCACCAGAAACTAGACAAAAAAAGATTAGAAGTCTAGAATTCCTGAGAAGCAGATCCAATTTCGCCTTTGCCCTTGCCCATCTTCTTAGGAAGGAGTGTCTGGTGAATATTTGGCAATACACCACCATTGGCAATGGTAACTGAGCCCAGAAGTTTACTCAGCTCCTCGTCATTCCTCACAGCAAGCTGAATATGCCTTGGCACAATACGATTCTTCTTATTATCTCTCGCTGCATTCCCAGCAAGCTCCAATACCTAAATTCAAACGCCCAATTAGCAAAAACCAAAAACTAAAATCTGAAACCAAACTAACGTAGCCAACTAAATCAATATCAAAAATCACATGAAACGTGGTACCAGATAATGGTGACAATTAAAAGCATTCAAACCCCAATACAAGGAACCGATTTCTGGCACAGAAGTATTAGCTTTAACACCAGAATTGCGACCAAAGAACAACATTTTCATGGAATTGAGATCTAGATCATAAGAATTTACTAAATCCAGGAGATAACCTATTAAATGAAACCCTCGAGTATAAGGTTAAAATTTAATCACCAGATGGAATCCCGAAAAAAAAAAAAAAAGAACCCTAATTTAAACATAAGCAATCGAATAAACAAAATCCGACAGAAACTTCACACCCTAAATCACCAATTTAATAATCAGAATCAAAACCCTAAAATCGTACCTCAGCAGCAAGATACTCGAGAACAGCAGAGAGATAGACGGGAGCCCCAGCACCAACACGCTCGGCATACTTTCCAGCCTTAAGAAACCTAGCGATTCTCCCAACCGGGAACTGCAACCCAGCCTTCGAAGACCGCGACACTGACTTCGAAGATTTTGGCTTCCCTCTGCCTCCCTTGGTCGATCCTCCAGTTGAACTCATCTTTACTAATACAAAAAATGTCACAGATACCCTAACCCTAGTATTTTAGCACAAAACGAAAAGCAAGCAAAAAGAAATTGTAGACGCTATGATCTTCTGACCGAAACTGAAAGTGGGAATGTTTGGTTTATATAGAAAGGGGAAGGCTGATCTGATTGGTGGACACGGCTAGGTAAGGATTGCCAACGTGGCACCGAATTGCGTTCGCGGCGGGAAACTTATTGCCTTTGTTTTTGTTTCGCGCTTTGGCTTTTGAGAGCGGTGACAGCGGAACGACGTCGTAGTGAAGTGATGGGCTTATACAGTTCTATTGTGTATCTTTGATTAGCCCAAGTCTAAGGTGAATTAATGAACTCAAAATATTTGCAGAATTGAGTTTTGCTTGTAATATTTGTTATGTTGCCTTTTCATTTTGTTTTCTGGACCTAACAAAAATCATTCATATTTGATGATATAAATAAGAGATGTTGGATTTAGTGGTTGTGATGGGTTATATACATCAAATTACCCAGATATTGGCTATAGGTTCTGTCATATATCCTATTGGGACGTTATGAACCTGAACCCAGAAATCAGCAAAGAGAAGGGGTATTGTCAACGGGTCTTCTTCCTCCGTGACTGAATGCAAAATTAACAGATGCCTATTGAAAGTCCAAGGGGCCCCTTCCACCACCCTATCCTTATCCACTTGAATATAAGAATCTTAACAGAATACGTTTCGCCCCCAGATCAGAGATATTAACACCACCAAGGGGTGCCAAACATCTGCGAAAGTAGATCTAATGGATTGAAAGTTGATTGTGTTGTACGTCAAAAAGATCCCCACCAAACGATGTGCATACTGTGAAACCTTAGGTTGAGAGGCTGCGTCAACATTGAGTTCGTCCTCCTCAGCTTCAGTGACGGAGAGGTGGTTGAAATCTTGCTCCATCGTAAGGCTGCAATGGCAAACCCTAGAAAGAGACACTGACCTATTCAAGAGGAAAAGACATGTCATATAGAGCATACGAGAGCCAATTTTACAGAATAATGAATATAACTGTTCTAAAATAAAATAATTGAAGTCACAGTTTATTGTTTAAAAATAATTCGAGTATAATTGTCGATTTTGAATAATAATATTTTATTTTCTTTATACGTTTGTGCTTTTTAAATAAACAAAAAAAAAAATTTTTTTGTTATATCCAAAAATTAATAAGTAAAATCTTAATTATTATATCTGAATTTTAAGAAAATGACAGACACCAAGCATATAGATTATGTGAATCTAAATAGATTTATTTTAAGATTCTTAATTAAAGAAAAAACAAAGGATAATTTATTGGATTTCCAACTTGTAATGCATTTATGTGAAGATAGATTTGTTTTTATCTGTAAGAACTTGTAAGTAACATTAATAATTCATACCCCACAAGTTTTGGCTGCAGTGTATGAAGAGACTGACTGACTTAGGTGGTGGCCACAAACCTATGATTGCTTGCCGCTGTATACTCCTAATTAGAGAATGCACAATTTCTACTAACTCCCACTTCATACAACTTCTAACAAAATGTCAAATTGGCAATCCTTGAAGATGAAAATTTTTTGAGCTGATTGTATAATACTCCATCGGTTCAATTTTAATACCAACATTTGATCTTTTCACAATGATTACGAAAATAATTAGAACATATAATTAATACGCTTTTAAAATTTCAAATGAATACTTAAAAGTGAAACAAAGTAAAATATTCATTTATTGCTGTTAAAGTGAAACCGAGGGAATATAAGACATTATATTACTTTCTCCATTTCAAAATATAAGTCGTTTTGAGTATTTTTAATGATATTTTTCCGATGTTGTTCTTATTTACTTTAGATATAATAATTACCTTCATAAGTAACTTTTGGTTTCGAGATAAATCATCGTTTGATTAAATTACTTTCGGTTTTGTTATAATGCAGGAGAATTGATTGTTTCCTTGATCTTTATACAAAAACCGATATACAATCTATAAAATTTCATTAATAGCCATTTGTTCGCAGTTAATAATAATAATAATAATAATAATAATAATAACTAGTACTACTTTGGATTGTATTAATTACTAATGAGGAAAAAAAAAAAAACAAAAAGAGTAGTTGCATTATGATGGGCCAGGCATTCATAAAACTCAACATTTTGCCTAAATAAGCATAAGTTCAGATCCAGCCCACAAAAACCCAATATGCCTTTTCTTCTGTATTCATTTATTTTCCCCCTCTTCTGGGTTAAAAGATTGAAGAAGGTCTCATTGCGTGAAAATTAAGGACACCCTAGCCATCCAGGCTATGGCCTAAAAGGTATGGGGTAATAAAGACAGGGAAGGTGGGACTTTGGAGAGGGAAGGAAGCCAAAAATGCACAAAAAGACAAAAAAAAAGCTTAAAAGCAAAATGGCAAAAAAGGGTGAGGTGTGTAATGAAGGTGTTGAATTTTGGACCATACATTAAAAACACACATAAAAAAGATGACTGCAATTAAGGCAGCTTGCCCTAGAGCCCGAGAGAAAGAAGGACTGTAGGGAAAGAAAGAAAGGGTGAGTGATATTTTTGTTCATTTGGAAGGGGGAAAAGAAAAGGGCTATAACACAACAATCCAAAAACTGTTCCTAGTTGTTGACCATTACAACAGTGAAGTCCTCTAATGTCTGTCCCACTGATAGTGATGTTCAAGGACAGTGACTTGAGATTAGAAGTTGTTTGGTTCACCACTCAATTTTTGTACCTTTTTTTTTAATAGTTTTTAATAATTTATTTTTTTTTTTATTTATAAAGAGATTTGATAGGCCGAAATAACTCTGCAAGTTACGCAATATGGGATAATCTTTCTCTCTATTCAACAAATTAGTAAAAACACTTATGATCGATGACTCGTGGTCGAGAACTTAAACTCAAGACATCCACTTCTCATATAAGTGAGAAAATCAACCGCATTACACCTAATTGGCTGTTTTTTAGTAATTAAAATGTGTTTTCTTTTCTTAAAAAAAAAAAATATTACTATCTAGCTCAGTGACAAACAAAATGGAAGCTGAGCCAATCGGTTAAATGATAGTGAATTTGAAAGCGTGGCAAATGAAGAGCCCACACAAGTACTCCATAAAAGTGTGTGATTTTAATTTGGAATTTTTTTTCTATTTTTGAAATTATTGCATAAATTAAATTCACATAAAGTCTAGTATAGTTTCCAAGTTTACTGAAAATTGAAGAAAGAAAAATATAGATAATAAATTCAATTGAATAAAATCAAAGTTGTTTTTTTTTTTTTTATCAGAGTGTCCAGCCCTTAGGACCGACTAGCAGACAAGTGTATTTCCCGCTCTCTACCTTGGATCCATGTAAATGCCCCTTTCATATGGACCAGGCAAATCTCTAATATATACGGAGACTATGATCCATGAGCATTACGTACTTAAGCCCAAGTAAGACCGTTAAAATTGAATTTAGAACCACCGAAAATTTGTCCAGCGTGATTTCTATCGCACTAACTCTTTGGGGTATCAAGTTGGTTTGTTTGAGCTAAATCTATTAATTGGCTTTATTTAGTTATTTTGGACAGTAAAAAATATTAGATTAGCCACATTTGAAACCAAATTCAAATCAAAAACAGTTTGATTACTCCATTAAAAACTGAATTCGTGAACCAATAAGGTATTGGTTGAGGTGGTAAGCGACTTTAATTATCGTAAGAGTGAAAATATTAGTTTGATTTTCGGGAAATGAACCTTGCTGAGAAGGCAAATAACGTTTATGTTCTATGAACGATGGAATTACACCTTCTAGTTATAAAAAAAAAAAAAACTAAATTCGTGAATCAATAAAAAAACTAAACCGGAGTTCCAACTAATACTCATATCTAAGTGATTTCATGTTTCAACAAAATGTTCAAATTATTTGCTCTTGCAATTTGAGATAATTTGATTTTTGATTTTCAGTTTGGCATAAAAAATGGATATAAATTTTTTTTAAAATCAAAAATTGAAAACAACCAATTTTTTTAAAAATGAATTAATTTGGTTTTGTTTAATTGATTCTCAAAGGTAATTCGGTTTTAGTTCAAATTAAAAAAAATGTGATTTAATTTTTGAGATGAAAGTATGGTATATACGGTTATTTATTTGTAATGATACGCACATTATGTACGTATTTTTCCTTAAAAAACAATAAAAAAAATAAAACCAAAAAAAGGGTCCCCATGGAAATGGTGTATTATCTATGATATTGATTTGTGCAAGCTGTAGACGTTGTAACTTTCTTGAAGGTACTGTACTTTGACATGCAAGGACAGAAGTACTTTTTTCTCTTATGGAAATATCAAGCCATCCATTTTCCTTATCAAAATATAATCAACGGTTCACATCTATACACTCACGCACACGCCTTCCTTTTGCAGGTTTTCTCAAAATCAAGTCAGATGGACGGTAAAGGCAATTACCACGTGGATAAATATAAGAGAACATATGCTTTTGTTATGGGCCCCAATCCCGTATAATGGGGTTTGTGTTAAAAGCCAACAGGAGCAGTTTTTATGTGGATTGGTCATTTGGGGCATTATAGATTTGCCCTTCGGATGGGACCATTTTGTAGGACTATTAACCGTTTCCTGCCTTACACGTGTCAATTTCATCCGATGGACTTTTCTGCCCTCCTAAACAAAATATTGGTTGGATTAAACAGCATATATTAAAAGAAAAAAAACCTTTATTTATTTAAAAACCGTTTAACAAATAATTAAATTTGATTATTTGAAACTAAAATATACGTATACGCGATACAATTGAATTCATTTTGAGCTTTCAATTCAAAAATACATAAGTTTTTTTTATCAAATTCTATAAGAAAATAGTAAAATTAATGAATTTTTAAAGAAAAATGGCATGATTTAAGGTTATATACTATTCAAAATCTCGGATCTAGCTCAGGTTTTATATAATAAAATTTTGATCAAAATCATTAATTAAATAAATTAATTCTGCAAAATTTAAAATTAAATAATTTTTCATACACGCAATCATTTATAATTTATAAGCTCATGAATAATTAAGAAAAAATAATATAATATTATAAAAATTATTAAGTATCTTTTTTTATATAAAATTTATTATGAAATAAAACTAACTATATAAAAAATAAATTTTGAACTTGTAAAATAGCTATTGGTATTTATCGTTCAATAAAAAATATATAAAAAGAATTTATAAAATTTCATTAATTAAATAGACTGTTGATTATATTCAAGTTGAAATGAAATAAAAATATATTAAATTTAAATAAAATTTTAAGCTCATTACCTTTTTTTTTCTAAATTTTTACCAGAAGAAAAGCTAATTACCTAACAAATCAATTTCAATTATTTTAATTCTTTACTAGGCTCCGCTCTGTATAAAGCTGTATACTGCATTAACTCTGCAAAAAGCGTTCAGACGGACCCCGTTTGTCTTCACGTGCCTTGGCGCCGGCCGCACGCACGGAAGCTTTTGTTTCTTTGCCCCTTTCAATTTATTACGTCAAAATTGCCAAAATTCCTTATATATTTTTTTTCAAAAAAAGAATATTTCACAAACTAATAATTTACATCACTGGGTCCCATGCAACAGTTATCTTTCGGCCGATCACTTTGTCGTCTCTCTCGTCTCACATCAAATCCTAGGTGCAATTTAGCATTTCTATCTACATATTTTTGCTATAGTGCGCTTTCCTTCTTATCCTTCGCTCCCTCCTCCACCCATTTCTACTGTGTCTTTCTTTCTTACAGTTTTATTGCAGTTAGATTTACCATTTATTGTTATCGTTTGTCGATCTTTCTGTTAAAACCACTCGACATCAAGAAAATTGGAGAGGTTAGCAATTTTGAAGGTTACCCATTACATTTTGGGTTTATATTATTTGATCTTGAGTTCAAGGAATGATATTTAGACTCAAAGATCACCCTTTATCTTCTTTTTTGACTATGTGAAGCTATTTATGAAGTCGGCTTGTCTCCAGGATCTATTTCGAGGTATTAGATTATTATTTTTTGAATTTCTCAAAGGGTTTAGTTTCATGGCTGGGAGTAATGAAGTTAATGTCAACGAAAGCAAGGTACTCTCCTCCTTTCTCCCCTTCTCATTTCGTTGTGTTTTTTTTGCAATCCACTTGTTTGGTTATCAAAGGTGAAGTATTTTGATGGGTGTGTTTTAGTGTCGTACGAGATGCTTCAAAGTTGAAAATCAGCTGGATTTGTATCAAATAAGGTTTTCTTTTTATTGGTTTTGGGTCTTGATTTTGCTGTGGAAAGGGTGGGTATTCTTCTCAAATGTGGGGTATTCAATGTAATCCCCTGTTTCTGGCCTTATGCAAGAACCGAAGCTTGTGGATTCGCTTTTGGAGCAGTTCTGCCTGAGCTCTTTGATTGGATTTTAAGATCATTTGGGGGGACTTTGTTGACTTTCTTCTTGTGGGTTGTCTGATTATCGCTTTTGAAGTCTCGATTTGGTTATTAGACGGTTGAATTTGCTTCATTTTCGTTCTTCTTTTGGAAAAATTTGACTTGGAGAATATGATTTGATTATGACTAATTATATTACTTGTGGCGTATTACTGTTGACTTTTTGCTACTTTGCCGAACTGCTTAACTTGTCATTTGTAGGTTTAGAAGAGTCTTTGTTCACCTTGTTATTCAATTTGCATATGATGCATATAGTTGCTGTAGATACAGCCAAAGAGGGTTTTTCCTTTTTTTTTTTTTTTTTTTATTAGCACCGCGCGGTTCGAAATTTGCTTCATTTTCGTTCTTCTTTTGAGAAACAAATCTGACTTGCTGAGAATAATTGATTTGAGATCATTGACCTACATGTATGATTACTTGCTGCGCCTCAATTACTGTTTGACTATTTTTCGCTACATTGTCCCGAACTGCGCTTAACTTGTCCATTTGCTAGGTTTTAAGTAGCGAGGTCATTGTTCACCTTTTATTCAATTGCAATACAGACGACGATTATGAGGTTGCATATGGGGGTTTGTATACGACATACAGCCACAACTGAGCGTTTTTCCCTTTTTTTTTTTTTTTCTCCTGAAGATGTATAGTGGTCTATCGTGCGGTTACCATAGCCCCAGCCTAACTTCTCATGTAAGTTCGTCTATTCAATGACAATTGTGATAAAATTAAATCCTCTCTGTCTTATGCACTAAGATGGTAGTTCCCTCCTGAATACCCCTGTGCGTACCTAATACCCAATTTAAGCGTTGGCCTATCAATCTTCTCCGTCTGCCTGATGGCACCTTTTAATCGTCACGTTGCAGAGTTCCCTTGACCGTACAACTTCAAGCCCTCAATGCAAAACCCCCAGGTGATTGGGTTTTGCTCTTTTGAGTGTTTCACTATTGATCGTGTGATCTAGGCCTCCTTAGCCCGGATCTAGGGTTTTTCCTTTTTTTTTTTTTTTTTTCCTGAAGATGTAAGTGTATGTGGGTACATGCCATTATGTATGTGATGACAATTTGAAAATTAATCCTTTCTGTTTTGCATAGATGGTGGTTCCTCTGAATACCTGGGTCCTAATATCCAATTTTAAGTTGGCCTACAATCTTCTCCGTCGTCCTGATGGCACTTTTAATCGTCACTTGGCAGAGTTCCTTGACCGGAAAGTTCAAGCCAATGCAAACCCAGTTGATGGGGTTTTCTCTTTTGATGTTATTATTGATCGTGGGACTAGCCTCCTTAGCCGGATCTATCGACCAGCAGATGGGGAGCAATTACAACCATCTATCTCTGAACTTGAGAAGCCTGTATGCTCTGAGATTGTCCCTGTCATTCTCTTCTTTCATGGCGGAAGCTTTGCACATTCTTCTGCTAACAGTGCTATATATGACACGCTTTGTCGCCGACTGGTGGGCATTTGCAAGGCTGTGGTGGTCTCTGTGAATTACAGGCGTGCGCCTGAAAATCGATATCCTTGTGCGTACGATGATGGATGGACAGCTCTTAAGTGGGTTAACTCAAGAACATGGCTTGAGAGTAAGAAAGATTCGAAAGTTCATATATTTTTGGCAGGGGATAGCTCTGGTGGTAACATTGTACACCATGTTGCTTTAAGAGCAGTGGAGTCAGGAATTGAAGTATTGGGTAACATATTGCTCAACCCAATGTTTGGTGGGCAAGAGAGAACAGAATCAGAGAAGCGATTAGATGGAAAATATTTTGTCACTCTCCAGGACCGGGACTGGTATTGGAGAGCTTTTCTCCCTGAAGGAGCAGACAGGGATCATCCAGCATGTAATCCATTTGGTCCAAAAGGTAAAAGCCTTGAAGGAGTGAAATTCCCCAAGAATCTTGTTGTGGTGGCTGGTTTGGACCTTATTCAAGACTGGCAATTGGCTTATGTTGAAGGACTTAAGAAGGCTGGTCAAGTTGTGAAACTTCTGTATCTTGAGCAAGCAACAATTGGCTTCTACTTGTTGCCCAATAATAATCACTTTCATACCGTCATGGATGAGATAAGTAAATTTGTGTGTTGTGACTGTTAATATACGTAACTTTACCGACTAGCAGCTATACATGACAGAAGTTTGACATTCTGCTTGAGGGTAATTAAGGGTTGTGTGCTGTTTATATGGTTGTGTAGTATTACTACTTACTGTTTCATTGATTATGTGCTGTTGGGCTCTGCTACTCTGGGGTCTGGTTCATCACAACTAGGCTTTTTTATTGAGTGCAGAAGGTGGTTCAGCATCTAGCTGGTTTTGGATGTGTGCTGTTATACATCTAGTCGTCTGGACTCAGGTGATGTAGTTTGATGAAGCTTTTAAGGCAGCAGGAAGCTGTTTGACTAAGTTTAGCAGACCCGCCAAATTCAAGGTTACCCATACTGACTTCCAGCAATAATGGAAAGGAAGACAGGAGTACAGGGTAGCATTTTGTTGGCCGATTGATTGGGTCGGTCCTTCGCTAATGTTATATATAGCTAATTTTAGAACATGGATGGGAAAACAATCCATGATATTGTGATCATTTTATGTTTTATACATATGGTTTTAGTATGTGTAAAGGTGTTGCTTATATTCCACTCCTGATACAATTTTGCCTTCTATGTTCTGTTTCTTAATGACTCTTTGATTTGTTCTACTTCGACTCTCTGCTGTCAACTGTGAATACTATGTTAGTAAGTCGTTAAGATTGAAAAAAAAAACAAGTAGATGTTTTTTTAAGTCCCTCATTTTCAGTTGTTTTGACATAATGAGATTATTATCGCTGCATGAAATAAGCTCCCCCTCAAGTTTTGACGCCTTAAATTTTGGGGAAGCAGATTTCTTTATGTCTTATTTCTTGAATGTACATGTTCTGGATAGAAGACATGCTCTTATATATCTTACGATTCTGGTTTGAAAGAAGTTCCAGAGATGCAGTCCTCTCTCTCTCTATATATGTGTCTGTGTGTGTGTGTGTTTATATATCTCCTTTTTGTTTGCATTTCTCAGAATCACATTGCAGGTCTGAACTAGTCAAACTGTCTGGATGAGCGATATCCAGTGTTGAAAGAGACAGTGGAGCTGATCAATGAAAGCAGAAGAAACTGAGCTTTTATGCATTTGGTAATGTCTCTACACTTACTTACCCTGTTCCTCAATATAATGTATGATTATTCCTTTGGGAAATTGCACTGTAGCTTGATTTTCAGAGTTCAACTGAAGCTTCCTGTCTTGTCATTAACTAATGAACAGATCATATTTAGGGTTTAATCCTAGAATTAGTAGAAAGCTAAGGCTATGAAGATAATAGTGAAACAATTGAAAGGAAGCATCAATACGTGCAGTCTTTTTGTCCACTTATTTTTCTATCCTAAGGTCAGGCGTTGCAACAAATGATTGGAAGCAAATTGAAGTCCACTTTTTTCCTGCTCTTGATAAAGATTGATTTGATTAATTTCTTGGCAGTTCTTAGAAGGCCCCCTCCTGATGTTGGATGAATAATTTAGAGCTAGAATCCAGAAAATACAAAAAATAAAGGGGTTAATGCCCCAACCTTTTACTGGTGGTTAGAATTTGTATTTGTACAAAGTGACAAATGATTTTAAGCTGTTGGGATTTGCCATCAAAGTGATGGAGGAATATTTGCATTATGGCAAAGAACAGCTAAGCTCTTGATAAAGACATCAACTCTTATTTTATTCAACTATTGAGAGTCCAATTAGATTTGTTAGTTGCTTGCTTATATTAATGGGAAAAAGCATATTAAATTGGCTTTTGTAGGTGTAAAAACACATTTATTTGTTTTATATGAAGAGTTGGAAGGTTTTGCTTATTCTGTTTTGATGTTCTTAATATATTAGTTTCCATTTTCCAAAAGAAAAAAAAAAAAAAAAAAAGGAAACAAAATAAAAACGGTAATGCCACCCAACTTTTACTGCGCTGGTAGACCATTCCTCCGCTATCTTGCACAAAACCCAAACAGATTTTAGCTGTGGTACCCCACACCTCCCATCAACAAGTATGAAGCGCACTCAATCTTCGCCACACTCATCTCCGCAACAACCAGACACACCTAGCCTCTAACACGACCACCCAACCTTAATTCAAAACTACCTATTGAGAGCCCTATTAATTTATGTTAGACTTGCCTCTTTTCTATAATAATTAATGAAAAAGCCATATTAAATTGGTTTTGTAGGCGTGTAAAAAACACACTTTATTTGTTTTACAATGAAGATGAGAAGGTCTTGCTCCTTACTTTCTGTTTTGATGTTCCTTAATCTATAATTAGTTTCCCATTTCCAAAGAAAATAAAAAAAAAAAAAAAAAAGGAAAAAAGCCTAATAATTCACTAGTCTCATATCCCATCAAGTATACGCTGTCTATGTTGGGTTAGCTCAGCCTGGAAAGTCCCACTGTATGTGCTGTGCATGCCATCATAAATCGAAAATGGAGAAGAACTGAATCTTCAATTCTTCAATTTTTTTTTAAAACATACGTTTTTAAGCTCAGTGTAATATAGAAAAAAAAAAAAAAAAAAAAAAAAGGAAAAAAGAATATCAAGTCTCAATCCCATAAGTAGCTGTTATGTTGGGTTAGTCAGCCTGGAAAGCCTGTATGTGCTGTGATGCATATAATCGAAAATGGAGAAGAACTGAATTCAATTTTCAATTTTTTTTAAAAAGTTTTTAAGCTAGTGTAAATAAATTGATTATTAATTCAAAATTGTATTTTAAAAATAAAAAGTTCTAACATCAAATTTAGTAATATTAAATTCGCCTACAGAGTGCATTTGCTTGCTAATGCAAGTGCTGGGAGCATGTGCCCCAGTTGAGGAAGTATCTTTCTCTAGATTCCCTTGTTTGCCTTCTCGGTGAACCCAAAATTATTAAATAATGTCCAAGTTGTGCTCCTGTATTATCGCTTATTTTATTTTATTTTTGGTCTTGCAAAACACATTGTATATTATTTTTGGTCTTGCAAAACACATTATATATAAATTATACTTAAGTTAAAGAAATTGAATTAATGTAAAGAAATGACTTTTGGGTAATGTAAAATTTAGGGTCAAAGTTAAAAGCTTCACCCTCAAATATATAACATATGATAGGTGAAATATTATCCTTTGTTCATTGAATGATATAGATATCTGCTTTGCTTGTACAAGAATCATGGCAATGGTACTATGTGAAGAGGGAGGGTGCTTTCTTACATTATCTTCTCAAGGATGTATTATTATTGTACATCAACCTTAAAACAAAAACCCAAATGGCATCTTTTTGACTAACAAGAAAGTCAGGAAAAAACACCATCAATTCAAAGCCAACATCACCTTCATCTATCAAACAAGATCAGTAAATCACTAGCAATTCTTGAAACAGATGCTGCACCTAATATACCATCATCAACTCAGTGTACCAACATTATACATAATACTTTTAACAGAAAACCAAGTATTTAACATTTAACCATCCCATAAAAATTCAACCAAAGCTATCAAGATGGATATTTTGGACCAAAATTATAGTGTGTTTATTAACAAAAAAATAGTTTTCTATTTTCAGTTTTTTAAGAAAATAAGTTTTTAGAAAAAAATGAAAAATGTGTTTGCTTGTTAATGACAGAAAGTAATAATTCGATTCAAAAATTATTCATAATGCACATAATTGAAAGAAATAAAATATTGTTTATTTAACATATTCATTACATATTAAAGCAATAATATAAAATTAAAAAACTTTTCAGAAAATTACTCTAGTTTTCTACAAATAAATAAGCCCGGGTTTGTGATAGCAAAGACTTATTCTTACAATTGCTTCTTCAGTTGATTATTATAACGGACTCTATCATTCATTATTCATTATTCATTTCATAGAAAGATATTTTTCTGTGTGATAGACTGTGGATGTATAAACAGGGGAATGAAAAATAAACAGACGGAACACAATCTCAAATCAAGCAAAGCATACAGTACAACATAGAACAGTGGTTTCTTATTATGGTCAAAAAGCAGTTAAAATAGCATCTGAGGTAGCAATTTGAACTGAAAACATTGTCTTAAGCAGAAGTTCAGATTCCATAATGCACATAATTGGAAAAAAATAAAATAAATTTGTTTAGTCTTTAACATACTTCATTGACATATGTAAAGACAATCAACTATAAACATTAAAAAACTTTCCAGAAAATTATACTCTAAGCTTTTGTTCTACAAATAAATAACCCGACAGGTACACCTTCCCTGCTCGCGTGTTTGTGCATAGCAAAACTAATATCTGCTTACAATTGCTTCTTCCTCTCTCAAGCTTTCCTTTGATTGACTCATTAACCGGACTCTTAATCAGTTCATTATTCATTATTCCATTCATCTAGAAAGACTATTTTTCTGTGTGATAGGACTGTGGACCTTTTCGTATAAAACAGGCGGAATGTCAAAAGATAAACAGACGTACGAAACACAATCCTCAAATCAAGCAAAAGCACATACCATAGCATACAACCACTAGGAACGTAGAGTTTCTTATTCTCATGCCGTCTCAAAACAAGCACGCGTTAACAAATAGCATCTGAACTCCGGTACGCAATTTGAACTGAACAACACATATTTTGCTCTTAAGCACACCGACCAGTTCAGAGGAGTACCCTAACATGACAAGCCACATTGTCCCCTCCCACAATAGAACCTGAAATCCACAACTTAGCTGACGTAATCTCATAGCCCCAAAGCTGCCAAACCTTAAGTCCCCACAGAACACAAACACGTCATCACAAACAAACCAAAATTACCTCATACGTATTGTAGGCTACCACAGCATAACCGCAACAGAGGCCTTGCCGAACCAAAACTTGTCTTGCTGGCTCGGCAAAGACACCTTAAAGCCATAAGCCGTCCTTCTTCCTTATTTGCAGTCTGCCATCAGAATTATCTGGCAGAACTTCACTTGTGCCCTCTCATCTACCCTCTACTGTTCCAGTCTTTCCTTGTTTCTAAATGACATTTTTACCATTACTGTCTGAAGTTCTGTATTGCATTGATGGCTCTGCAACCAAAACTGTTGCTGCTGAAGATACTAAAGCCCATAAGCCTTTCTTCTTATTTGCATCTGCCACAGAATTCTGGAGGAACTTCACTTGTTGCTTCATCTCCTCTACTGCCGTTTCCTTGTTTCTAAATGAATTTTTAATTACTTCTAGTTCTGTTGCATATGGCTCAATTTCATCCTCAATTTTCTTTTCAGTGAAGGACACTTCTCCCTTTCCATTATTATATTGACGTACTAATGCTGCAGTGTTCTTCAACAATGCCAGTGCTCTTTCTGATCTAATGCCAGATGATTCCATTTTAGTCTTCAATTCACCAATTTCTTGTTTTGCCTCCAAAAGCTTCTTTTGCACCAAATCCTTTTCTTTTTTCAACAAATCAACTTGGCATTCCAGTTCCTTCTTTTCCCCAAACAAATTCTCGTGCTCAGTCTTCATCTTTGCAAACTCTTTCAAAGTCTCTTCAATCCTCTTCTCCATTTCCAGAACTTTAGACCTCAGGTTTATGCCATTCCTTTTCTCCTCATCCAAATCCTCATGTGCATTGTCCCTTTCAAGCCTCACTTTCTCAAAAGCATCTCTGTAATGACCAACTTCAGATGCTAATTGTTTGTTCTCGTCTTCTTGACATTTTAAGGATTCTTGCATTGTGAACACAACATCTTTTAATCCACTCAACTCCCCATGCAACTCCACAATTTCACTCTCCTTACTAACTTTCAAATCCTCAATCTCATTTTTATCTCTAATCAATCTCTCAATTAATTGTTCCTTATCATTGTTTTCACTATTCAAGGCCTTTATATGTTCCCCACTTGAATCAATTTCCCCCATTAACCTCTTAATTGTTCTTTCCTTAACTTTCTTCTCTTCCCCCAATGCATTAATCTCCATTTGTAAGACCTTCCCCTTGTCAATTGCCTCACCACAGCACTTTTCCAACTCCAACACTTTTTCACGCAAAACACCCTCTTCTCCCCGCAAACTTGATATGATCTCATTCAGTTCAGATATATGTTTCTCCAATTCACTAATCTTGACCTTCTGCTTACTTTTCTCCATTTCAACCTCATTCTTCTTCTTTACAATCTCCTCTATCTCTCTTTTCAAATCTTCAAACTGTTCCACATTTTGCAATAATTTCTTCTCAGCTAAATCTCTCGAATTTTTAACCTCCTTAATTTCTTCCTCTGTTTCTTTATTTTGCTTAGTCAACTGAGCATGGTTTAAGTTCAGTTTCTTTATCTCCTCCTCAGTTCTTAACCCATTTTTCTCCATTTCAGTCACTTTCCTTTTCAGGCCATTTGCTTCCTTCTCCCAGTTATCAAGATCAATCCTTAATAGATCCCTCTCTCGACAAGCCTGGCTCGACTTCTCTCTTTCATTTTCTAGATTTACCAGTAACCCGTTCACCTGAGTCTTCAATAACCTAATCTCACTCTCTTTCTCTCCTTGCTCTCTTACCAACCCATTTACACCAACTCCCATCTCATTCATTCTCGTCTTGATAAAAACAGAAAAAAGACCCTTCTCTATCTCCAAACACACTCTCTCCTCACTAGCTCGAGCCAACTCATTTTCCAAATCTGTCTTTTCCATACCAGTCCGAGCCAACTCAGACTCTAAACCCTCTTTAGCTTGCTTTAAAGACTCAACTTGCTGCCTGCGCTCAATGGTTTCTTTGAGAAGCATACCATTTAGGGATTTCAAGTTCTGTAGCTTCTCTTCAGGGTCTTCCTTGGAGGATTGTTGTCGGGTCATAGTAAAGGTTGGGTTTTGATCTTGTGGGTTCACTTGTTTGGGGTGTTGAGAGCTATGGGTAAGTTTCTTTTTAGCCATAGTTTTTGGTGGTGAAGATAGGATTTGAGAATTTAGGGTTAGGGTTTTGCTAGGGCGTCTATGGTGGGAAAATGAGTTGGATAAATTAAAATTGGGGGGAGAAGCAGAAGACGACAGGTTGCTGAGAGTTTAAATTTTGGGCCCAAAGTTTTAGGGCTTTGGGAATTTCAATTATTTTTCAAGCTCAAGATTAGATTTTTGTTCTCTCATTGTTAGTACCCACGTGGCTAGTGCTTACATTTGGAAATAAATTTTTTATTGGCAGCACCATAAATCAGCCAACTCATGTTTTGAATAAAAAATAGTTTAGCGGCTATGATTTTGAGATAAAAGTTCAAATCTTATTTTTAAAGTTTATTCAACAAACTAATTAAAATCAATGGAGCCGACGGTCTTGGGGCTGTAAATTCAAGTTCAAATCTATAAAATTATAATATATAATTTTATTTAGTTGGAGATTTTAGATATTGATTTGCAGGTGTGGATCTTCGATTGATGGAGTATAATAGTGTGGTATGTTCCTCCATTGATGCGATTGAGGGATAGCGGCGAAAATTCATCTCTGTTCGTCATATATTACAAATTATTGGAAAAACATTTTAATTATATAAGATTCATAGAAGTTGACGTCCAAATCAATTAAAGGTACTATTTGCTGTTACGAAGATTTGTATCTTTTATCAAGATCAACTCAAGCGGAAAGATCCAACGTTATATTTTTTAGTTTTAGTTTCATTCAATAGCATATGAATTCCTTTGTTTAGCAAATTTTATCAGCTACTAATAGTGAAGTTCTATGTCTAGTCTATAAATTTATTTGTAACTCTTGATATTATTATTATTAATAAATTCTACTTTCGAAAAAAAAAATAACCGATTAAAAATTAAATTAATTTTATTTTTTAACTAATAAAATTAAAATTTTTAAAAATATTTGTACCATATTTATATACAGTACACCACGAGCTTCCTCCACATTATTGATATATTTATATCAACACTTCAATAGCACTAGAATTCCTTTGTCTTTTAGCAAATTTCCTATCAGCCTACTAATAGTGAAGTTCCTACTGTCTAGATACTACTTAATTTCTAATCTATCATTATTGCAATTATTTTATAATCTCCACGAATAATCTTAACTTTCGGAAAAAAACAACGATAATACCTTCCCATTAAAAATTTAAGACTACATTTTATTCTTTTAATAAATATATTAAAATTTTTCTAAAAAATATTACTATCTTACCAATTTAACATCATTCCTTATCTTAGTATCGATTCAACTTAATCCATTACCACATATAATTAATATTACTATATTCATATATATATGCATCAATAATACCTTAATACTAGATCTATATTATCTATACTTATATATATCTTATATTATATATATACAGTTATTTAATATGCGCTATATTCATCTATCGCGTATATAATATAAGTTTTGCGTTTTCAAATCATATGTAAATTATAATGAAAAGTATATACTCCGAACTAAAATTACCTACTATTACATTATTTAATATATATTATTATATAATATAGTTTTGGTTTCAAATCATATGTAATTATAAGAAAAGTATAACCGAATAAAATTACTATATTTTATATATTTCTTGTATAGTATATAAAAATTTATTATTTTTTTAATAGAATTTAAATTTAAATAGAAAATTAATATGATCAATCAAAATTAAATTATCTTTAATTTTTTTTCAACCAATCAAATTAATATCTGTAATGATATTTTTATTTATTCATAATATGAGCGTTCTTGGCAATCTTGATTTTCTCCCACGCATTTTCACTTATATATATATTATACTATAAATTGTTATAGATATTAATACCTCTGCACAATCACATTCCGTTACATGAATAATATTCCTTCAGCCGCGTACATATTCACATAATTTGATTTTCACATAATATAATTAAAATAATTATATTATAAAATTTTAACATTGCCCTCATATTAATAATCCATCAATTAATGAAATTGTAATTTTAAATACTATAAATAAGCCAATGAAATAAAATTGATTAACATGATTATTTTCAAAGATGTTTATGATACATGTACACATATTAGGTTTATCTAAAGATTTTTCCATTTATTCCATTAAACTCAACAATTCTTTTGTCTATATAGATAGCACTTTTAAAAAATCAAAATAATATTAATTATTTTATTTCAACTTTATTCTTGTTTTAATATTTACATTAAACTTTATTTCAATTAAATGACGATTAATTAAATAAGGTTTATTTAAAGATTATTAATAATAGTGTTGGAACACCAAATTCTTCAATTCATATAATATTAAATAAGGGAAAAAAAGTAGAAATTAAGTAAATTATCCACATCATAAAAAAAAAAAAAAAAGGTTAAGGAATAAAAAAAAAAAAAAAAAAAAAGGTTAAGGACAACAAATATGGGACAAATAAAAAGGAAATGAAACTTATATATGGAATAGAGCGAGGATATGCATGTATCTTCTTCAACCTACCAAAGAAAAGATAATTTTAGATGGAAGCTCCCATACCACATATATATATATATACCAAATAAAAAAGTTTGTTTCTAAATAAGTGAGAATACAAGTCAGACCGCACTTACTTGAAAATAAATTTTTTTTTATTTAATCATTAAAATATTTGGAATGAAGGAGAAATTATAGAAACAATAGAAAGAATAGTTAGCTTCATAGCTTATTGTTGTTATCTACATGCGTATCATTTTCCTTGCACTGCTCGTACACCAACCCAATAAATTTTTATCCCCATGAACCTAATTTTTATATTCAACCAAAAAAAAAGATATCTCCCTTTTTTTTTTTAAACAGAGAATGATCATTCAAAAAGTTAGAAGCTTGGCTAAACGAAGGTGATTATTCTATATATGTCTCTCCTGATGAGTAGTTAATTTTTTTTTTCTAAGTGATTTTTTCAGCTATTTTATTCAATTTCTTTAAGAATTATTATTACATCTTTTTTTTTTTTTTTTTAATGATTTTTTCACGTATTTTTATTTCAATTCTTTAAGAATTATTATAGTACATTCTTTTACTTTTTTTTTTTATTGTAATATCTTTAGTATGAAAAGGCTTATCTGAAACTAATGTGTCCCTGTATCAGAGCTTGACAATAACCTCTTCTCTTTCCATTTCTTTTTGTTAAATGTTCAACGAGGTCACAATGCTCTTGCCTATTCAGTCGTCGGTTTATCGTGTTATTGCGAATTTTGCGAATATTACCTCTCCTCCCGACGACAGCCTGAAGAGCAAATCTATTGTAGAGACAGATGTTGATTCACAAGATATGTTTCTGCTTCTGTTTTATCCTCTTGAAGGCAAGACAAGAACGAAATGGCTGACTTGCAGGGTTTTTTTATTTTGTCCTTTCCTATTCTTTCAATATCTCTACAAAGTGTTGTAACAAAAACTCAGCTGGCGAGATCAAAATAGTAAATCTCACATGACAAACCAAACTGGCGTTCTGAACTATAATCTCTCACAGGCAAATTTAAGGAAAAAAAGAAGTTTCTTAAACTACCTTTCACTTTCTTTTGATATTTGAAATATTTATCTGGAACACTTCAGTGTATAAATTAACATATATGTGCAGGCAATCCACTCAAACACAAATGGATGGACTGCAGTGATAGTGGACATGCCTAATTAATCATGTATACGACAATTCTTTTCATATGATGCTGGTTCTCGAGACCGACATTCCAGTGGCCTCAACATACGGAGGCTGAAGGCTCCATCTTAAGCAATGGGACTTCATTTATTTTCTTCGCAAATGGTATGGCGTTGTCGGTACTTCCCTATTATCGACCAGGTGTGATCATACATCTTCAGATGCCCTACAGTAGTCACACGCTTTATTATCATCTAAAACGACAGACTGGTCTCTTTACCAAAAAATCTAAAGGACATCCTTTTTGCTCTGAGTTTGTCAGCGCCATGTACCACCTCCGGCGAGTTGCAATACAGACAAAAGCAATTCCCACTGTGCGCCGGCCCGAACAGGACGCAAGATATAAATAACACACCATCTTTTTTTTTTTTTTTTTAATATTTTAGTATGAAAAGGCTATGAAAAATGTGTTTGATCAACTGCAATACTTCTTCTTCTTCCATTTTTTTTTTTAAATGTTAACAGGTCAATGCTCTTGCTGATCAGTGTGGTTATGTTGTTGATTGGAATTTGGAATATTACCTCTGGAGCTAGAAGTGCTCAGCGACAGCCTAAGAGAATTATTGTAGATACAGATGTTGATACAGATGATGTTTTTGCTTTGTTTTATCTCTTGAAGCAAGACAAGAACGAATTTGACTTGCAGGTTTTTTATTTTGTCCTTTCTATTCTTTCCAATATTTACAATGTGTAACAAAACTCAGCTGGAGATCAAATATAATCTCCATTGACAAACAAACTGGCCTGAATATAATCTCTACAGAAATTTAAGGGAAAAAAAAGAAGTTTTAAAACCTTTCACTTTCTTTGGATATTTGAAATATTTTTCTGGAACTTCAGTTATAAATATACATATATGTGCAGGCAATCACTCTAAACACAAATGGATGGAGTGATAGTGGGCATGCCATTAATCATGTATACGACATTCTTTTCATGATGGGTCGAGACGACATTCCAGTTGGAGTAGGAGGTGAAGGCTCCATCTTAAGCAATGGGACTCTTCTTCCAAATGTTGGCGGGTACTTTCCTATTATCGACCAGGTGTGATATAATCTTCAGATGGCTAAGTATCACACCTTTTTTATATCTAAAACGACAGATTGGTTCTTTACAAAATCTAAAGCGACATCCTTTTTGCTTGAGTTTGTCAGCGCATGTCCACCTCCGGCGAGTGCAGATACAGACAAGCAATTCCAGTGGGCCGAACAGGACGGCAAGATATAAATACAAATTATGGACTAAGAAAAGGCTTCCTCCCACAAGTACTAGGCTTTTTTATTTTTTATTTTTTATTTTTCAATTCAAACTAGTATTCTTAAAGTTTGAAATATATGGTTTTATCAGAGGAGATTTCTGTAGAATCTTATTGACTCATAGACATGATTGAACAACAGGGTGGGAGGCATTATGTTCCTCTTCAACAACCCACTTCACAAGAGGTGATGATAGCTGCAATATCAGCTGGTCCTATAACTGTGTTTCTTTTGGGAGCACATACAAATTTTGCTTTATTTCTTATGAGCAATTCTCATCTCAAGAAAAATGTCGAGCACATTTTTGTAATGGGTGGTGCCATTAGATCCTCTGGCAGTTTGTTTCCACAAGACACTAATCCTTACGCAGAGTTCAATATATTTTCAGACCCTTTGGCTGCTTACTTGGTAAAAATATCTTTTTGTTACTTAGAATGACAAGTTTCTTATAAATCGACCACTGGATTATTGTCTGAATGGGAGTCAAATGCCTTAAAATTGGTAATAACAATAATGTGAAATATTGTAAATCGATAACATTTGCTTGCTGCCCCAATGAGCAGGTTTTGCATTCTGGTATTCCAGTTACAGTGATTCCTCTTGATGCAACAAACACACTCCCTCTGAGTGAAAATTTTTTCAAAGAATTTGAAGGCAGAAGGGATACTTATGAAGCAGAATATTGTTTCCGGTCTTTAAAATTGATTCGCGATAGTTGGCCTAATAACAACTTTCATGAGGCAAGTCTCACCAACTGCTTGGCATTCTTTGTTTACACCAAACATGTGAAAGATCCTGAAATGATAAAGCTGTGAAGTTTTTCAGGACTATTGTATGTGGGATTCTTTTATGGTTGGTATAGCATTGTCAATGATGCGAAATTCACAGAATCCTGATGGAGAAAACGAGTTTGCTGATATGGAACTTATGAACATAACCGTGGTTACTTCTAATGAACCTTATGGATTATCTGATGGGTCAAATCCAATCAACAATGGACATTTGATCCCAATATTACATGTAGAGAACAAAAGTTTGCACAGTGGTCACGTTCAGACAGGAATGCAGGATCCTTTCTGCCTTGACAGTGGGAAAGGTAGATGCCAGGTATTTTATGGTATCTTACGAACTAATTAAGGTACTTTACAGTACTCTATTGTTACTAAATATTTTTATTAAAAAAATGCTAAACAGGATGGTTACACAAAGGAAGTAACTGGTTCAGAAGCAGTACTAGCTCGTATAGCAACAAGAGCTAAACCGAATCGCAACATTAGTAGCTCACTTGATAAAGAATTCTACAGAAGCTTTCTGGATGTAAGACTGTTTAATTTGTACATAGTATTTTCTTTATGCCATCAAATAAATGATAATCTAAACATTTTTTCAAATTCAGGTTATAAATCAACCTCAGCAGACTGGAAGGTTCAATATTAGCACACAATTTCCTTATTACAAGGAAGTTATTTTCAGACCAAATTTCACAACAAAATCAGGTGGACAACCTGTTGTTTTCGATATGGATATGAGCGCTGGAGATTTCCTAGCTCTTCTATATCTCCTAAAATTGCCAAGGGAATTGATCAATCTAAAGGTGACATATACACAAACAATTACATATGCAACATTTTGTAAAAATGAGCTTGTTAATGAAATGAAAGCACGTATAAAACCAGGGAATACTAGTTAGTTCAACTGGATGGGCAACCTCTGCTACAATCGATGTTATATATGATGTACTGCATATGATGGGCCGGGACGATATAGCAGTTGGTCTTGGAAATGTATTCGCTGTTGGCCAAGCATATCCATTTTTCAAAGCTATTGGAGACTGCAAGTATTCCAAGGCTATTCCTCATGGTTCTGGTGGTTTCTTGGATTCTGATACACTATATGGCCTTGCTCGCGAGCTGCCTCGTGGTCCTAGAAGGTGAAAATTTAAAGATTTTGACTTCCCCATTCATTATATTGCATGTGAAGCATTATTTTTCACATAATACATGTAAGATTATGGAATGTTCTTTTCAGAAAGGGGTATTTTTACATATTTGATGCAAGATACTATGTTTCAGATACACAGCAGAAAAATCTGTGACATTTGGAGACATTCGCGACACTGATCACCCCGAGTTTAGGCAACCATCTGCATTAGATGTTTGGAAATCTGTTGTAGAATCACTTGATGGAGAATCTAAGGTTACTGTGGTGACTAATGGGCCATTAACTAATTTAGCGGAAATAATTCAGTCAAAGAATGCAAGTTCGGTGATTCAGGTAAGTAATTTAGATTTAGTGCAAATTGTTCAACAGTACTTCTTAATGTTTTCATTGTAATAATTTCTGATGCAGGAAGTTTATATTGTTGGAGGCAACATTGGAAATGCTAATGAAAAGGGGAATCTATTTACGGTTCCTTGGAACGAATATTCCGAGTTCAATATGTATCGTGATCCTTTGGCAGCAAAGGCAGTTTTAGAATCTGACCTGAATATAACACTAATCACATTAACTATGCAAAGGGCAGTAAGTAATTTCTCTAAAATTCTTAACAATTTACAGTCGGGAAATGTTACTATCCCTGAAGCTAGATTTGCATGGAATTTACTATCAAGGCTTTGTAAATTACAGCAAGAACATCATAGCTACCTCCACATGGTAATTTTTAGTAATTTTAAAATTATTTTTTATAAATTAATTAAAAAATGCTGAATTCAATCATTTTTCCTTTTCAGGATACATTTTCAGGAGAAATTCTTGGTGCAGTAATACTAGCAGGGAATCAAGAACTGAAGCCAACTTTTGATTTAAAAAGTATTAAAATCTTAGCAGAAGGAGATGAAACAAAAATAGGACAAATAGTTATTGATGAAGAGAAAGGAAAAACAGTTAAGATTTTAGAAAATGTTAATCCTGAAGCTTATTTCAATCATTTCGCAGAGGTATTAAAAGATCACAGACAATCTGCTTTTATTGGAAGCTTTCAAGAGCAAGAAAGAATATGGAATACTCCACCAAATACCGAACAATCATCACCTAAGCTGACCAACAATTAGTGGATTTAAGATTGAAAGCTTTACAGCTAAAAATACAATTTTATTCTGTTGCTCGTGTTGTTTTATTGCTTCGCAGTGCAGACTAAGACATTTAAACAGGAAATTGACAGGCTTAACAGATTTTTCCAAGCTGATCAAGGAAAGAGAGCAAAAATTAAGCTGTAATTGCCACCAAACAACAAAATATATAAAAATTAAAAAGAAAGAATCAAACTTGTGCTTCCTAGTTCTATATACATGTACTAGCTAGCTTGTGTGTTATCACAGTCAAGAATAAAATTAGTTTATTTCTGCTTACGTTAAATTTAGAATATTGTTATTTTTGATATGGTGGGATCTGCCTAGCTGGGAATTCACCCTGTCAAATCTACTTAGGACTTTTAAAAATAAGATCAAATCACTTCCTAGTTACTTCTCTTCGGTGTTCAGTCAAATTCACCTTCTTTTTTTTTTATTCTATCAAATGGTTTTTTTGGTATAAGGTTCAATCTCTCGAGCTGTATAGAGTAAATGTTTTTTGCCCTCCTCCCGATCAAATGGTTTTGAATGTCACTTAAACTGTTTCCTAAGAGCTTAAACAGAGAGAGAGAGAGAGAGAGAGAGAGAGAGAAGAGAGCGATTCATTAATATAAGCAAAAAAAAAATTTTAAGCATAAGTCTACCATTTCAGCATGCATTTTGGCCTTACTTGCACATACCCGCAGACCAGGAGACATCCCACCCTATATGAAAGCAGTTGACTTATAAAAAAGATACATCCATACATTGAATGTAAAGATAAGATTATAAATATTTGATTAAAATAAATATTATTCAATGACTTGAACAAATCACACCTCCAAGATGGGGTTTTTCTTATAATTTTGGATACTCAGAAGTACCTATCCCAATACCCAACCACTTGTACCTCCTTAAAAATAATTACATAAACTAATTTTTTAGTATGTTATGTTGTTGATAAGGGCAAATGGTCGGTGGCAAAAACTTTATTTGCCCAATGTTTAATTTTTATTTCACATGCACCCAAAGTTCTGTCCTCCAAATAGGAGCTTAACAGTTACATTGTCATTATCCACTGAGCTTTGATCAGTTGGTGTACCTAATTATGTTTTTAGTTATCAATCCAGATTCTTTTCTTAATAACTATTCTGTTATTGTAACTAATAATTATGCACCGTACAATGATTATCAATACAGCAAATGAGGATTAACAGCTATCCAGGCTCGCCGAGCTAAATCCTATGGAGCCAAGCTTCGAGTCTAGCAGATTTAAGCTCAACTCAGCTTATTTACACCCTTTGGAGATAACTCTAACACCATTGCCTGAAGTCATTCATAGCCATCTTAGATTCATTCTGCCCCTTTTTAGGATACAAGAGAATTGAAAATGAATTAAACAACAAAATGAACTGGGAAGATCAATTCAAATTCTTCAACATTGCTCATACATTATGGATAAAATACAAAATTTAAGCTAAAAATTTGAAGCAAAGTGCTGAATTTAAAATAGAAAATGAGGAGCAATGAAGATTGAAATCCTCTACATATCCAAAATCCCATTCTACTTGCATCACATAGGAAAAGGAAGTGATCCTCCAGCTGACAGGACCTGTCTCTCAAGCTACAATCACACAGTAACTACATTTCAGGCTCATGTTCTCAAACAATATAAGCAAGTTCAGATCAAGAAGCATAATCTTCTACCTTGAACAGAGTTTCAAGCTTGGTTTTCACCAAGTTATACTCGTACTTTACTTGCTGCAAACATTTTTGGCACCTATATATATATACAGCAAGTCAATTTTGTATCAGAACGAAGAACATTCATAAGTAAAGGCTACAGAAATTTGTAATCCTAGTAGTTAAAGAACATAACATTACCCTTCAGTATTCTTCTCATCGCAGTAATTGCGAAAGGTAATGCAGACTTTCTGAACTCTTTGAGCCCCTATGCTGTATCATTTCAAGATGATATGTAATGTACTAAATGTGATCATGAAAAAACTAAATATAAACTCATATATAACAGTTGTTGTGAGAAGACAAATCCTTTAAAGACGATAACTTTCAAGTATTAAGAAACCAAGTATTTAATTTCACCATGCACTAATAATAATTAGATTTAGGTTATCTTTCTCTTGGGAATAAGATTTATTGTAAAATGGGAGACTAAAGTACCTAGAACTGCTGCCCTTCAATTGGTGAACATGAGCATCTATTCTTTTGAAATCTACAGTTTGCTGGTCTCTGTAAAATATAGGAAAACAAAAAGGAGAAACTAGTAATGAACAAAGCTAGTAAAATAAATGCTTTATTTGGAAAAAAATCCAAAAAAAAAAAAAACTCACAGAGCTTTGGTCAGTTCATTAAGAAGCCTTTCTGAATCTTCAAAGAAAAGAGAAACAACTTCAAACACAAAGTCTGGGTTGCTTTCATCTTGCAATTGTTGAAGTTGAGTAAACTGTTCATCCAAGATTCCCTTCAAAGAAAAGAACTCATCTTTAATAATAAAAACCAAAGAAAGAAAAATATAGAGAACTAAAAGATCACCTCTTCTCTTCTCCACTAATAGATATACAAACTGCTCACCTCATTAAACAGTGAAGCTGTGTAGTCAACTAACTGTCGTTGCAACTGAACCAAACAATCCATTGTAGCTTTTCTTTAACCAACTCTCCTCTAGTTTCGTGCAGATCTTGTATAGGAATCACTTCATTTCTTTCTTTTCTTTGGGAAGTCTAAAACCAAGAAAAATGAGGGCTTGATAGACTCGTTGGTCTTTGTAGCTAAAGATTCTTGGCTTTAGAACTTTGAGGTAGAAAATAAGATAATAAATAGAGGAATTTGAAGTCACTCTTTTAGCTTCTTTGGTCTTTAGCCTTCATTTCCCTCCTATATATCCTCTAGGTTTGTGTTTCTCTGAGCTATAAAAAAATTTTAAAGATCCAAAACGTGATTCCTTGTACCGTTTACCTTCCATATTATTTTTGTTTCAGTAATTATTGCTCTCTCTCTCTCTCCCTCCCTTTGCAATATTTTATTTTTCTTTACCCGTTTAGTCTGTTTTCCCACCCCAAGACAAGTTGCTAACTTATCCAAACCGGCAATCACAGTTTCAAAATCTGGTCCTATCTGATTTAAGCTGAGTCCTTATTAATACATATATCAAAAAGTAAGAGATAATTTTCTCTTTTAAACAACAATTTGTAGAATTAGTAAAAATTTTTGATACAGAAAGAACTTTAATTTTAAAATTTAATGCTTTATACATTTTTATAAAAAGTGAAAGGACCGATAAGCACGGATTAAAGTATATAAATTGATTTGAAATCAAATCATTTTACATATATTTACAGAATGTTGTTTTATTTGATTTTTCCCATTTTAATAATATGTTTGAAAGCTTTTTAAACTCATAAATAAACAATATAAAAACATAAACTCAACATCTCTTTTCTTTCCCACAAGATCAAATTGTGGGATTAAAAAATTAATGTCTTGGCTTGATGTTATTGGAAAGATTAATTATAGATAAATAAGAATTTCACTTTAATACTCAAAATATATATATAAAAAAAGGAAATATTTAGGTTTAGATTTATTATCTATTTCTATGACCTACCCAATTGTTTTTTGCCCTCTTATCCTCTCAATGATACGAGTCCTTTGCTTTCATCTTTTGGAGATTCTCATCAAATTTGCTACCTTGGTTGTTTGTTTCTGATTGGCTAATACATTATAATATTTTAATAGGCCATTTTTAATTTTTAACTCAAAAGGGAGATTTTATTTTATTTTATCTTTGAATTATCATTGTGATGTTGAAAGCTTTCACCTTTGACATTGATGTGAACAACGTGTCAATTTTTCAGAGTTCCATGGCTGGGGGGACGTCTATTTTTGAACTAGTGCCAATAATTCTGATACAAAGGAAATGTCTCACCAAGTACTACGTATCATATATCTCAATGCAATCTATTGAAATGTATTTTTTTTATTGATCGAAAAGTTTAATACGCAGCAATAATATTACGGGCTGTATATAGGAGATAACATTCACTTTGGCTCAATAAATTAGTGAAATTATTAAAAATATCTGGGACTTTTAACTTTTTCACACAAGTAAAAATAGCAAACAGAGATCACGTCTGATTTGAAATATATTTTTTATTTATAAAATGACTCTTAAATTATATTAAGATAAATTTTACTTAGTAAAAATGACCCTATTTATTGCAGATTACGTTAATTTAATTGATAAATGTAATAATCTGAGACTTAAATAGTCTCATTTGGATTTTTTTTTTTCTTTCTGCAATTTTTATAATTTGTAATTTTTATCAAAAATATAATTAGGGAATTTTTTAAATTAAGGTAGCTACCTTAGAAAATAAAGAAAAAAAAGAGAAATAATAGGGTGAAATTATTGGTGGGGCCTCGCGTGAAATACAAGTCTTGTTGAGCCCTCTTTGAAAATGATTTATGGGTTCGCGGGAATCGAAAACTTTGGGCCTACTTCAGTTAACCCATCTACCCTACTTGCATTTATGAGACTCCTTTCTTGGCTTTATTTATTTATTTTATATTTACATTAAATTAAAAATATCACATCTATATATATATATATGTGGATTAATTTCATACTAATCTTGTCTCCGACTGCAATTATTATTTATTTATTTATTTTATAAATTTATCCCAAGGTTTGAAAAGATAATTTTTTAAAAGGACAATAACTATTTAGTCCTTTAAATTTAACCATAATTACAATTTCCTTCATAATGCATTGATTGTTTCATGAGATTTTATCCTATTATACTATTTAATCTTTACATCCAAAAAAATAGTATTATTTAATCATCTAATCATTTACATTTACTGTAATAATACTATATACTCCTTGAATGTACTATTAAATTACTATTTAATCCCTCTTTTAACGGCAAAATGACCATTTTCAGACAAAGGACTGAATAGTTCAAGGAGTTAAACTTTAAGGAGTAAGTAATCAGCTTATTTGCAAAATAAAAAAGAAAAAAATCATAATTATAATACAAATAGAAACTAGCTAAAGAAAAAAGAAAAAACATCTCATAGATATAAAATTTGGGTAAATGAGTGATTTTGAAATTGGAAGGACCAGTTGTTTATGTGCCTCTAATGTTGATATGATCGGAATCAAAGTGGGGGCCAACTATTTTGAGTAGCAGCTTTGCTGCCATGAATATAGCTACCAATGCAGGCCACTAGAATACAAGGATTTGGGATGTCTGGGAATCCAAAGTCCAGACTTGAATGAGTGTTCCTATCTCAGTACCCACCTAGACTTTGTACTACCATCGTTTCTTGTCTTTTTTCTAGTTTGGCTTTTTCTCTTTTCCGTCGTTTCCTTTCTTCTCTTCTCTTAGTTATGTAGTAATGTTCTTGTTGAGAGCCATCCTTGTCACCCTCCTCCTTATTCTTTACAACAAATTTGAAAATAACAGACCAGAGAAGTTCTAATTTCAATCTAAATTCCAGTTTCCCCTGCCTAAATAAGATGGCTAATTTATGAACACTAACATATAGAAAGATTTCATTCCATCAATTTCAAAAGTCTGATCCTGCTACATTCTTTTGCAGAAGAGATAATATGTTCCAAATGCATGCCACTGTTCAATACCGGATGACAGCCAAGAATTCAGACAAAATTTTCCTCAGCACTTCTGGCCAAAAAGGGCTTAACCACTTCCTATTATCCCATATCCCACGCACACACAGTACTCTTCACATGCATTGGTAAGTAGCATGCCGTGACAGAACTAAGAGGTGCAAAAACACTAACAGATGCAATAAAGGACAATAATTTTATTTTTTTTTGTCGCGGTTTTTATGCTTTTCTGGATGAGATAACATTTTAGTTCCACCAAGTAAAAACAAAACATCAATTTCGAGCCAACAAGAGAATGTGATCACTTTCAAGAACAGGTACCTGGACAGAAAAAACAAACAGAATGTGTATGATAAGGTCTTTCAAATTTTTTTTTTTATTTCTATTTTCTTTTTTTTTTTTTTTTTCCCCTTTTGAAGAATGAATACACTCAAGAAATGGACCTTTCCACACAAATAATTTGTATTATGAATATCAATTTACAGCATGTACATCAGAATTAGAAGAGGAGAAAAGCCATTCGTTTGGACTGGCAAATCTTTAATTAATCAGTCAGTAAACGTTCCCAATGTTGAGAGGATATTACCTGCAACCTTTTTAAATTAGTACCTAACTCTCCATTAGGCTGACCTTGCATCAAACTTTGCACAATGAATTGAATGAAACTGAAGAAACGCATAATTTAGCAGAATTTGAAATGGGAGGAGACATCAACCTGCAGGCCGAAAACAGAAAATTTCAACAACTTTGGATGAATAAAGGATTCAGTTAACCAATAGTTCCTGTCTAAACTAATGTGAAAGGACCAATAATCCTAAATCACACCTACTTCTGTGATACTTTCATGATGTAGTATAAAAACATTTAGATGATACTTTCAACACCCTACCTACCTTCCTCAGAGAAGGCGAAAACACCTCCAAGCATGTCATCATTGTCTTCTTCAGATTTTTCTAAATCAGAAGGACCATTGTTCTTGTCCACAATACTAGCTGCTGTTGATTCATGACACTCACTTAATGCAGATACCTTACAGTAACCCTCTTGAAAAAACTGCTCAAAATCAAAAGAATCATTTGTTGGCCCCTCATCTATAATGTTCATACTCAAGTCAGAACGGTTAGAGCTTGTGTTTGAAGCTTCACTGGTCAAACCACTGTTTGACGACTGAACTTCTTTTGCAATTGCTCTTCCAGCAGAAAGAGAACCATTTGTTAAGGATGTTACATTACTATCCACCGAATTACTATCTTCAGGGGAAATACCCATTTGGGATTGTTCAAAAGAACCTGAACCACTATCTTTGTTAACAGTACTTTTGTAAGAGATAGGCGACACAGAAATAGATATCCCTCCATCACCGGTAGCATTACCAGATTGGAGAACAAGTGGATAAAATTTTGTCGATGATCCTGGTGAAAAATGCCAAGAATAAAAATGAGACAAGTCATATTTACAAAAAAAAAAAAAAAAAAAAAATTGGAGAACAAGTGGATAAAATTTTGTCGATGATCCTGGGTGAAAAAATGCCAAAGAATCAAAATGAGACAAGTCCATATTTACAAAAAAAAAAAAAAAAAAAAAAAAAAAAAAAAAAAAAAAAAAATCAAATATCTAATTCAGAATCACCATACCACCATTGGGGTTTGCAACTGAGCCAGTTGAGACCAACTTGGAGGGGGAAATAACAGCATCTTCTGACTCTTTACCTTCGTGAGAACCGGTCGATGAAGTTGAGTATCTTTCACCACTAAGACTCCTGCAGGAAACAACAAATAATGATCATTTACGAAGGGCACTGTGTGGATATACAAAAAACAAAAAGAACACAAATTTTTCTTCAGATGCCGAGCATGATGTACTTAGTTACAAAATATCATTGAGGAGCACAAGAGATTCAATAAATCTGGCCACTGTAATGAACAAAGGAAAGATGAATGGAAACATATCCGAAGGAAAGATGAAACATAAAAGGACCATGTCAGAGAAAAAATAGACAATTACACATCCGAAGGTGGACAATTACATTGAAAACAATTGAGAAAAACACTAATCTGAGACATAAAGTTAAGCAGGAAGCATTAGGAAGGGGTTGTCAGTTGTTGAGCATATTGCCTGTTAAGAATCATTCAGTGGGAAAAAAGCTCCCTGAATGATTGATACAATGACAAAAAGCACTATCACTATATTTAATCAAAATGCAACCTTAATAATAGTTATTACATGGTTATCAGAATGTATAAAACATGTGAATGCACCTGTTACTCCAATTAGGGAGACTCCTGTGAAAATGATCAAAAACAGGTAATAAATCCTTCCGCTTGATTTCAACCTCTTGAACCGGAACCTTCTCTACTTCAATCTCTCCACACGCAAGATCTTCAATGACATTACGTTCTGTTGTGTCAAGATGACTAATAATGTAGAAATAAACCTGAAATACAAATGAATCAAACAAAAGGAAAATTGAAAAATGAAAAGTAGAAGCATCTGACAATTACATAATGACCAATACCTTAGATTTCTGCCAAAGTGGGATCCTCCACGAGCTCATCTGCACCTCTGCATTGGAAAGATACAAGTGAGATGGTTCGTGGGACTTAAATGATCCCATGTGTTCAGTATCATTATCTTCACAATCAGAAGTTTCCATGGGAAAGTCTGTAGTTTCTAGTCTGCCTAGGGTAATTCCAGAAATACATTCCTCTCTATCTGGCCAATCTGCTCTTCGGCAAACATCCCACCACTGAACAGATTCAACATTCACCCGCAATTCCTCATCTTGCATCTGCACTGAAGAACCTTGTCCAATTCTTGAAGCAACTTCAAGGGACTCTCCCCCCACTGACGACAGCAATTTATATTGAACTAGATGACCACAAGGAGTATAGACTAATAGGTGGTCCAAAGCATGAACATTTTTCAAGTGAGCAGGTTGCATATCTCGAGGTACACTGCTATGGAAAACCGCAGCAATAGCACCAGATGGGACTGATGTCTTTCCTGCTGCAGAAGATGCAGCATTGCTAACTGTGTTGAGCCAGCCAGAATTATTATTCTTTATTCTGCTCACCACGGACAGGGTAACAGGCAGTGGTGGTGGTGCAGAAAAAGACAGCTGGTTTACTGTGAACGAAGGAGTAGACCACCATGGTAGAGATAAAACTGGTAAAAGACTAGGCCCATCCACATGTGAATTGTGAATTTGAAGAACATTCTCACCACCAAAAGGGGAAAGCACAAAAATATGGCAAGTTCCACGGGATGAAACAATGGCTATCCACTGACTATAATGACTAAAGCAAATATCTTGTATTACCTGCAAAAAAAAAAAAAAAAAAAAAAAAAAAAAAAAAAAAAAATATTACCTGCAAAAAAAAAAAAAAAAAAAAAAAAAAAAAAAAAAAAAAAAACACAGGAAAAACAAAAAAAAAAAAAAAAAAAAAAAAAAAAAAAAAAAAAAAAAAACACAGGAAAAACAAAATCTACATGAAGATACAAAAAAAGAAAAAAAGAAAGAAAGACAGGGGAAGCTGGAACATACAGCTGACGTAATGCCACGATGGAGCTTATAAAGATGCACATGAGAAGAGCTCCAATCGTAACTCTTAGTGCCAGATCCACTTTGAGATGAGGAAGGCATAATCCGAAAAATATTTATGTTGTTCCCATGAATTGAGGCAGTAACCAGAAGTGTACCACTAGGATCAAAACAAAGAGCGGAAATTGGACTAGTATGAGCTCTAAATTGTGATATCACAGCTCTGGAAACGAAATCTTTCACAACAACCTGCAATATGCCACTAAAATAAGAGGGAAAAATCTTCAAATACAAGTGATTCCTAAGTACTATGATGACATGCGTAAAATTCTATTACTTAGAAAATTCCACATCCCTCTAGAACTTGGCACGTCTAAAATTGATAGCCATATTAAACTTTCAGAAGATCATTCACCTGGGAACTTGAACTTAAATGTATTATCCACAGGCAAAATGAAAGACATAAGCCTAGGCACAAGCAATTAAATTTCATTTCCCTGTCATAATCTTTATGCTTTATTTAAAATTTAAGTTAGCTTGCCAAACTAACCATTCCTGCATTATCTGTTTCTGAAGAATGTGTTGCACCCCGATTCACTTTCCAAGTTGAATTTGAATATACAGGAGAATTAGAACCATCGGGGACAAATTCTTGATAATATCTAGACAGAGTCTTGTAACCCATGTCTCCCAAATTTATTAAGCCAGAAGCTATCTGCTTACTAGATTCCATGGCATAACGAGCCATCAAACTCCCACTGCCTGGTGAAGTTGATGGACTGACACCTAGTGGAGGAGTAAGACTTTGTGGACTTAAACGGCCTGTGTTTGACAGTAGTGGATTGTCAGAAGCATATGCTAACCACCGAGGGCCCACAGCCATTGGACCATATCCAATATTAACCCCACCAATTCCTTGGCCTCCAAACTGAGGGACAGGGTAAGTGAGAACACTGAATTTATTCTCGAGAGTTAGAGCATCAAAGCAATATATCTGCAAAATATGAAACAAACCAAGTTTTAGCTGAGTTTAAATCGGTTATGACTAATTATTAATTTAGCCAAACCAAACTAACATAATAACAATTATAGACAGCAAAAGCTTCCAGCAATCAATGTCTTGATTAAGTGGCAGCAATTCTGCAATCATCCTTAGTCTTGACTCTTCTGGCTTTGAAAGTAAATGGTGAAAACTAACCTCAGACACAACTGTACTAGGAATTACTTGGTAAACATCTAACATTAGCTTATGCTTACTTGTGTTGAAAGGCCCACGGCCACGATATGTGGACTGCATCTAACCATATAAACTGGCGAACGAAATCTCAAAACATGAACATAATTATGAGATCTTAGCGAGTAAAAACCCACTGTAGTAGGAGAAATGGAAAAGCTTCCCATTTGAGGCTCGTTATAGCCATCTCTGATGAACCCATCTCTCCCGTTAAGCATTGGGCCTGAGCTTTTTGATTCACCACATGTGACAACCAAGAGCAAAGGATGTGATGCTTTGAATCCTTCATGGCCCTCAGATTTTGCAGGCAGAGGCTGCATCTGTAAAAATGTAACTGGGACATCACGCTTGGAAACGAGTTCAATGACATTAGAAGCATCATCAACATCAATGACTTGAAAGCCATTGGAATACCCAAGTAAGAGAACATGTTTGAAGGAAGATGGACCAAGCTCTAGTCTGTCAAAGGAAGCCCAAAGTACCTGTTTGACCATAGAACTCCATATCAAGCCTGTAGGCATAATATGATAATCGATATGCAACATACACAAATAGGCACAAACAGAAACAGAGGTATTGAAGTAAACTTTTGACCTCAAAAGTCTTCTAATAAATCATCAAATGACACTAAGTTGACTTGCTCAAAAGGTAAACAAAGTGGCCCTAGACTAGGCTAAATCCTCCATTGCTATCTCCTCTTACTTATCCTTTAGCCCCTGTAAATAAATCTTTAATATTAACTGAACAATCAGCAAAACACTTTAAGAAACAAATGTTGAATCCCCATTAGGTGAACTAGATAAGACATTGAAACAAAAAATATTCAGTACCAAATACATTGGTTTTCCCGTTAGGCAAAGATGCCTCCAGTATACTGGTGGCAATCAATTGATCAATTAATTTCATAATAAACACGGTTCAAGGTCTTAGGTTCTCCTAATCCCAAAATAAAACTAAACTTACAATCAAAGATTAAAATTTTGCGGTACAATGGATCCATGTGGAAATGGTGGCTAATTTTGCAAGAATGAACATCAGTTTCAAAAACAAAACTGGACATATTTCTTTTGTCCACAGAAAAAAAAAAAAAAAAATTGCAGCTCAACTTCACAATATCAGTAATTATCAACCATTTCACTTAGTTCTTTTGGCGGCAATAAAAAAAAATGTAGAACTTAAACGAAGTTTAATTACTTTACAATATCACTAAGAATTATCACTGATGCAAGCAGTTATCAACCATTTCACTTATTAAAAACAAATTTTGAATATAAACTGAATCTTTCTTTTTTTGCTTCAACTTTTATCACCTTAAAGTTCATAGGATAGGACGAAAACAGAATTTTTTTTGAGGTCCTTATACTCATTATGCCTAGCATTGAATAAGAATGGTTAGAAAGAGAAATATCTGCAGGGATACAACAACGTATTGGACCTGGCAACCAAGCAGATTTCACTTCTAAAGTTAATTGAAATTAAAATCACAAATCGAACCAATTCAATTAGCTGATTTTGTAAATAGCAGCATAGATAAATAGAGAAACTAAAATGAAATTGAAGTCAAAAGAGTAATATAAAAGAGCGTATAAAGAAACCTGGTCTTTACGGTCTTGATTATCACCGGAGATAGAAGCGGCGACAGAGGCACTAGCGGACCGGACACCAGATGAGGCGGTTTTAATGCAAGAAGAAATGAACTTCAAAGAATTCGGGAGAAAGCCATTGCTGTTAGTCTTACTATTGTTTCCCTTGCTGTTATTCTTCATAATAAATCAAAACACTATCCAAAATTACTCAACCAAAATTCACCGGCCACCGGGAAGTTACCGGGGAACAGGAAGTCTGGCCACCACGATCGTCAATAGCATAAAGAGCTGAGTACCGATGAAGAGAAATAGCAGCGAGAAATTGGCAAGCTCCGGCGAGAAATTGGATTTTGATGGTGTTTGGTTTGGTAGTTTTGACCTTCGAGAGGGAGAAAGAGAAACGGTTCTTTGCTTTTGTTTTGTGTTTTCTTGTTGATCGAACTGTTTTTCTCTTTTCTTTTTTCCTTTTCTATCTGAAAAAAGTAATAAAATAAAATAAATGTGTTTAGCTTTTGTGACCAGAGTTCTATGTGTGAGTTCGGGTGTTGATTGCTCTGTAAGCTAATTCTGCGAAATGTCAGAAGCATCCTATGAACTTTAGCTAAATTCCTCTGTGTCCCAAATGTTTTCAAAATGACAATGGAACCCACATTTGGAAGGCTGAAAAAACAACTGATATTACAACTTCACCACTTTATTAATCTAGAGGGATCTGATTTTAATAGAATCAAAGTAGGTTCAATATTTCCAATTTTGAATTGAAATTAAAACGAAATTAATCGTGATGAGCTGGTTTGAATTCTAGTCTTCAAAATCGGAAACGGTTCAAAATCACGAAGATTCACCATAATTAATTGCTTTTGAATTCAAAATAGGAGTGTGTAAATCAACATTTTGATTCTAAATTGAACCGGATCACAAAAATTGATAACCAAAAGTTTCTTTTTTCTTAGACGAAAACCATATTAATTTTTGTTTGGAATCAAACTAAACTCATTGGTTCAATTCAGTTTAGATTTAAATTTTAATATTAATAATAATATAAATTTTTTATAATTTAAAAAGTTTATTGTTAAATATGAGAAGAATGTAAAAAAATATAAATTATGAAAGCCGCCGATGGTGGTGGTGGTTGGTGGTAAATAGTGACCGGTGATGGTGACTATAATGATTAATAAATTAAAAAAAAATATGGATTCATAAGGTTTGTCAATGTCTGAAAAATACTTTATTCTCTCGAAAATGAGAAGTTATTTTTCATAAAGAATGACTTAATTTTCTTTTGACTAGAAAAATAATTTTCATCGACCTATTTTCCTGAATGCCCCAAACAACAGAAAATTATGTAAAATATTTTTTGCAATTTATTTTACGAAAACAAACAGAACTTAATAGTTTAAATTTTAAAATTAGTTAATTAATTTTTTTTAATTCTCCATCCCATTATTCTCTCTATTGCATTCAATTTATATATAGGTAGCCTTAAAATTTATTGGAAAAATGTGATCAGATTATTTAAGAGATAATTTTAGGATAAGGGTGTAATTGAACAACAATCATATTCTGAGTAGAATAAAAATAGATTAAAGAAGAAAAAATTAATGAAATATTGAAATTATAAAAATTACAACTTATTTTTCAACAGAGGGTGTATTTATTTACATGGAATTAAATTTTAAATTTACCAATAGATCACATATATCAAGACGGGAAGATTGATGATATTCAACATAAATAAACAAGCCACGAGGTGACAACATGACATATAGAAGGGAGCACGTGGGGGCAAATAGGTCTTTGTAGTTATAAACAAGAGACATAATGGCGTCATGGTAGTTAATTACAATTATTCATCAATTAATGAGGAACAAATGGCAATATCAAAAACTAAGGGGAGGCTAATGATAATAAAGCAATCGTAAGACATAGGAGAGTAGACATTAGTTACGTTACGACAGGGAACGGATGAGAATTGAGAATATCTTCAAAACAAGATTCCGAATTACAGCTACCTTTTTTATTTTATTTTATTTATTATTTATCTTCCCAGGTTTTACGGTGCCGTAAATTTGGTTATTTTTACGGCTAGATCGGGATTTGTCCACCGTAAATTTTGGGGGGAAAGAATACTAAAACGACATGTCTGTCTCCACTTTAGCAAAAATACATCAAAGGAGCAAAATACTAAAAAGGTGACGTGTACACGTCCACTTCCTCAAGGCAAATCCATTTTTACGTGTCATTCTCACATTAGTACTTTATCAACACCTCATCATTGTATATGCTCATTGTGTTTTCTTTTTCTTTGGGGGAATAAAATGTTTTATTTTTGTTTTAAATTATAATAATTGTATATTATTATATGATACGTGTATGTGCATTAATTTGAGTGGAATAGTATGATTTAAAGGATAATGATTTTAGCATATAGATTTTTTTTAATATAAAAAATATGAGAACTTATTTGGCATTTTCATTAAAAAAATATTATATGATCAAAGTTTTATTTCTCTATAAAGCTGAAATTTATCTTCCACAAAGCATCCCATGTCTCAGAAAAACCCCAGTGTATATACATATACAGGGATAGTGGCAATGGAAGAAGATGATCTGGTGCTTTTTTTCACATATGGAAAGAAAACCAGTTCAACATGTTTTATATGGAATTTGAAATCCGTACTTAACTGAGTATCATTTTTCAATCAAATGCCATGTAAAACAGAAATCTTGGGGTATGATTTTATTTCCGTAGGAGTTTCAAAACCTTCTTGAAACTGCAAATCCCAAGGAAACTAAGATCAATAACTAGTACCGGTATTATTTCTCTCAAGGGAACTAAGATTCTTTTGCTTTTGAACAATTCAACACCCTAGAGCAAGTTCCCTATGTCGTTTGAGATCATTCAGATACTTAGTTGAATTGTATTCTTGTGCATCCAGCAGTTCTTCAGAGTAAGTTCTTTGGAAAGACTTCTTCTTGCGTTCTTTTGCACATCTTTTTGCATATTCGTCGCCTCTTAGAAGTATCACAACCTGCATAACGAGTAGATTATGTTATTTCCATGTAAATTTAACTGTGATAATGCTAATTAGTGTAAAGGAATTGCACTTTCCTGATTTATTCGAGGACGAAGAATAGGAGATGGCTCAATGCACAAAGAGGCAGTCAAAACTATTCGGTCCATCTCTTCAGGGTCATAGTTACCACCAAGAGAAGGATCAGCAAGTTCCTTAATATCATTGTTATCAAGGAAAGGCTTTGCCTATGAAAAAAAAACACCCAGAAAGGAAAATGGGTAGCTCATTACTTTACATGGAATAATGGTATGAACAATTTTTGCAGAGGTAAAATTACCCAAGCCACAAGGCTTTGCTGTAAATGATCGATAGCCGGGCGTCCGGTTATGAGCTCCAAAAGTAGAACACCAAACGAATATATATCAGTTTTCTCATCAACTATGCCATGCATAAAGTATTCAGGAGCAAAGTAGCTGCAATTTTAAAAGAAAAACAGGGTAACATATTGACATTTCAAGTCACTTGATTGATTAACTATAGATCAAAGTTGTATGATCACAAACCCGAATGTGCCTTCAAATTTTTGTACATTGTGGTGAGTCCATTGCCTGGGCAGCCACTTGGCAAGGCCAAAATCACAAATCTGGAATAGATGGGATAGTGCATCAGTGAAAGAAAAAATTTAATATAAAGATTGATTCTCATGTGTAACTCGAAATATATATACCTGAGGCACATAATCTTCCGTAAGAAGAATATTGTCAATCTTTATATCTCTGTGGATGATTCGCTTTTGACAACCCTCATGAAGATACATCAATCCATCAGCTGTCCCTAATGCAATCTTACATCTTTTACTCCACTCAAGCTTGACTTGTGAACCTGGAAATGTAAGTAAAGAACAACCAAAGTAACTAGAAAACCAAAACTCTTTTTCAATTCAAGTACAGAACTAAATGCAAGATAGGAACGAACCGCGGAGAACAGATCCTAAACTCCCCAGTGGAGACAATTCGAAAACAAGGAACATCCCTCCATCAATCCCACAACCAAGCAACTTAGCAGTATTAGGATGATCAACATAGGCCATAATCCCAAGCTCAGATAGGAATACTCCTGTTTGTTCATCAGAAGTTCCTTTAGTCAACCGCTTTATTGCTACTAGCTTTCCATTTCGCAGACGACCCTTATAGACCTCAGCAAAACCGCCCTTTCCAATCAAGTTTTCTATAAACAATATCATACATAATATATATTAATAACGAATAAAAAGCAAAACAATAATCAAATTTCACAAAGCACTTAAATTTCTAACCAGGGCTAAAATTGTTGGTTGCTGCTTCAAGCTGAGAAAGTGTGAAATCCTCCAATGAAGACTTGAACTTATATAAATCTCTCAGTAATGGGTTCTCTCTTGAGCTTCTGCTCTTTCTTATTGGTAGTTTTGGCATAGGGAGAGGACTGAAGAAGTTCAAGTGCTTTAGTGACCTCTTTTTCCATAATCTAATGAATCTACCCCAATGAGACTGTGCTCTTGATTTTGAAGAACTAGCTTGTGCTTCTTTCTTGGGAATATCAGGAGGGATGGAGGTAGATTCCAAGCCTTCTAGGCAGGCTTCTATAACTCCTGTTGGAGAATATCCATCTTGTCTTTCCTTTTCCTTGTCTGAATGTCCCATGCCCACAAAACATGAAAATCATTTATGACAAAATATGGAACTAGTCACAGTCAGACATTCATGCTAAATAAGAAACTGCAAAAAAATACCATGAGTAGAACCAGCAAAAGAAAGTAATTTGCTAAATTTTTTATGTTTTGGTGTTGGTGGAGGAGTCTCTGCTCGTTGAGATCTCCCTGATGATTGACAAAGTTCCTTCCCGTTCTCCCTGAATAGAAAAATAAAATAAAGAGGAAGCAATGTTAAAGCTCAAGGAAGATACATAAAAAAACCATATACAGTGTAATTGTTGTGGGTGTTTGCCATCTTAATTATATGTTGTTCTAACAGACTTGGCCTCTTAAAACCTCTCAACAGCCAGCATTGAATGAGGGGGAAGGAGAAAGGTTTCCTCATTCTGTAGCCTGACCATAGGCAACCCAAAAATTTTGGAACTAATGCGCAAACTAAAACTTGGATAAAGATAAATCATAGAAATCAGAAGACATAACATCCAAATCATGTAGAACTCACAACTCCTGAAAAAAAAAAAAAAACCATCCATTTCATATCATATTCAGGCATAAATAAGAAATTAATCACCAAGCACAAGATAACAAAAAGTCTGTTGGGGTTTATATTCACATAACATCTAAAACACCCATTAACTCCATAAACATTAAAAGCATAGGCCTTTAACAAAATGATAAGAAACCACACAATGATCTTCTCAAAAAAAAATTGTCCCCAAATCTACGAGCTTAAACTCCTAAACAGAAAAGTAAAAAAAAACTAAAAAGTGGACATAAAAGCGAAAACCTTCTATCTCCCTCCCTATGAATGTAAACAAAATCGAAGAAAAAATTATAATAACCATAATTGTAAGCACAACCCAAAAAATCCATATCCAAAAATTATTACATTTAACAAGGTTGATTCTGTTATATATGTATGTAAAATGATAGATATAACACAGACCCCTTACATGAGAACGAAATGAACGCCACACAAGAAGATATTAAGACATACCCAAATGAGGGAAGATGAAGGGGAACACACGCATACCATTGACTAATAGTGTTACTAGAAGATTTATGATGGTTTCTACCCGCAGCAGTTGCCATGAAAATAAACAACAGCAGGCTCACACAGCCTCCAAAACAGAGAGAAAGAGAAGAATAAGAAGAAGAGGTGGAAACAGAGAAGAAGGGAGAGAGACCCAGAAACAAAAACAAGAATTGTCGTATGTGGTCGCTATAACATTAAAGATTAAACCTTTATTTTGAATAAAACTTATCTAGACCCTGGAAAGAAAATCTCCAAGCTATAAATGGAAAAGCCTCATTGTTATGTCTTTCTCTCGCTTTCTCTTCCGTTTGTTCTATTGTTTATGTTTATGTTCTCTCTCTCTTACATAAGTCCGTGAAAATCGCTGGAACAGTCTAATGGTTGCTGACAAGTGGTAAGAGCTCTGAAGCGACTTCTGCTCTCCGCCTTTGAACCCGACAGAGAAACAGAAGGACTTTAAAGAGAGAGGGAAAGTTTTTCAGTTAGAAACTACTAACAATCTAAAGTTTATTTTAATAAATCACTATCCTTTTTTGAAATTATATCTTTTTTTTTTTTTAATTATATATCTTACTACATACAATATATCAAATTTTGTTTTCCATATATAAATTATTATAATTATTACTGGTATATCACAAATTAATATCAAATAATTGGTTTATATTATAATTGGAAATGGAAGACATATATGGTGTATGATAGTGAAAACAAAAGGGTCAGAGCACAAAATGGTTGAATATATTTGTAATAAACAAAAATATAAATTATTAGTGCACTGTCATAGAAAGAAATGAAGAATGTTTTCTTGTCGTCAACTCGTTATTGCAGTAGAAATGAGCTAACCGTCAAACGCACCAAAAATAATTGAAATGAGACATATATGGTTGATGATAGTGAAAACAAAAGGGTCAAGAGCACAAAATGGTTTAATATAATTTGTAATGAACAAAATATAAAATATTGAGTGCACTGTCATCGAAAGAAATGAAGTGTTCTTGTCGTCAACTCCGTTTGCAGTAGAAATGAGCAACCGTCAAACGCACCAAAAAAAAAATATATTTATATATAATTATAAAAAGAAAGATATATATATATATATATATAAAAGAAAGAGAGTGTTTTCAAATAAACGATAAGTCACCCTTCTGAAATATAAATTTTGAAAAATATTATTTTTAATTTAATCTAAAGAAAAAAAATTAAATTTATTTAGAATTTTATTCTTGTCATTTAAATTTAAATTTAAAATTTATTAATTAAATATGAAAATTTTTAAATAATTATTTAAATATATATAGAGAGAGGGGATAAACAAATGAAAAAGTATAAAAAATAAAAAAACTCTTAGATCTGGACCAAGATTGGGCCAATTTGAAAAATCCAAGCCCGAAATTAGGTGAACATGAACAAGTCCAGTGTGAACAAAAATTATAGAAGCCCGCCAATTCATAAATGCCCAATTTGCTCATTACATAATTAATGCGTTAAAAACCATTTCATATCAATTAAATTTAATTCACAAGGAAAGTACTTAAAGGTATACTCTATCCATCCCATTAAATAAAAAATTGATATAATTTAATTTTTTTCCCATTAGAAAATTCATATAAAATGTAAAAAAATCCATTTATTTGAAATTATCTAAAAAAATAAATTTCTCATCAAATGGGCCCATTTGGAAATTTGGCTCTTTTAACTATGAAACAAGAGTACCTTACAAAAATTAAAATAAAGAATTTAAATTACGTTATAAAGTGTGAAGAGAGGTTTGGAATTTCTATGCATTTTTCCTAGTAATAAAAATATAAATTATGTTGTATAAGTCACTCATAAGAATGTGAAACCAACTTGGTTTTGACAAATTAAAACATCCATAAAAGGGTTTTTGACTTTTTTTTTTTTTTTTTTTAAATCTAAGGATAAGAGGGAGTCAGATTCACTTCTCTTTTCATGGTTCTTAGTTTGTGTTTATTAAAGATTAGAAGAATGGTCAATAGCTTCACCACAGTGCCTAATAGAGTAAGAAAGTATGTCCGACCCACCATGAATTTCATCTAATATAAGAGATTAATCAATGCAAATTTAGATAATTAATTATCTCGCATTGCATCATTATATTTAAAGATCATTCTTTTTTTTTTAAAAAAAAAAAAAAAAAAAAACATATTTCATATTCATCTTTTATCAAGAACATGAAAATTTGATTATATAAAATTCATATAAAATTAGTTTTTTTTTTTTTTAAGTTTTCACAAACGGTTTTTCTTTTTTTTTTAAAAAAAAAAAAAAAAACATAATATACACTATTCATCTTTTATCAAGAACATGACAAATTTGATTATATAAATTCATATAAAATTATTTTTTTTTTTTTAAGTTTCACAAACGTGTTTTCACGTTCGGATTGAAAAGTAGTATTCATGTAAATAATTTTAAAAATTTAGAATATAATTTTGTAAATAAAATTATTTGGAAATGTAGTCGATGACGCATGACGATTAAAGTGAAAATTAATTGATTTGTGATTAATTGACAAGTTTAATAATGTACAAAGAAGGAGCTTCTTGAAAGCTCGTTTGATTTATTCAAACAAATATCATATATTATAAATCAAAAAACCCATAAAGTCACATGAGCTCCAAATTAAGTGCTTGCAATTTACTATTCCCTATAAAGACAAAGCAAGATTCTTTTTCACTTCGGTTTTTTAAAATTCAGTTGAGAGTCTTGAGACCCATTCCAAGTCTCACTTGCCGCCAATTAACTAACCGCCAAAACCGGCCATTGATTGATTGATTTGAGTCTCAAGCATTTCAAAAATTAAGGATAAAGTTAGGGTTTCCAATTCCCAATTCCCAATTCCCAACAAACCATGGTTTTCAAATCCCACGAAAACTTGTTGCTTTAGAGATATCATGTCTCTCTTTCCCTTCCCTTTCTTTCTTTTACTATTAGTCTTAACATTTTCCAATTTATCTTCTTCATCAGCTGCAACTTTCCCCAAAATCTCAAACAAAAACCTTACTGGTACTGCTGATGAATTATCAGACTCCTCTTGTCCACTGAACTTCAATGTTCTTCGTGAACTAGCCGATGAAGCCCCTTTAAAGCTTGCTCTAATTGATGTTCCAAGGCAATGCACATATATTCGAAAAGGGCTCCTTTTTGTTCGATCAGAATATCTTCGAACAAATGGGTTCTTTTTTCCTCCTCCAGACACTTTAGAGGCTTGTTGGAACTCATATGGGAAGTTAGTAGCAGAATACTTGCATGGTTTTGATGCTCAAGCTACTTGTGGATATCATCCTGAATGGATTTCAGAGACTTATATGAATATTACAACTAAAGCACAATTTGAAGCCCTAATTCCCACAACGGAATTGCAAGAAATGACAGATTATTGTAACAGATCTTTGGATAATACCTCTTCTTGTAAATCTTGCACTCAAAAGTTGTCAAGTATTGAAAAACTGTACCTTCAGGTTAGTCCTTATGATGATGATCTAACTGAGGATGCTTCTGATTATTTGTTCATGTATGCAGCTGCTTTTAGCAATAAACTTGGACCGGGCGATTCAGCAACTGCAAAATGCTTATTCACGCTTGAATTTTCTTGGCGGTTAACTTCTGATAGGAAACGCAAATCTGTGATTTCAGGTGTTGTTTTAGGTTGCATCATTGGAGTTTTTGGTGCTGCTGTTTCAGTTTGGTTGTTTTGGATATTGCATAAGAAATATGGAAAGAAAAAAATGAGAAGTTCTGTTGATTATAAAGATCATGAGAGTAGTTTGGAATTCGGATTGGGAAAACTATATAGGAGAAGTGCTAATTTAGTGAAATTTAGAATAGATGAAATTAGGGCTGCCACAATGAACTTCTCAAGAAATTATCTAATTGGAAAAGGAGGATATGGAAATGTTTACAAAGGAACATTACCGGATGGTTCTCAAGTTGCATTCAAAAGATTCAAGAGCTGTTCAGCTTCTTGTGATGCAACATTTGCACATGAAGTAGAAATCATTGCAAGTGTTAGACATGTCAATCTTGTTGCTTTAAGAGGCTATTGCACTGCAACAGTTCCAATGGAAGGTCATCAGAGAATTATTGTATGTGATTTGATGCATAATGGGTCTCTTTACGATCATTTATTCTTATCAGAAGAGAATAACAAGCTTAGCTGGCCTATTCGACAGAAAATCGCGCTTGGAACAGCTCGCGGATTAGCTTATTTACACTATGGAGTACATCCTGCTATAATACATAGAGATATAAAAGCTAGTAATATACTTCTTGATGATACATTCGAACCAAAAGTTGCAGATTTCGGCCTGGCAAGATTCAATTCTCAAGGATTGACACATTTAAGTACAAGAGCTGCAGGTACTCTTGGCTATGTTGCTCCTGAATATGCCCTATATGGGAAATTAACAGAAAGAAGTGATGTTTATAGCTATGGAGTTGTACTTCTTGAACTTTTGAGTGGAAAAAAAGCATATGAAACTAATCCTGATGGAGAAGTTTCTCTTCTGACAGATTGGGCTTGGTCTTTGGTTAAACAAGGTAGAGCATTGGATGTTATAGAGGAGAATATACCTGAATTGGGTTGCAGAGAAGTTATGGAGCAGTATGTTTTTATTGCTGTTATTTGTGCTCATCCAATACTGTCTGCAAGGCCAACAATGTATCAGATTGTCAAAATACTGGAGTCTAATCTGCACTTAGCTCCCTTTTCTCTTGAAGCTTATCCTATTGGTAGTAATAACAGTACAGTTAGCAGTGTCAGCTCAAATTGTATAACCTGTTCTTCCATTACAGCAACCGATCCATGAATGAAATTAGTCATAATTGTCTAGTAATTCCAGTAAAGAACGGCTCCAGGAATTGAACTTGAAGATTGAGATCACTTACCACCCAATCAACGTGTTGTTGGTTACCGAATTGTTTGATTGGATTAATTAGTCCATTCTATTAATTGTTTTCCCTCATGTTAATGTGAAAATTTCATTGGGTAAATAAAAGAAACTAGTCTTATTTCAATTGCAAGTTCTGATTATATTCTTATAAAGAAAATTATATATATGTCAAATTTAGATATGGTTGCTTTTTGTGCCTTTGGATGAATATTTTGAATTATTTTTGTTTTGCTTTGAATCCTTTTGTTATGGTCATATATTGAGAGAAGTTAAAAATTTTATTTTAGTCAGTTTATGCATTAATCCCCAAATTATTGATCAATTTTGATCACTGGATCAAGGAAATATATTTTTTTTATTGAAAATAATTATTTAAATATATTCATACATACATAAACAAATGAAAAAGTATAAAAAATAAAAAACTATTGGAGCTGGACCAAGCCTGGGCCAGTTTGAAAAATCCAGGGCCTGAAACTTGAACAGGTCCAGTATAACAAAAATTGTAAAGCCCACTAATTACCGGTGGCTACTGGCTGCTACGACAAGCTTTGACACCAACTCCGCAGCCCAATTCGTAAATGCCCAATTTGCCCATGACGCAATTTATGCGTTAAAACCCTTTTCATATAAATTAAATTTAATTCACAAGGAAAATACTTAAGGTGAATTCCATCCATCCCATTAAAAATTGACATAATGAATCAAAATAACGATATAAACTACATAACATTTATAATTAAAAGGATTCAAATTCAAGAGATATGTTTTCTCGACAAAACCAACTATACCATAAACTGATTAATTTTCGATGTATTCATTGAATATTACAAATCGTAATAAATACTTTAGGCATTGGCTGCAAAAGAACTTCATATTCTATCATCTTGACTCATATCCAACGTCATTTACTTCTATCCAGTCATTGAAAAATATATGGAAGCCATATATATAAGATTAATATTAGAGCCTAAAATCAAGCCGTGGATTAGCTGTATATAGTATTTTATTTCTATAGTAGTTGGTTTTCCATGTTAGTTAGATTTTTTCTTGTATAATAGATGTTCTTTCCCTTTTAGTTTTGGCTACTTTAAGTTCATCTTTGTATAAATAGCAGTATAAGAACAATCTAACATTTTTTTTTCTTCCATTGAAACTCTCTTATTTGCAAACTTTTTTGATTAGCAATATTTGCTGTGTACTTGAAATCTATCAGATTTTCTTGCCAAGCAAACACAAAAATTTTGAATGTGGAATTTGGTGGCTCTCATTGGATAAATCTATATTGCCACTCTTAATTTATAGGTTTTAATCCATTTTAGATGATGACCACATAAAAAATAGACAAGATGTGTATAATCTGAGAACAGGAAGCTATATATATACACTGTCAATAACACTTCATTACCCTTTTACGTGGATTAAGTTGCAGAAACATACTGCTCTGGAAAAAAAAAAAAAATTAAAACTTGGTACTAATGGGTCTCTATATATTTTCAATTGCATTGTTCTTTTCTGTGTACCTTCCTGTTTATATCATCCTTTATCGGTTTTGTAGTTAAACAGAGACAGGAAGAAAAAGAAATGGCCATCTCTGCGGACGTAGAATATCATGATGGCAGCTTGGGGGAGCCATTTGTTGTGCAAAAGAAGGAGACCCAACATAAACATGAACATAATGAGAAGAGTGGTGCTGGCGTTGGTGGGTTAGGAATGGTTCTTCTGAGCACTGCCATTGCAGTTTCTGGGTCTTTTACTTTCGGATGTTGTGTAAGTACACATTTTTATTGGTATTTTCATTGAAGCAAGTAAGTATTTTAGTGATTGGAGTGCTAAAGTTTATGAATTTGCAGGTTGGATACTCTGCACCAACCCAACTAGGTATTATGAATGACCTTAGCTTGTCCTATTCTGAGGTAACCCTTTTAAGCTATAACACCTGATCAATTCACTGTATAATTTTGGCAAATGTGATTATGGATTTTTCATGGAAAAATTTCTTATCATTTGTAGTATTCAGTATTTGGGTCCATCTTGAATATTGGTGCTATGATTGGTGCAATCACAAGTGGAAGAATTGCTGATCTCATTGGCCGGAAAGGGGTATGTATGAAAGAGGGCAGATTGGCTGTTAAGATCATATGACTAAAGAATCTGGTTGCTCAACTTCATAGCTCTATTTTGTTTCAGGCTATGAGGATGTCTTCTATTATCTGCATAGTAGGATGGATTTCAATCCTTTTGTCACAAGTTAGTGATATTTCTCCTTTTTTAACTAATTCATCAATGTAATGCAGTGAAATAATATATTAGCCTTCCAATTGGTTTCTTGGTAGGGATATTTGTTACTGGATTTTGGAAGACTTTTAACAGGATATAGCATTGGCATCCTTTCTTATGTGGTAGTTCTTTTTTTCCTTTGTAGCTTCACTTTACCAATGTTTGACAGGGATATGCAAATTTGGACTTGAACATTTCTGTCTCTTTCAAATTGATTAGGTACCTGTGTTTATAGCTGAGATTACTCCAAAGGATCTTAGAGGAGCATTAGCATCTGCAAATCAGGTATGAGAGCTAGCTGATCTTTCAACTAATCTGCATTGAAATATCTTCCGAAAATGATCAATAAACTGGTTTCTTGGTTGGAGTAAGAGTCATTCTTGCTTAATGTATTATATTATTTTGATGAAGCTTTTTCTTTCGATTTTCCTACTCCACAGTTCTGTATTGTTTTTGGGGTAATGGCAATCTATTTGATAGGTGCATTTGTAAAATGGAGGATACTTGCGCTAACAGGTACTCTCTACCATTAATTAATGACTAATACACTAGTATTTCTTCCACTTTAGATTGTAACTACAGATTCTCCGTTTTCTACTTTTATACAAAAGATTCAAACATATAACTTCCATTATCTCTTTCTGGAATACCCTTTGAGAGCATATTTTCCAAAATTAGTCGAGATGGGAAATGTTTCTCAGTTTGCTTGATGCTTTACAGGAAATGTCCCATGCCTGGTTATGCTTGTTGGTCTTTGCTTCATTCCTGAGTCCCCAAGATGGCTGGTAAATTCAGTTTCTTCATAATAGACTAGATCTCTAATATTATGATATTTTATAAACTAATATTACATATATCAGTACCTCAAAATTTCAACCTTTTTTTTTTCAAGGAAAGGTATTGATCAGTTAATAAAACCAATAGGAAAATGATTTCAACAACTAATATTAACTAATTCATTAAAAGTTTAGGAATCTGATATATATATATATATATGAAAGGAAAAGGAAGATAATAATAAAATAATTCCTGAGGCTACGATTTAGTCCAAGTGCTGCCCATTTAGAGTTACATATGAAGAAGCTATTTCAATGGCACAGGCAATGATGGGTCGCAAGTACGAGTTTGAAGAGTCTCTACAAAAACTTAGGGGAGCTAAGGCTGACATTTCTCCGGAGAAGACCGACATTCAAGTAAAAGAATCTTTCCCAATTTAATGATTTTCCTGATATGTCTCTGTTGTTATTAGCTTAACATATGCTGAAGGAAATTTCTTTTTTTTTTTTTTTCGACTTACAGGCTTCTTTAGGCCAGCTTGAACAACTCCCAAAAGCTACCTTACTCGACTTGTTTCGCAGAAGAAACATTCGTTTTGTCACTGTAAGCATCTTGCAATCTGCTGGAATTACTTTTGTATAAAAACTAATTTCCTTTTGATGTAATACTAATAGGTTCTGAAACATAGGTTGGAGTTGGATTGATGTTTTTTCAGCAATTTTGTGGCATTAATGGCATTATATTCTATGCTGATCGAATTTTTATATCGGCAGGTAAGTTCACATTTCTTGAATCATATAAGGACGAACATGCGCATAATATATATTCAAGTTTTTCTTACTAATTGTATATTAATCTATAAACCAGGTGTTCCCCCAAGTGCTGGAAGTATATCATACTCAGGTCTACAGGTTATACTCACTGCTTTTCTTACAACTTTAATTGATAGAACCGGAAGACGACCTCTCCTAATGGTAGGCATCTCACTGACTGCTCATTTTGAAATTTTCGATATAACTCATAAGAAGAGATTAAAACAAGTAAAATCTTATTTATGCTAAGTTTTTTTTATCGTTCCATTTCAGATTTCGGCATGTGGGTTGCTTCTGGGCAATCTACTAATTGGAACTTCATTCTTTTGTAAGGTAATAATCACCATCAAGCTCTAACGTTGTAATTTATATATATTCAAGTTCATAGAGGTCCCAAGTACTAACAGATTCCAATTTTTGCATCAGGCACACCATTTGGCTATCGACTTGGTTCCAATCCTTGCAATCACTGGTGTCATGGTAAGTGGTAACCTAGCACAGCCTGAATATGGATAACTGATAAACCTGAAATTGAAATTTTCATTTCATTTCAACAGTAACAGGGTGGCATTTTTTCTTTTTTTTTTTCTTTTTTTTTTTATGGCTAATTTCAGCTTTACATAGCTTCCTTTTCAATAGGAATGGGAGGAATTCCTTGGGTTCTAATGTCTGAGGTAAAATCAAAGAACACAAATTTAATTGGGTTAGTAGAATATATTTAGATTAAGTAAGAATTGTCTCTAATTTTCAATTCTTTCCTGCTTGGATTACAGCTCTTCCCATTGCATCTAAAGGGAATTGCAGGAAGTTTGGTGACATTGGTGAACTGGTTCGCTTCTTGGTTTATATCCCTCACTTTCAATTTGCTTATGGAATGGAATTCTTATGGTAAGCCAAGTTCTCTAAAATTGATGCATGTAGTGAAATATGTAAATTCTTCACTTAGCTTGTTAAATTTGATGATGTTGATTGTGATATTTCAGGTACATTTTTCTTGTATGCTTGTATTTGTATCTACTCTATCTTTTTCATTGCCAAACTAGTTCCAGAAACGAAAGGCCGGACCCTGGAAGAGATTCAAGCTTCTGCAAATTAGTTCAACAAAAAGATTCTTGGATTTAGGACAACAAGATTAGGAAAGAGGAGATTTATTTTTATAGTGTATTTCAGACATAATTAAGCTATATAAAATGTCAAAAATTAGTTTTTTTGTTGCACTGGAAGTACTAATCCTAAAGCCAGTTTTAGGAATTTTATGTTATGTTCTTGTATTATTATTAAACTTTAAATATGTTTTGAGTTGTTGAAGAAAAGACTTGGGTTACAATCTTCGAAATTTTCAACGTTATGATCCCTGAATTTTACTTTTATTGCATTTATGGCTTCTAAAACTAATTCATTTTTCAACATTTGAGATATGAGATTATTTAATTATGAAAATTAGGGAGATGAATTTTTTTTTTTTTTTTTTTGCATAAAAAAAGAAATATTATTGATTAATTAGTTTCATGAAGCACAATTTTCTCAATACAAACAAGAATCGTCTTCCATAACTGGAAGCTAGTATAATTAGGAGCCTCTCGTGCTAGAATATGAGCAGACTCATTGGCTTGCCTTCCAATCCACAAGAAACAGAGGTACTATCCAAAAGTTGCAGCAAAGTTTAATCGCTCATTTTCAAAGTTTAAATGTACTGAATTCTAAATCCCTAGGCCCATTTCTTCGATCTGCCCGTTTAAGGTACAGGTGGAAGCGTCCAATCGCTCAACATTCGTAAAAGTAAAAGAAAAGACTTTGAAGACGAGTGGTCATTTCGTTTGCTGAGAAATTACATTACATCCTGAGGGCTATGCCCATAGCCTGATAGGCATATTAGTTGAAAGCTCATTGGTTGTGACTAATGAAGAAGAAGAAAGAAGAAGAAGATAGATGATGTCCGATTCTGAGTAATTTAAAAACGATACCCTAATTTAAAAAATTCATCACCATGATTTTGACTTACCGTTGGGACCATTTTTTAATGGTTTTATTTAAGTATAAAACTGAGTACAGTTACACTCTAATTCCTGATTTAGGGCACAGAGTATACGACCGGAAGATTGACAAACAAGCATAAAAGCCTAAAAAAGACCCATGCATTTGATTAATCGTGATTAGTGAAATTAATGGAAGGAGGAGCAGTAACAAGTTCACTAATTGATGAAGAAGACAGAGAGCAATATTCCTCTTCAGTCACTCCTATTTTGGTCTTCACCACTTCAGTTGCCGTCAGTGGCTCCTATGTTTTTGGAAACGCAGTAAATTCTACTTTTTCGTGCATTTAGATTTTAGTATATCTGATATTGGTCATAAATGCAGGTCCTTTATTTTTGTATATGTATTTGTTGTATGTATTGTTGCTTTAATGAATGCACTTCATTTATCGGGGATTGAACACCCAACTGAGGTTAAGTTGTTTAGTCTTCATTTTACGAGTGATTTGCAGGTGGGTTATTCATCACCAGCTGAGTCTGGCATTGTGGATGATCTTGGCCTTACCACGGCTGAGGTAAGTTCCGATTCTTAAATTTTCTATTATTTTTGACAGTTGATTACCAACTCAAACAAAACATAGTTATGTCCATAATGGATAATTGTTTTGTTTACACTAGTAATCTTTACCTAAACTTCTAAGGATATTGCTGGATCAAGTGAAAGTAAATGACAAATCTTTTCTATGTTAAGCATGTTACTTCATGTGTATAGACTTAATGTTTTTTCATTTACAGAACAGTTAAAAAATTAAACCATGATAACAGTTTACTATATATGCACATATTTTTGACTTTGTATACAACTATATATTTATCTTTTTAAAAAACTGCAACTCATGGTTGAGATGAAAGTGAGTAGCAAGATAAATTTATTGGTTCATCATTATGTTATTTATACATACAGTACCATCAGATTGACCTATTCACACAGACTGAACAGGTTTGATCAATTTTAACCATATATGGATGTGTATGTATGTATGTATTGCTTTATGTGCTTGTTGTGTAAGCCATTGCTAGCCCTCACAGGAAGGACATGGAACGTTAACCAATCAAAATAATTTCGGTTGAAGTATCATTTTTTCATATCTCAGTTTACTATTTTTCTAAATTTATTTGCTCTATGTTGCAGTATTCGATCTTTGGTTCAATATTAACCATTGGAGGAATGTTAGGTGCAGTAATTAGTGGGAAGATAGCTGATCTAATTGGGCGCAAAGGTGTAAGTTTTAGGTTTTTGTTATATTTTTCATTGCTTGAGTATTCGGTTTCATGCATTATCCAAGTTCAGTAATGTATTCTTTTTATCCTTGTTGAATAGGCCATGGGAGTTTCAGAAATATTTTGCACCCTGGGTTGGCTTGCAATTATATTAGCTAAGGTTTTGTATCTTCTTATATTGCTTGAATTAAATCTGAAACTGCAAAAAGCACATTGAAAACCATTGTTTAAACTGAGTTAATGGGCTTCTTTTTTTAATATGTTCTTTTTTTCACTTCATCAAAAATACTTGAAATCCTATGGCAGGATGCTCTTTGGCTTGACCTTGGAAGATTTTCACTGGGATGTGGAATTGGGCTTCTTTCTTATGTGGTAATGGCACTCAGCCTTACTTTCTAATTTTGATTCACCTGGCCTGACAATAAATAGTGGAATTAAATATTAATGAAATAAGTACGCAGGTTCCTGTATATATTGCAGAAATTACCCCCAAGAATGTAAGGGGAGTATTTGTATCTCTTAATCAGGTATGGACTCCATTATCTATTTCAGTTATTTGTCAAAACTTTGTTCATATGACATTACCCTTGAGTTTACAGTTGATGATAGGTTTGGGAAAGGCGCTTACATTTCTTATTGGCTCTCTGGTCAGTTGGCGAATATTAGCTATAATAGGTCACACCTTTTGCCATTGAAATATCATTTTTCTGTAGTTAGCCCCAAATTTTTTATTGACTTGTAGCTTTGTGCATTTTCAGGAATTATTCCATGTCTAATACAACTGTTAGGCCTATGTTCCATTCCAGAGTCCCCTAGATGGCTGGTGAGTCTGTCTTCAGTAAATAGTGCTAGTCATATTTCGGTTGGTTATTTAAAGAAACAAGTTTTTGATATAATTTTGAAGTTGTCACTTTGAAATTTAATTTGCCATGAGAATAGAATATTTACAGTAAGGAGTCTAATTTCCTGAAGGCAAAAATTGGTCGGATGAAAGAGTTTGAATCTTCTCTACAGCGCCTCAGGGGGAAGAGTGCTAATATATCACAAGAAGCAGCTGATATCAGAGTAAATATGCTAATTTTTGTCTCTCAGCCATATATTTTAACTTGGTTTTAAGAAGGAAATAAGGTATGGTTTTTCTTTTTCAAGGAATATACAGACTATGTATGCAAAATCTCAGAAGATGGGATTTTAAACCTGTTCCAGAGGAAATATGCTTATTCACTCGTTGTAAGCCTCAAAGTTTATCTAATCCTCACTTGTTAACATTTTATAGATTTGTTTTGACGGTGCTAAAGTGAATTCCTTTCTAGGTAGGGATTGGGCTGATGGTGTTCCAAGAACTTGGAGGGCTCAATGGTTTTGCCTTCTACACAAGCACTATTTTTGAATCAGCTGGTAAAGAATCTATTTCGAGATAGGATTAGTGTTGAGAAACATGTTATGGATGTCAATACATTAATTTTTATGGTTAATGGCAGGCTTCTCAAGCACAGTTGGTGATATAGTAGCATCAGTTGCTCAGGTTCTTGGTCGAGTTTACTATATTATGTATGTGTTCATAGTACTAATTGATTCACTTCTAAGACAGCGAATAACCTTTGCAGATTGTAATGACAACTCTAGGGGTACTATTAATCGATAAGGCAGGAAGAAGACTGCTGCTACTGGTATCGTATAAGAGGGGAAAAGTCTAGTTATATGAATGCTAATTATCCAGAAATAATGAATCATCACATCATTTGCAGATATCTATAGTGGGGACTTGCTTGGGTTGTGTCCTTACAGGATTGTCATTCTTCTTCCAGGTTTCTTCAGAACTAGAATCAAGTAGTTCTCTAGAAATTTTTCTCTACTGATGATATATGCATCTTATCATAATTAATCAGGATCTTCACCTAGGCAAGGAGCTCACTTCTCTTTTGGTGATGTTGGGTGTACTGGTAATGTAACTCTCCTGCTATGCAATTCTTCTAGCATTTGTTCCATAGAAACTTTTTATTATATGTTTTATTAAATGTTTGGTAATTGATTGATTATGCAAATTAAAACAGGTATATTTGGGTTCTTTTGAAGTTGGCATGGGGGGCATCCCATGGATTATCATGTCCGAGGTTTTGCTTTCTTTCTTTCTTTCTTTCTTTCTTCTTTTTGGGATTCAGTTCTTTGGATGGAGATAAGCTGTTATATAAAGTGATGGTCCTTTTGTTTCAGATATTTCCCATAAACATAAGGGGATCAGCTGGAAGCCTTGTCAATCTAGTTAGTTGGATTGGTTCTTGGTTTATCTCATACACTTTCAACTTTTTGTTTGAATGGAGCTCAGCAGGTGATCCCTTACTTACTGCCCATTCTGCATTTTTTTTTTTTTTTGCTCCAGTGTATATGTGGCATTCAATTCTTGAGGTTTCTTTCTTTTTTAATTTCCAGGAACATTCTTCATTTATGCTGCCATTAGTACTCTGGGTGTTGTGTTCATTGCAAAGCTGGTACCTGAGACTAAAGGGCGAACACTTGAAGAATTCAAGCATCAATTACAAACGATTTGCAATAAGCACAACTTTTGTGATAATTTTTCAGATTGGAAGTAAATTTGATCTAAAAGATGTAGTATGTTCAGTTCTTGTATTCTATCTTTTACCTTCTATAGATCAAGAATCTTCTCTTTTTTGACAAAATTTCTTTCTCTATTAAACTTATGCTCATGTACCGGTTAGCATTAGAGGCCTTTGCTACATTCTGTAATTTCTACCCTTTATTTTGAAATCTATTTAAAAGGAGGATTATATTTTGGATAATGAGATATCAACTATTTATCTTAAATTTGTTGAGTGAAATTCTGCTGATACAAGGGAAAGGGCCTCTACAAGGGCAACAAGGTTTGAAGTAGAAAAGTAGGTGGTCAAATTGGATTTGGGCTCTCCCCAATAATATGGATTTGGGCCATATTCATTAATGATGACAGTATAGAGATGCAGACCAAGAAGGACAGGTACGACATATAAAGTTTCTGCCTCCTGCCACTCAACATTTTTCTTGAAACATTTTGAATGATAGCATGATTAGTTAAGCTGATAGTTGGGAAGGACCGCAATCTGTTGAACTCATTCTATTTTAAGTCTATCCTGAAGTGCATTGCTCTTCACGTATTCAATAATTGATACTGCTTTAAACCTGCCGACACTTGTTATTGCTTGAAAAAGAAATCTGAACTTTCTTATCTGTCAACAGATGCAGTTCCAATTTTACTGATATAATTCTTCTTCTTTCTTCAGTTAAAAGTATATCTTATCATTTGTCTTTCCATTTCTGTATTTTGCCTGCTTAGGATAGGAGGCCAAAGCGATGGAAGAAGAAGCAGCGGCAAGATTACTGCTTTCTGAAGAAAACTTGGACGAAAATGCTTCGTCTTCATCAATCACATTTATGCTTGTCTTCACCACTTTAGTCATTGTTTGTGGTCCTTTCGTTTATGGATGTGCTGTAAGTCTCTTCACCTTATTTTGACTAGAACTGCGATAAGGACTTAACCATTTGTGAGCTATTTAGAGCTTAACTTGTTATGTAAACGAATCGAGTTCGAGCTTAAGATAATCAGCTCAGCTCATTTATGCTAATAATTTTGAACTATGTAAAACATTTCAAATTAAATGAAAATTTTCATGAATGAGTTGTTGGAGTAAAAAGAAAAGGGATTTTACCTATTACCTACAAAAAAAAGAAGAATCTGTTTGGCAAGTATTGTATTTTTATTGTTAAAAAATCTGGAATTGCATGTAGATGGGATACTCATCTCCTGCTGAATCTGGAATCTTGGATGAACTGGGCCTTTCTACTTCAGCTGTGAGTACTAGAAATTCATCATATATCAAGAATAAATTCTTGAAAATTATATTTGTTTCTTTACATTACATTTTTTTTTTTTTTTCTTTTTGCAGTATTCACTATTTGGCTCAATGTTAACAATTGGGGGACTAGCAGGTGCATTATTTTCTGGAAAGATAGCAGACCTTATTGGGAGGAGAGGTGTAAGTTTTTTTTTTCCCCTTTTTGAACAAAGGATGTAAGTTAATTACCCAAAAAAAAAAAAAATTGTCATTTAATTTCATATACTATAATTAAGTGATGTAATTATTTTAATTGATTATTTAATATAGGCAATTTGGGTTTCAAATGTATTCTCTATCATAGGATGGCTTGCAATTACATTATCAGAGGTATTTACTTCTCTTCTCTAATACTATATGAATATAAAATATAAAATTTTATATTAAGATACTTAAAAATTTCATTTCAAAATGGTAATATGATAATTTATGGGATGAAGAAAAGTCATATTTAATAAAAAGAAAATGAAAGGTGAATTTGAAAAATGAAAAAACAAAAACGACAGCAAACCATGTCCGTATAGAATGTGACTGTTTGTACAACAGAATAACCAAATATGCTTGTCGTTGTCGTTATTCGGCCAATTGAAGCAAAAATCTTGAGTAAAACAACTTATAAATTACTTCAACATTTCGTTTCTTAGCACTATGACAATCTACATTTTTCTTCATCACCTGCAATCTGCCCAAACTTCGTGAATACAAGAAAATTAGAAAAAACATGGGACGTATCTTACAGCCAACCGCCATTTTTGTCCTCCGCGAGCCGGCGAATCCTATTCTACATTTCAATTCCTGCAATGATTGGTTGCGTCAATTCACAAATTTTTTTCCTAGGGTGCATTATAAACCATAAACGGAGCCCAATGGAGAATTTAAATCGAATTCTCATAGGGAAAAATAGCAGAAGAATTGTCATTATTCATGGACTCCACTCAAAATAACAAGTACACCCAGGATATACCTCTTGTTGATTGATTTATGTATTTTAATTTGATTAGTTTATCTTTTGCTTTGAAGAACATTATAAATTTCCAACCATTTTTGTTCAGGGAGCCTGGTCACTTGACCTTGGAAGACTATCGGTTGGAATTGGATCTGGGATAACTTGTTATGTGGTTAGTCTGATAAATGTTTGGTTCCACATTTTAGTCATTCTGACTCTGTTACTCAAGTTCTATCAGTGATTGAGATATTAATCACTTTGCATTCCGTAGGCACCAACTTATACTGCAGAAATTACACCCAAGAATTTCAGGGGAGCATTTATATCAATTAGTACAGTAAGTTGTATGCTTGTACTAGTAGAAATCATAAAATTTTATGCTTTAGTTTTTGTTGATCAATTTTTGTCCACTCTGTAGCTTATGGTGGGTTCTGGCATGGCACTTACATTTATCATTGGTTCTATCTGTAGCTGGCGCATCTTGGCTCTAACAGGTGTTGTTCTTTTCCCTAAAAATTTGTATTAATGAATTCGAACTTAGTTCTTGTTGTTAATTTTGTGGTTTCAATCTCAGGAGTTATTCCATGTGTGATTCAGTTTCTTGGTGTATTCTTCATTCCAGAATCTCCCAGATGGCTGGTGAGTCCAATCCAGAATTTTCTCGAAGATATCTTTCAAATCTTGTTTGTTTGATGCATTTGTCAGATGGAAACTAATCCATTTGACTGAAAAGTTCGAATTGCAGAACCTTATAGGTTGACCGAATGTGAAATCACATCTTAAATGCTCATCTGAAGAGTGGATCTATATTATTGTTTGCATCTATTAATGATACAAAATGCAATTTTTTTAACCATTTTAAGTTGAGCTGTCCTCATAGTTAATGTGACTCAAGAAACTATTCAAATGCTCAATCATGACTGTAATCCTGCAGGCAAAAGCTGGTCGAGAAAAAGAGCTGGAAATTGCTCTCCAGCGTTTTAGGGGAAAGAATGCTGATATTTCTTTTGAGGCTGCTGAAATCATTGTAACATTTTATTTTTACTTAATTTCTATGTAAATATTTACAATTCATTTCAGAAAGGATTAATATTATAATTTATGGCTTTTCTTTTTTGGAAATTTAACAGAATTTTACACGAGACTCTAGTCAGATAGCAGAAGATGGAATTAAAGAGTTGTTTCAGGGGAAATATGCTTATGCAATTATTGTGAGCCTTACATTACTTTCGGTTTTGGCCCTCTCTTGGATTACTTGCATAACACCATGTTTCAACTTCAACTCGGATTAGGTGGTTGTTGGGCTATTCTTCCTGGCACAATTTGGAGGGCAATGTGGCTATACTTATTATTTGAGCTCTATTTTAGAGTCAGCTGGTAATTTAGGAAGTTTTGAAAAGGACGTTTCACAATATAAATCTAATTTATTAGATAATTAAACAGAACTTATATCCTTAACGTATTGGTACTGGCAGGTTTCCCTACTGGTGTTGGGTCTGCAGCAGCAAGTATTGCTCAGGTATGACTTTATTTTTTTCTAGCTGCATAAGTCATCTCTAATTTACATTACTGCTACAGATAGTGGCCAACATTTGCAGTTTGTTCTTAATTGATAAATATGGAAGGCGACCTCTTCTGCTGGTTAGTATTTGAAAATTTAAACCTCTCAGTTCTGGGATTTGATTGATTAGAGTTCGAACACTAACAATTTTAATTATCTTATCAGATTTCTTCAGTTGGAAGCTGTTTAGCTTCAGTCATCACAGGATTGTCCTTTCTACTACAGGTTCCAAAGAAATATAAGTTGTATTCCTTTCCCCTCCCTAGTGAATATGTTGTTTGGATATAAATTTATCTTGTTATAAACAGGACTTCAACTTGGGGAAGGAATTCACTCCAATTCTAGCGCTTACAGGAACATTGGTAATGCAATTCAACTATCACATGCTAGCTTTCATCTCTCAGGCATGTTAGTTAAGATATTATTTGATGACCGAGTCTCGAACTTGTGATTCTGTGATTAGACATACCTGGCGTCTTTATCAATAGGTTTGGCCGGAATACCATGGACTATAATGGCAGAGGTACAATAACAATAATTTTGCTTGATCAAATGTATATGTATCTAAATGCCTAATAATGCAGCTTAAATGAAATGATCTTTCTATATCAGATATTTCCTGTAAATGTAAAAGGTTCGGCCGGAAGTTTAGCAAATGTGGTCAACTCTTCTGGAAGTGCGATTGTTGCATACACCTTCAATTATCTGTTTGATTGGAGCTCAGCTGGTAATTACCTTCCATCCTTTCTCTTCCTTGATATGCTTCTATTTCAAGATTTTATGCAGAGGATGTTTCTCTCATGTTGTTTCAGGTGTATTTTTTATATATTCAATCATTTCCGGCTCCGGTATTATATTTGTTGCAAAAATGGTACCGGAGACTAAGGGGCGAACACTTGAGGAGATCCATGCATGGTTGGTACCAATTAAGGGCTAGAATACGTGGGATTAAGACTTTCTTAGAGTGGCTTGAAACAAAATCAATCATTGGAATTTAGTTCATTCAATTGTTTTGTTATTTTTTATTTTTTTAAGAGAAAATTGCTCCTTGTATTAGTTTGCCTAATTTTATTTATTTCTTCTCTCAATTCTGTTTTCTGTTTTGGGCCAAGGGGTTGTTGGGAATTTACATTCCATGGTGGGTCAAGTCATGGGCCAAGTGTTGTCCGTGTTTGCATTGAGTTTTGCAGGCCTGAGGGTTTTACGTTGGGCCACGCAATGTTTATGGCCTAGCTTTTAAATTATACGGTGGTCCAGACAGCAGAGACTATATGACAATTATTATTATTATTATTATTATTATTATTATTTTATAAGAAAAAATATTTGATTATAATATTAAGAATTATTTTATATAGTGAATATAATTAAAAAGAAAATACTTAAATGTATTTTTATTTTATTTTATTTAAGTATCTTATATTTCTTAGTAGTGGCTTGAAACAAAATGATATCTATTTGATTTAAGTTCATTCCAAATGCTTTTGTTATGTGCTTTTCATTTATGTTAAGAGTAAAATAGCACTCTCTGTAGATTAAGTTGATTTGCCTAATTTTTAATTTATTTCTTCCTCATCTTAATATCTGTCTTTCTGAGTTTTGGAGCCAAGTGGATTAGTTTGGGAATTTACATTCCATGTGGGTCACAAGAATCTTAGAATAAGTGGCCAAGTTGAGAGTTGTCACGTGTTTCATTGAGTTCTTGCAGGCTCTGAGGGTTATACGTTTGGGACCATCGCAAAATGTTTTAAGGCCTATGCTTTATAAATATATACGGTGTCCGACAGACATAGTAAGACTATAATGATAACTAAAAATTTAAATATTATTATATTATCTTTGATAGTTATAATTATTATTCTTATAAATTAAAGAAAGAATATTTGAGTTAATAATATTTACAAGTAATATTATATTAGATTATCAGTGAGAAAATACTTATAAAAAGAAAATTCATTAAAATGATTTTTATTTTATTTTATTTTATTTTTTGGCTCCATTTAAATAGAAAAAAGAAATTGAGACAATAAATGAATCCACGATAATTATAATAATAATATTATAAAAAATATTATAATATATATACTAAATATATGTGTGATTATTTCTCAGTTAAATACTTTTTACATGTAATGGTTAGAGATCAAGAAATTAACAAGTATGTAATATTTAGGCATATTCTTTGAACACTTTACTAGTCTATTTTAATGTAGGGATTGTGTTATAAATTAGAAGAAAATGAAGCTTAATCGAAAATTTGTCACTTGAAATTTAAATTAGTTTTGCTGACACTCCACTGAAAATTTACAAGCATTAATTTGCAAATTGTATTGCAATGAAAAACATTGTTATAAAAAAAGGCAAAGTTTGGGTTTTACAAATTCTGATTGTTCTATTCGCGTCTTGATCTCCTAAATCAAGTTGACAATTGAAAATTGATAAAAGTAATCGTGGACATGAAAATATCAATATATATATGTTTTACAGTTAAAATTAGTGGTTAGGATCAAGAAATTAACAAGTATATATTTACATAATTCTTGAAACATTTCCATTTTTTTATTGATTTGTATAAATTAGAAAAATAGCTTAATCTAATTTCACTTGAATTTATTTATTTTGATGACACTTGATGAAATTCAAGCATCAATTGCAAATTGTTTGCAATAAACATTGTTATAAAAAAAAGCAAGTTGGGTTTTAAATTCGAGTTTGCGGTCTTGACTCACTAAATCAAGTTGAACAATTGAAAATTGATAAATTCGTGGTAAAATCATATGAAACTCAGTAAAATCATACGAGCTTTCTTAAAAAATGTATTTCATAATATGGAGGAAAGAAAGCTTATTTGATATAAATAAATTTCACAATTTAGATTTCCTAAAAAAAAAAGTTTCATAATTTACAAATTTAATTTTTCATATTTGGTATAATAAAAAGCCATTTAAAATTATAATTATGTGGAATCGATTATATTTAAATCAAATTCTATTAAAATTGGTAGGATTTGAAAATAAATTTTAAACTGTACCAGTATAATTTCTCCTCTCTCTCCTGAAGTGTGCAGTAGCCGGTTAGGTGGGCATTTTTTGCCAAAACGTGCTCTTTGATGGCCAACCGGTCTTACGCTTTTTCATGTATATGTACATAAAAAATATATCTTGTCTTGAGTTTTTCCATTCCTGTCTTTTTGCATGATTGGAGGGCAATGGAGGAAGGAGCAATGGCAAGATCATTACTTTCTGAAGAAAACTTGGATGAAAATGGTGGAGTTGAAACTTCTTCTTCTTCTTCTTCACCTATCACATTTTTGCTCGTCTTCACCACATTTATCATTGTTTGTGGTTATTTCATTTATGGATGTTCTGTGAGTCTTCTCACTTTCATTTGACTAGAGCTTGTTAAAAAAGACGAGACTTTTTATATATTATATAATTATTTAAAAAAAAATAGTCTTTCAAAAATTTCTGTTACATATTAGCAAGTCTTGTATATATATATATTTTTTGGTAACGAATTGCAATTGCATGTAGATAGGATACTCATCACCTGCTGAATCTGGAATCCTGGATGAATTGGGCATTTCTACTTCAGCTGTAAGTACTGAAAATTCATCACATGTCAAAAAAATAAATTCTTGAAAATTATATTTTGTTTTCTTTACATTATATATATATTTTTTAATTTGCAGTATTCAGTTTTTGGGTCGATATTAACAGCTGGGGGACTAGCAGGTGCATTATTTTCTGGAAAGATAGCAGACCTTACTGGAAGGAGAGGTGTAAGTTAATCAACAAAAAAATCAACTCCTTTGATTTCTTATACTATAATTAAGTGATAGTTTTTTTAATTGATTATTTAAAATGTAGGCAATTTGGGTTTCAAATGTATTCTGTATCATAGGGTGGCTTGCAATTATATTATCAAAGGTACTTCTTCTCTTCTTTAATATCTGTTAATAACCTATTATTCTTCTAAATTATCTAAAACCTAAAAAATACTGATATATTTTAATTTTTATTAGTTTGCCTTTTGCTTTGAAGGAATTATATTAGTGTCCAACCTTTTTTATTCAGGGAGCCTGGTCACTTGACCTTGGAAGACTATCAGTAGGGATTGGAGTTGGGATTATTTCTTATGTGGTTAGTCTGATAAATTTCTGGTTTAACATTTCTGATACTTAAGTTTTATCAGTGATGGGTATAAATATGATATATATCACTTTGCATTCTGTAGACACCTACTTATATTGCAGAAATTACACCCAAGAATTTAAGAGGAGCATTTGCATCACTTAATACAGTAAGCTGTATATTTCTGCCGGTTGAAATTCATAAAATTTTGGCTTCATTTTTTGTTAATCAATTCTTGTCTGCTCTGTAGCTTATGATGGGTTGTGGCATATCACTTATGTTTATCATTGGTTCTATCTGTAACTGGCGTATCTTGGCTGTACTGGGTAGTGTTTTCCCTAAAAATTTCTGTTAATAAATTTGAAGTTAGTACTTAGTTTATTATGGTAATTTTCTGGTTTCAATTTCAGGGGCTATTCCATGTGCAATTCAGTTTCTTGGTGCATTCTTCATTCCAGAGTCTCCCAGATGGCTGGTCAGTCCGATCCAAAACTATCTAAGAATATATTGTTTGTCTTCATAGTTAGTGTTTTCCAAGAAACAATTCAAATGCTCAATAATGACTGAAATTCTTAAGGCAAAAGTTGGTCGAGAAAATGAGCTGGAAATTTCTCTCCAGCGGCTTAGAGGAAAGAATGCTGATATTTCTCTTGAGGCTGCTGAAATCATTGTAATTTTTTTTTAAACTTGGTGTCTATGTAAATATTTACAATTCAGTTTAGAGGAGATTTGTTTTATAATTTATGGCTTTTCGTTTTGGAAAATCTAACAGGGTTATACACAAGACTTTGGTCAAATAGCAGAAGATGGAATTAAAGAGTTGTTTCAATGGAAATATGCTCATGCAATTACTGTGAGCTTTAACTTACTTTCAGCTTTGGCCCCTTTTTACATTACTTACATGACACTTTGTTTCAACTCCAACTTGGATTAGGTTGGAGTTGTGCTGATGTTACTGCTACAATTTGGAGGACAAAGTGGCTATACTTTCTATTTGAGCTCTATCTTAGAGTCAGCTGGTAATGATAAAGGATGTTTCAGAAATCAAATTTATTAGATAATTGAATGGAACTCTATGAACTTGACATATTGGTATTGGCATTGGCAGGTTTCCCAAGTGGTGTTGGATCTGCAGCAGCAAGTATTGCTCAGGTATGTCTTTATTTATTTATTTTTTTCTAGCTGCATTTCTCATGTCTAATTCACATTTCTGCTACAGATAGTGATGAACATTTGCAGTTTGTTCTTAATTGATAAATACGGGAGGCGACCACTTCTGCTGGTAAGTATTTCAAAATTTAACCTCTCAATTTTGATTGGTTAGAGCCCAAAATTGTAAAGTTATGATTATCTTATCAGGTTTCTTCAGTTGGAAGTTGCTTAGCTTCTCTTGTTACAGGCTTGTCCTTTCTACTACAGGTTCCAAAGAAAAACAAATTATATACCTTGTCTCCCTCCCTATTATGTTGTTTGTACTTAAATTTAACTTTAATGAACAGGACCTCAACTTGGTGAAGGAAATCACTCCAGTTCTAGCTCTTATAGGAATATTGGTAATGCAATTCAACCATCACATATAAGCTTTCATCTCTCAGCCATGTTAGTTAAAATCTATGATGCATGGAAACTTTCAGCCATGGGCGTTTCCGCATTTCTGTTTCCCTATATTTTATGTAAAATTATACTATTTAAAACATCGTTTGCCCGTATCATTTTCGCGTTTAACATACGTTAAAATATTATTCGATGAGTATGAAAATTATGATTCTGTGATTAGGTATATGTGGCGTCTATATCAATAGGTTTGGGAGGAATACCCTGGATTATAATGGCAGAGGTGCAATGACAATAACTTTGCTTGATAAAAAGTGTATATATATATATATATATATAAAATCTAAGTGCCTAACTTAAACGAAACAATGTTTTTGTATATCAGATATTTCCTGTAAATGTAAAAGAGTATCGAAATTAATGATTACATGTGATGTAGGTATATGTGGCGTCTATATCAAATAGGTTGGGAGGAATACGCCTCAGGATTATAATGGGCAAAGAGGTGGCAATGACAATCAATAACATTGTGCGCTTGATAAAAAAGTGTATATAATCTAACTTCTGTTGATTATTAAGATGAGAAGTATAAACTACTAAAGTGCCCAGTAATGATCTTTCAAAACCGAAACATTATCTTTTTTTGTTAATATAATCTATATATATATATATATATATAAAATCTAAGTGCCTAACTTAAACGAAACAATGTTTTTGTATATCAGATATTTCCTGTAAATGTAAAAGGTTCAGCTGGAAGTTTAGTGACTTTGATTAACTGGTCTGGAAGTTGGATTGTTGCATACACCTTCAATTATCTGTTTGATTGGAGCTCAGCTGGTAACTTCCTTCCCTGCTCTTCTCTTCCTTTATATGCTACTATTTTAAGGATGTTTCTTACTTTCTTTTCTATGTTATGTTATTTCAGGTGTATTTTTTGTATATTCAATAATTTCTGGTTTAGGTGTTATGTTCGTGGCAAAAATGGTACCAGAGACTAAAGGACGAACTCTTGAAGAGATCCAAACATCATTGATTACTCATTAATGTCTAGAATCTATAGGATTGATATTCTTTGAACAAAATCAAGCATTGGAATTTAGTTCAATCAAATGATCTGTTACCTTTTTATTTTCATAATAGAAAATTGTTCTCTGTATTGGTTTGCTTAATTTTGTTTGTTTTTTATTCCACTCCTTATCCCCTGAATCCTGTTTTATTTTTTATTTTTTAGTTTTCTTGGGCCAAGGCCCAAGGAGTTGAATTGGGAATTCCATTGTGGGTCAAGATATGGGCCAAAGTTTTGTCTGTTTAATGGGTTCCAGTTTCACTTTCTTGTCTTGAATTGCGTTTCACAGGGAAGTTGACGAGGGTTTTAACTTTTAAGTTGGACCACACAATGTTTATAGGTTAGCTTTTAAATCGTACAGTGGTCCGACCAGAGCAAAAACTATAGGAAACTAGTTTATTATAATTATATATAATATTTTTTTATAAAATTATATATTTTTTAAATATTTCATTTGGAGGCCTAACAAATTACAGTAACATCGTAAGCTCTAATAACTTATTAAATTAGAAAAAATTATTATGATCAAATTTCTTAAAAAATTTTTCGGTTCTTATATAAATAAAAAATCAATCAAATCATATTATATTAAGAATAATTAATTAAAATATTAAACCTTAAGATATATCTATAATAAGTACATGCACGTGAAAGTAAAGTACTTCGTAAGATGAAAATAACATTTCTGTTTTTCTTTTTGGTTGGATAGTAGCACAGCCACAGATGTCCGTATCATAAATTGACTTTAAAATAAATAAATAATGAAGTTAAAACTCTGCGGTGGAGTAGCTTGTTCTTTTCTTTATATAAAAAGTATGGAATAAACCACAATATACTCCCTAATAAACTTGAATTTGAGATTGAGGGAAAAATGATAATCAAAAATTTTGTTTGCTGAAGATTTAACTTCAGTAGCAGCTGAGCGTAAGTTACCTGGAAGATCCACTACCCAATATCACATTCTCATCCTCTGTTGGCACTGAGTAGCACCTTACTATGGATGAAGAAGGAGCAATATCAAGGTCACTACTTTCCGGAAAAAGGCTCAATGGGGTTGGTCAAAATAGTGCAGCAACAAGCGAGAATTCATCGCCTTTCACGTTTATGCTTATTTTCAGCTCCTTGATAATTGTCTGTGGTTATTACATTCTTGGAAATACTGTTAAGTAACTTCCTTTTTATTTTTTCTCAATTTTAATGATGTTTAAACTCAGAACTCTTCACCTGAAATTTAAAGTTAAAACATGGATGATGTTGATTAAGGTCTGAGAGTGTGAGTATTAACGTACTGTGGTTAAGTATTTTACCTCAAAATTGGAAATTTACACACGTCTAATAAATTCCATAGCTCGGAAGGAATAATTTTTTTTTTTTTCCCTTGATTTCTTGTAGATGGGATACACATCACCTGCTGAATCTGGAATTCTGGACGAACTGGGGCTTTCATTGCCTGCAGTAAATATTAATATTTTATTTCTATTAATTCATGAAAATATGCTTTGTGTTAATTTAGTTCAATGAGTCAACTCAAATTGATGATTCTCATTGATGAAATTGTTCAACAGCCTTTACTTTCAGTTCTATTTTCTTCTTTTCAGTATTCCCTTTTTGGTTCAGCAACAACCATTGGGGGAATAGTAGGTGCATCAATATGTGGGAAGGTAGCAGACTTTGCTGGTCGGAGAGGTGTAAGTTACTAAAGTCTTTTTCCTTATCCAATTTTCCTTCAACTTTAATAATCTAACCCATCTAGCCTTTTGTTTTTTATCGAACATTTAAAACAGGCAATTTGGGTGTCTGATACATTCTGCATTATAGGTTGGCTTGCAATAGCATTATCAAAGGTATTGCTCGTCTTCTTTGAGGTTTCATGCATTATCTAAGTATTGGTCTTAAAAGTATGTTAATTAATATAAAAGCACTTACAAGTTCTAATTCACAGCAAAATAAATTAGATTAAGTCCTCATGTGGCAAACTAAAGAATTTATCATGATTCATAAATAATCAAATAATTCAATTTACAAGTTATGACAGTTTTTGCTGCTCAGTTTTTATTTTATTTTATTTATTTATTTATGGCTTTTAAAGCATAGTGTTAAATCTTCACAGGGTGCCCAGTCTCTTGTTCTTGGAAGAATATTAATGGGAGTTGGAGTTGGAATTCTTGCTTATGTGGTTAGTAAAATAACATATGGAGCTGACACTCCATAAAACAAGTTCTATCACTGATGGATGTATTCTGTCTGCATTCTGTAGGTACCTATTTATATTGCGGAAATTACTCCAAAGAATTCTAGAGGAGCATTTGTGTCTCTTATCACGGTAAATCTAAGTCATTCAGAGTATGAACTTTGGTTTAATTTTGTTTTGTTTCTCAATCTTTGTCTTTGTCCACTGCAGATAATGGCAAGTTGTGGCATATCAATTACATATATCATTGGTTCTGTCTGTCACTGGCGCATCTTGGCTCTAGTTGGTAATGCAATTTCACTTATTTTTCTCTCTAAAAATTTTGTTCTAATCAAATTTGAAGGTAGGTCCATGATGTTCAGTTTATTGGTTTGAACCTAGGTATTATTCCATGTCTAATACAGTTTCTCGGCGCATTCTTCATTCCAGAGTCTCCGAGATGGCTGGTGAGTCCGAACCAAACTTATGTTGGCAGATGTTGTAAAAAAATTGTTTGTATCAGGAATCTGTAAGCAGAAATGGCAAATTGTCCAAAGCAATTGAAAAATTGCGGAAACTTTGTAGGTTTACTAAATGTGAAATGTCAAATATTTTGTCCTGATTTTATTTAGGACGTGGATTCACTGAAGATAAATCTTTGTAGTAGCCATTGAGGTGCTTATTAATGACTAAAATTTTCTGCAGGCAAAAGTTGATCGAATACAAGATATGGCGGTTGCTCTCAAATGCCTTAGGGGAAACAATGCTGATGTTTCCCATGAAGCAGATGAAATCACTGTAATGTTTTTGCTCAATATCTATGCACAAGCCAATAGTAATTCAATGCAAATAGAAGAATATTTCAACTTAAGGTTTTCCTTTTTGAAAAAATCTGACAGCACTATATACAAAGTTATCTTAATGACAAAGCAGAAGATGGAATTAAGGAACTGTTCCAGAAAAAATATGCCCGTGCAGTTATGGTGAGACTAATGAATTAGTGGCCAATTGTTTGCCCCTTTTGCATCATTTGTTCAATGCATTGTTTAACATAAAGTTGGATTAGATCGGAGTTGGGTTGATGGCATTGCTACAATTTGGAGGGTTCAATGGCTATACACTTTATCTGAGTTCTATTTTGGAGTCAGCTGGTAATTTTGTGGGTTGACAAGGATACTTCATATAACAATTGAACTCATGGGACTCTCATACAGAAATATGTAAACTTGATATTGTGGTGCATTGCAGGTATCTCCAGTAGTGTTGGGTCTTTAGCAGCAAGTATAATACAGGTTTGTGTCTTTTTAAGTGTACTAGAAAGTGGCACTCTTCTTGGGGCGTATATCATTTCTGCTTTGCCTTTTTTGTTACAGATTGTGATGAACTTTTGCACCTTGTTCTCAATTGATAAATTTGGAAGACAGCCACTCCTAGTGGTCAGTAAAATTCTAAACCTCCAAAGTCTGAGATTGATGTTATTGATATTGAGAGAAAACCCTAAATATCTGTTCTGTTTTCAGGTTTCTTCAACAGGAATGTGCTTTGGTTCATTCCTTACAGGACTTTCCTTCCTGTTGCAGGTTAAATTATTTGACTCGTCTTTTTTTGACTGGGTCTTCCCTGTACTGTTTTTTTGGGTTAATTAAGCTCTAACTGATCTTCAAACTCACATTATCACAGCCTTACAGACAATTCCAATATTACTAAGCTAAAACTCATTGGTTACTGGGTCTTTCTTTGGATCCTTGATATTGTTCATATAAATTTTGTTTGCAGGCCAGTAATGTAGGGAAGGAAATCACTCCTGTTATGGCACTTATAGGAATATTGGTAATGCAACTTGACCCAAAACATATTGATTCTCTTCACTGAGGTTACAAGCCTTTGTGCTTCTTTCAGTAATTATAATATTATATGAAGAGTAAATCTAAATTTTTTGATTCTGCAATCAGGTATTCATAGCATTTTTTGCAATAGGTGTGGGAGGAATACCCTGGATTATGGTGGCAGAGGTAGAGAATGATTTTTCTGCTTGGTTTAATCATAATCAGTTGCTAACAGATTACAAATATAAGTAGATTAAATGAAAATCTGGCTTTCTGTGTCAGATTTTTCCTGTAAACATAAAGAGTTCAGCAGGAAGTTTAGTGAATGTGGTGAGTTCAGTTGGGTCATTTACTGTAGCATATACCTTCAACTTTCTGTTCCAATGGAGCTCATCAGGTAAATACCTATCTTCACTTCATTCTTTGCTAGTATGGCTTTTGCTTAATTAAGCTTTATATGCTACAAACCATAAGGCATTTGTTGTAACATTATTTCAGGAGTGTTTTTCATATATGCAATCATTTCTGGTTTTGGAGTTGTATTTGTTGGGAAACTGGTACCAGAGACTAAAGGAAGAACACTTGAAGAGATCCAAGCATCAATAGTTACCAAATAGATGGACTCTACTATTAATATTTTTGTACAATAATTTAGCTACTGAAATATTAAATTCTTTTTTGTTTCTAATATGATGTATAAAACGCAAAGCATCACATGGAAACTTCAAAATAGTTAAAAAAATAATAATAAAAAATAAAACTCGTTTCTAATATGATGCAAATGTTGTATGCACCTACATTTCCTTTAAAACTACTAATTTATTAATTGATGAAAGGTATATGAGAAATCAAATCAGTATATAATTAATTAAATCAATCTTTCTATGCCTAAATAGTTTTCAACAAAGGTAAAATAAATTCCAGCTAAACGTCAGCTACTCCTTGTAGCTTTCTTTGAAATACAAGCATTAGTGCCAGAGACTAACAAGTAGGATGTTCGAAAAATTACAAGCATCTACTACCCACTTCCTCCAATGAGGAAACTGTAATAACATTTAATTGTATCACCAACAGTACATTATTAGAATTGCCAAAAAGAAAAAAATTAAAGAAAAAAGAAAAGTTTTGATTTTGTTCATGATATATTTCTGATGTCAGTTAAACTGCAGCCTTCAATACTTAATCTAATATTGATTAGTGACATCAGTAACTATTAGATTAATTTTCTGTAATATATTTTCTTACATTACACATTTTACTGATTCAAAACATTTAAAACCCAGTTCAGAAAAAACATCTGAAGAAACATGGATTTGCAAGAATGGAAGAAACCAAGAAAGCTTTCTTAGTCAAGCCAAACCTCCTTCTCTTGCATATCCATGTATTATTAATCTGACTGCAATAATTCATAGATAAATGCCTAATCTTGTGCACATTTTTCTTACAATATATTAGTCAAGCCGACCGTAACAAGAAACTATCAAACCTTCAGTTGCTCGTTTCCCAGCTGAAAGTCAGCTAAATTAATTAATCTTAATTAGTAGTTTATCATTAATTGTTAAAATAAACTGCTGAACACATGAAGCTGGTGTGCATATTTTCATGGAATCAAATACTTATCCGTCGGTCATACACCAAGTATCATAATATAAAAATAAAATTGATGTATCACTCAAATCTACTGAAGTTTTTTGTATTTGCTTTCTTGTTCACGAAAATAAAGAAATGGAGAGAGCAAATATGGAAGAAGATTTCCTCCCAACCTCTACACTTATTCTTGTAGAAGAAGGTAAACCCATCAATGGCTCCTTACCAATTATAAAAAGTGAACCTTCAGTCACTCCTGCTGTTGTCTTCAGTACAATAGTCGCCATCAGCGGTTCTTTTGGTTCGGGCTGTGCTGTAAGTGCTCTGTGCATATATTTATAGCATAGTCATTCCTTTTTGATACATTGATTGCCTTGTACTTTATCAAATAACACTCCTCCTTACCAACAATCCCCATAAGAGTTCTTCCAGAACACAAGTTCGATTCCGGGAAGCGCGTTACCAAAAACCTTTATGCTCTAAATAATCCACCTCAACAGGTTTTTGAAAACACTAAATAATGTACTCATATTAGAAAATTATTTCTCTCAACAAAAGCATCAGTTGTTCTAAGTATATAAACTCATCTTTAAAAAAACAAAATGACAAAAAACATGGACAATGAATTGAAAGATTTTGATTGGTCCTTCTAAAAAAAAGGAAAGATTTTGATTGATGAATTTTATGAAATGCAAAAATTTTGCTCCATTTTAACCAAACCGAAAGAGGGATTAGTAATTAGTGTAATTCTTCAAATCCCTATGTTTAAATATATCTAACCAAAACTATTCCACTTTCTTAGCATGATTTTCTTGTTGACTATCCAAAAAGCAGGCTAGCAATTTCTTTGTTTTACAAGTTATGTACATAATCAACCAATAGTGTGATGATATATCTAACTAGTGCCTAGTTAGCATACCATTTGATTATGATTTTATGATTTGTTTTTGCAGTCAGGGTATTCATCCCCTGCAGAATCTGGAATCATGGAAGACCTGGGCTTGTCTGTAGCAGCAGTAAGCATTAATCTTTTCACAGCAATCTAACAAGTTTCACTTCCATGTTTACCGTTTAGTTAATCTTCTGATTGGAAAATTTCAATCTGCAGTATTCCTTTTTTGGTTCTGTAATTACAATTGGAGGGATCATAGGTTCACTAGTAAATGGAAAAATGGCAGATCTCATTGGTCGAAGATTTGTAGGTTCCTTTTTTTCTCTTTTTTTCATTACTTCAATTACAAACCCAAATTTTTATTACTTCTCAGTTGAACTAATTACCTTTATCTTGCAGGCTATGTGGGTATCTGAATTTTTCTTCATTACTGGGTGGTTCGCTATAGCATTTGCACAGGTTTGCTCCCTTTTCCTTCTTCACCGGAAAGGATATGGTGTGAAAGTTTTTACTTTTTTTCCCTCCTGCAATGAACTGCACTTTCAACTGCTTGTTAAAAGGCTCCTTGGTTGCTGGATCTTGGAAGACTTTTATTGGGAATTGGAATAGGAATTATCGCGTATGTGGTAATGGTCTATTATCTTTAGATTTATTGTTAATTTGTTTTATGAATTCCCCCCATTAATCTTTCATGTTTATTCACAACGTTTAAATTCTTCTGTGCAATCAGGTACCAGTATATATTGCAGAGATAACACCTAAGAATGTGCGTGGAGGATTTACAAGTGCTAACCAGGTAATACATATGCATCACCGTGATTTAACTAAACCATTGCTTAGTTTTTTATCTATCAACTCATTCTTATTGCAACTATTTTTTTACAAGTGTACAGTTCATGTTATGCTGTGGCTTTTCACTAGCATATTTCATAGGAACTGTTGTGTCCTGGCGTACTTTGGCTCTCAGTTGTAAGATCTTCTGGTCCTCAATTTCCAATGATAATTGGTTTTTTGCCTTAAAAATGTAATGAAGATGACTAACCCTGATTTGGATGGATTTCAAGGTGCTGTTCCATCTGCTTTGCATATTCTAGGTATATTCTTCATTCCAGAGTCTCCAAGATGGTTGGTAAGTCCTAGAAATTTCTATTCAAATTCTGTGGTATGTGAAACAAAAGTTCAAGAATCATTTTTTCGCTGATTACACCTGCATACTCCTCTATTGCTTTGTAATGCAATAATGCAGCAATAATGTGGTCAACATTCATTGTATTGTTTTACCTAAAAGTATATAGACATCTACAGGCGAAAGTTGGTCGAGAAAGAGAATTAGAAGCGAGTCTGCTGCGCCTAAGAGGAAAGAATGCTGATATTTCACTAGAAGCTACAAACATTAGAGTAAAACTTCTGACTTCGAACACCTTTTCTTTCTTTCCTAATGGATAAACAGAATAAGAAATGAGATTCACTTTAATTCTATTGTCGTAGGACTATACCGAGACATTTCAAGGGCACTCAGAAACTAGACTTTTAGATTTGTTCCAGCAAAGATATGCTCTTGCTCTCACTGTAAGCCTTAAAAAAAATCTTGAAGTTTGGAAGAACTACTTCTTTGTCATGAATTATCTGATATTTCGTGGTCTATTTTAGGTTGGAGTTGGGATAATGCTGTTTCAACAACTTGGAGGGACCAATGCAATTGCATACTATGCCAGCTCCATTTTTGAAAAAGCCGGTAAATTCAAGGCTGAGAGTGTCCCGTCATATATTCAACCATATATAAAATTTGAAAAATTATAAAATAAAACTGTGGTTGATGACAGATTTTTCAAGTAATGTTGGGCTGATATCAATGGCCATTGTTCAGGTATGTGCTACTTCGATTATGCGGGCAGAGGCAGGATTCTGTTTCATCGCTTTCTCATTTTTATCTATGCTACCTTTTTTCTTTTGCAGATTCCTTCTGTTGGTGCCACTATAATCTTAACAGATAGAGCTGGAAGGCGGCCACTTCTGTTGGTTAGAATGTCATATAGTTTGTTCTTATATTTGCCTTGCAGTTTACAAGTCAATAGGTACTGAGATTTGAGAGTCCTTTAAATCTTGCAGGTTTCTGCCTCTGGTATGTGCTTAAGTTGTTTCCTTGTGGGACTAGCATTCTGCCTGCAGGTTTGCTAACAAATAAAATTAGATACTTGATATTATTATTTAGGTTTCACTTGCCAACATAAATAGTCATTTTGTAATGTTGTCCTCTTTTAAGCAGGACTTCAACAAGGGACAGGGGATCACTGGAATTCTAGTGTACATTGGTATCCTGGTAATAAATGCTCAATCAACTAGTCTGAATGTAGGGATCTAAGGACTTGACATGCTCAACTGTGAGCTTACTTTTCTATAACATTTAAAACTTTACGCACCTGAACCAATCGCTAGTGAAAGATCTACTGAAATCCAGAATTTTTTTGAAAATTCTACTTTGAGCTTGAATGGATTAATTCATTTGATATTGCCACTTATTAACAGGGATTCAGTATAGCTTACTCAGTAGGCATGGCTGGAATACCTTTTGTTATAATGTCTGAGGTATATTAGTATATTATAAAACTCTGCATATATATTGATACAAATGCAAAAATAACAAGCAGCAGCTTCATACTTGGTCTAAAATTTCCATTTCAGATATTCCCAATAAACGTAAAGGGTACAGCTGGAAGTTTGGTGACAATAGTGAACTGGGCAAGCTCCTGGATTGTTTCATATGCTTTCAATTTTTTGATGGAATGGAGTTCTGCTGGTACCTAATTCTTCTCTTTGATGTCACAGTAATGGTTTTATATTTGATGCTGAGAGATTTTTGTGGGGAAATGATGACAGGAACATTTTTTATATTCTCGGGCATTTGCGCTTCAGCTGTTGTGTTCATTGCAAAGGTAGTGCCAGAGACTAAGGGTAGGATGTTGGAAGAACTACAAGCATCTATTACCCACTTTCTTCAGTGAAGAGATTAAAGAACCCATTTACTGTAATTGTACTTGTGAGTTCAGTTGTATCACCAACAGTATACTATTTGACGCCCTTGAATTGCCAAAAATAATAAAAAAAAGGAAAAGTTTTGATCTTGTTCACGATATCTTTGATCTTTCTGTTGTCAGTTAACTGCAGCCTTTAAAAACCACAAACAGACATTGTCGCTTTCTTTCATTTTTCCTTGTTCCATAAAAATGAAGGAAAAAAAAAAGAGAATCTCCTTTACTGTCGCAAAACAGAACTACAAATTGTTTCAAGAACAACTCCGGCCTCCAGATCAAGGAACGAGATGGTGATAAGCAAGACACGCCAATTATTCAACCGCATGAAATATATTAGGAATAATTTTAAATATATTTCAACTCAATAATGAAATGGATGGTGAATCAATTAAGAATTAGAAAGTTAAAAGGTAATTTCCACCCAGCGAAAGTCGTCTCTTTATCCAACCACCATCGTCCACTTCCCTTCCCTGTCCGAGTTCCAGTTTTACTGACTTTTCAGAAAGGTAACCATGCAAGAAAGAGAAGACTCGCTTCTACTTCAAAGAACTGCTCTTCGTGAAGTGAAGACCAATATCAAAGGCATTCACGATCCCCTTTCAAAGAAGGATTGTTTGGCCACTGCTGCTGTGGTTCTAAGCACCATGGTTGCCATTTGTGGTTCTTTTGCTACCGGCTGTGCTGTAAGTGCTATAAATAAAGATTCGCATTTTTATCTCCTTCGGTAATTATTCGTAATGGATAATTAGAAAACTTGAGCTTTGACCCTTCAGATTATATTCACTGTTTCTTTCTGTTGAATTAGCCAGTATTTTTGTGATTTCTTTTTATTATTATTGTTGAACAGACGGGTTATTCGTCACCTGCGCAGTCTGGAATCATGGAAGATCTGGGCATGTCTGCGGCTGATGTGAGCACTAGTTTTTTCCCTTTTTGATTCTTCTTGTTGCTAAAAGCAAGAACCATTAACTGTTATATTAGTGAAAATATTTGTAATTAATTGAGTTGCCCAACTTCATTTCCTAAAACTATGATTTCTGTAAATGATTTGTTGAAAAAGGTGCCAACTTTTTAACTTATTTGCCAGTGAATCTCTTCATGTGTGGTTTAAAATTCATTCTGCAGTACTCCATTTTTGGTTCTGTCGTTACAATTGGAGGAGTGATTGGTGCATTAGTAAATGGAACTATGGCAGATCTCATTGGTAGAAGACATGTGAGATGTTCTGTTAATATCTATTGTTGCAGAGTAAAATTTGAATTGCACAGTCACCTTATCTACTAGACTCGATGAATTGTTAGCTTTCTGATGCAGACAATGTGGGTCTCTGAAATTTTCTTCATCATCGGCTGGCTTGCAATAGCATCTGCACAGGTTTTTGCTCCTTTTTCCCATTTCCTATGCAAAGATGAAAACCTTTGCTTCAAATTTCATTTCATGCTTTACTTATAAAGCATGGTTTTAAAAAAGTCTAAAAAGTTTTCAGACTGTGATAATTACGCATTTAATGTCAATGCTTGTTTAAAGGACGCTTGGTTGCTGGATGTTGGAAGGCTTTTAATGGGAATTGGAATTGGGATTACTCTTTATGTGGTAAGTATGCTAACTTTGCAATTATATATTAAGCTATTTGTGCAATTTTCTTACCTAGCAAACATTTTTGCATGCATTCATGCTTTTTCTTTATTACAACAAACTTGCATTTTTCATAGGTACCAGTGTACATCGCAGAAATAACACCTAAAGATCTTCGTGGGCGATTTACAGCTGCTAACCAGGTAAAAAGTACACCACCACCATTGATTGAATTGAACCATTATATTTCATTGACTCATTCTTTTTGCCTCTATATTTTGCCAAGTGAGCAGTTCATGACAAGTTGTGGACTTTCTCTAATGTATTTTATTGGGACTGTTGTTTCCTGGCGTACCTTAGCTCTAATTGGTAAGATCTTGTTGTCCCTCTTATTGAACTGATTCTCATATCCAAAATTATGGAAATCACTTACTTTTGGTTGATGTCTTAAGGGGTTCTTCCATGTGTATTGCAAGCTATAGGAATTTTCTTCATTCCAGAGTCTCCTAGATGGTTGGTGAGTGAGTCTTTTTCTTCTTCTATGATGAAAATTGGGGGAAAAAAAATGCTATAGTAAAAAGTCTAGTCCACTAATGAAGGAAAAAAATTACCATAAAAGAGTTGTGCTGTATCTTTTTCTTCTCCTTGTCCAAAGATATAGGGAACATTCATCATATTGCTTTGCTAAAGCGTACAAAAATCTACAGGCAAAAGTTGGTCGAGAAAAATGCTTAGAAGTGACCCTGCAAAGCCTCAGGGGAAAGAATACTGATATTTCTCAAGAAGCAGCTAATATTAGTGTACACTTCCTCCTTCATGCTCAATGATAACAAAATTATTTGTTTCCCGCTTTTAACTGATGTTTAAGTATGATTGCTGCAAAATCTGAATTTAGATGAACTTCCATTTTTGTTCAGGACTATACTAAGACCTTTGAAGGGCTTTCAGAATCTAAGATTTTAGATTTATTCCAATTGAGATATGCTCATTCTCTTATTGTGAGTCTTGCAGCAAATTCTAATTTAAGGCAAAACTCTTCAGGACTAATCTAAAATTCTATGGATTGTCTACTTTGTTCAGGTTGGCATTGGAATACTACTATTTCAACAATTTGGAGGGATCAATGCAATTGCATATTATGGCAGCTCCATTTTCAAAAAAGCGGGTAAATTAAAGGCTTTGAGAATTTCATTGTGTAAGTTACTGATATATAAAAATTAAAAAATTGTTGATATTTGTCTAGTTGATGACAGATTTTTCCATTAATGTTGGGCTAATATCAATGGCTATCATCCAGGTAAGCACTGTTTAACTAGCGGTGAGAGATTCTGCTTAATGCATTTCTCATTGGACAAGGCTTTCTTTTGCAGATTCCAGCTACAGCTGCATCGGTACTATTAATAGATAAATCTGGAAGGAAGCCACTTCTCATGGTTAGAATGCAACAAATCTAAGTTACAATTTTATGATGTAGTTGATCAACCAATAGGTAGTGAAAACCCTTTTCATGTTTGCAGGTTTCTGCCTCTGGCATGGGCATAAGTTGCTTTCTTATAGGAATGGCATTTTGCTTGCAGGTTTGTCAACAAAATGGCTTGTGATATTCCAGCATTTCTTCTTAAACTTCTTATTTTTCACGCTTTTATATGGCAAATCTCTGAAAGTCTAAAGTTAATATTTCATGACAGGACCTCCACAAAGCGAAAGAAATCACTCCCTTGTTGGTTTATATTGGCATATTGGTAATCATTAATCGATCATATGCAATTGAAAAGAAATTTTACCCTCATTCTGAAGCTCTTAACATATTTATGTTTCGTCATAAGACAACTTCAGCAAATTTTTGCGTGATATTCTGAAAACTCAAAGCAATTCAATTCCTTTGATCAAAATTACTAGTATGGTTTCTGTTTAAAATTTTCACTGCATTTTCAACTCAAATTCAATCTTGCAAGAAGTGGACACTGTCCCTGTAACATGATTGAAAAAAAATGTTCTTTTAGGCTGCTCTTCAATGGAATTGTATATCCTCTGACATGTTACAGGGATATAGCGTAGCAGTATCAATAGGCATGGCTGGATTACCATGGGTTATTATTTCTGAGGTATGATTAATGTCTATTTCTGGTTTGAAATGCATTCATATTAACTCGGCATATAAAGTGGAAAGATACGGAAACTTAATGGCTTAGATTAACATTTTTTATCCCAGATATTCCCTATAAACATCAAGGGTACAGCTGGAAGCTTGGCTACATTAATCAAATGGATATGCTCCTGGATTGTTACATATACTTTCAATTTTATGATGGAATGGAGCTCAGCAGGTACTTCATTTCGTCTGTCAAACATCTTCTTTTCTTCTTGCTATGCCCTTTGATAGTTAACAGATGTTATGATAAATTGACAGGAACTTTTTTCATACTCTTTGCACTCTGCGGATCTGCTGTTCTGTTCATTGCGAAGGTGGTGCCGGAAACCAAGGGACGAATGCTAGAAGAATTACAAGCATCGATTATTCACACAAGTGCTTGAGAGATTAATGTGAAGTTAACAAGAAAATAAAAACTCATTTTCTTCATATACCTACAAGTACTTAGTAGTATAATGGAAGGAAATACTATCCAGCAATTCGAGTGGTGATTATATTTGAGGTTAATGTATAATGTCTGTGGAACCTGAATGTACATCATTCTGCAAATGGAAAATGGCGTGTATTTATATATATATCAGGCAATTCGAGTGGTGATTATAATTTGAGGTTAATGTATAATGTCTGTGGAACCTGAATGTACACCAATTCCTGCAATGGAAAAATGGCGTTATTATATATATATAAAAATATAATATATAAGGTATTTCAACTCGTTGAAACGGTGGCAAGAATGTTCCTTCCACAAAAATTTAATTGCAGGAATATATAGGATTTCACTCGTTGAACGGTGCAAGATTTCCTTCACAAAATTTATGCAGGATGTTTTCTTGCTAAATTTGTACCAAGGCAGAAAGTGACGATGTGCTGAAAGAAAGACTACAAGTAGTAGGCAGTATCCATTTTTCTTTAATAAAAAAAAGATAATTGCTATATGGTCCCTAGACTTTTGCAAATACACAATTAAGGACCTTAATTTTTAAAATCACACTATTTTGTCCTTATATTATAATTTCATTATATTAGATCCAATTATTAGTTTTTCTATGAAATGTCAAAAATAATTTTAAAAATAATTACCATATAGTCCATAAAGTTTGGTGAAGTATATCAATAAAACCTCAATTTTCACAATTTTACACTACAAGTTCTTATACAGGAATTATCTCTAAAGGTATCTACTTAAATGAAAGTTAACTATTGAAGCTTTTAGGGAACAAAATTATCTAATTAATATAATTTTAGAAATTATGTTCTTATTTGTGTATTTCACAAAAATCTAAGTACTATATAGTAATTACCCTAAAAAAACCAGCTCCAAGTGGGTCCCTTATCTACCCCAACTCTATTCTCCTTGTCTTTGTCGTCTTTGTGGCCTTTGTTGTCTTTGCCGTAATAACTCCAAATTGAACAGGCGAGAGCTGGAAGCTCTCTCTCTAACACTTTTTGTCTTGAACTTTTACAACAACTTCATAGTGTTTCTTTCTTCAGTTTCGTGGTAACTAATTCTAATCAAGATATGGGTAAGGAAAGTATAGAAGAAGGAGATACATCGAGTCATCTGCTTCTCAAAGATAGACATCAGATACGTGGAGGAGATCATGGTGGTGTTGCAGGTGGGCAGAGTGGAGGTTCTTCAGTAATAGCTACTGTGGTGGTGACTACTCTTATCGCTGTTTCTGGTTCATATGTTTTTGGGTCAGCTGTAAGTACTCTGAATAACACTAAACTTCATTTTTCTAATTAAGACTATAGCAAGTAATGTAGTAATTTTTGGTCAACTCGTGTCACCAGTTCAAGTCTGGTTCCTGACACATGATAAATTTGTGTAAAAAGATTATGCCCTGTTTGATATGATAATTATGTGGGACTTGAAGTCTTCTCTGGTCAATTTTTGTGTGGAATTAACCTCCACGCCAACTTTCTAACTAATGCTTCCAAAATCCCCCAAACGCAAAAGCTTCCATCTTTTCTTTAATGGTGACTTTCTAGACCGAACTAAAATGGTGTATTTGTATACAGATAGGATATTCATCACCCACTCAGTCTGGAATAATGGACGACCTTGGTCTCTCTGTTGCGGAGGTAGGCAGTGAAAGAATAACAAGTAGCAGAAATTAAGTCTGGAATTTTCAGTTTTGCATGTTTTGTCTTTTATTCCTTATCTATTTTAAAGGATTGGCACCTTAGCTTAATGATATATATTGGATTGGATTAGATTATATGCGTAGTTGGAGTTTGTGAACTCACTACATTCTTTTCCGTTAGAAAATTTCACATCCTTCATGCAAAATTACTTGTTCTGCTGTCTGAGGAGATTGAAGTGGAAATTTATATTGTTCTTTTCTTTTTCAATTTAATTTCATTTTGCAGTACTCACTTTTCGGTTCTATATTGACAATTGGAGCAATGGTAGGTGCAATAATGAGTGGGAGAATAGCAGATTACATTGGTCGAAGGGGTGTAAGTCTCCTTTTTTTACTACCATTATCATTATCCATACTGTGAAGTTCCACATCAAACTCCTCTATTTTTTGCCTTTTTTTTTTTTTTTTTTTTTTTCTCCACAGCAAACTCCTCTATTTTTTGCCTTTTTTTTTTTTTTTTTTTTTTGAACCAGATTAATGGGATTTTCCGAAATATTCTGTATCAATAGATGGGCTTGCAATAGCATTTCTCAAAGGTTCTCTTCCCTTCTCTTTTTTTTTTTTTTTTTTTTTTGAACCAGATAATGGGATTTTCCGAAATATTCTGTATCATAGGATGGCTTGCAATAGCATTCTCAAAGGTTCTCTTCCCTTCTCTCCTTTTCTGACCAAAATTTTGTAAATTTGCTGATTCTCCTGGATGTTTTACAAGTAGAATGAATAATTCTTTGAGGCTTTCATTTCTCTCCATGCCTTTTTAGAAAGAAAATGAATCATAGATTGGCCTGGAGACACCCATTTAAGTAATAGGATATTGGAATTCATTATTATTGTCTTTGAATTCATTACTCAAGGCTTCTTGGTGGCTCGATGTTGGAAGAATGTTGGTAGGATATGGGATGGGGCTTCTTTCTTATGTGGTAAGTATTTTGCAAGTACTGCAGTAATCATGTGATTACTCATTCACATGTGGTCGTTAATCCCTTAGTTCCATTAATGTAAAGGTACCTGTATTTATAGCTGAAATTACACCCAAGAATCTACGAGGAGGATTCACAACAGTTCATCAGGTAATTATATAGCATAATTGGTAAGCAGGGTATATGCTTTGTCGATAAGACTAATTAGTATTACCACTGATTCTGCAGTTGATGATATGTTGTGGTGTTTCAGTAACATATCTTATTGGAGCTTTTGTGTCCTGGCGGATTTTGGCGCTGGTTGGTAATATTTCTGTCTCCTTGTGTGGTGTTTCAATGTAATGCAAAAGGTAATTCCATAATACATGGTTTGTCGTGGTTTGATTTAGGAACTATTCCATGTCTTGTTCAACTTCTTGGGCTATTCTTCATCCCAGAATCTCCTAGATGGTTGGTGAGAATTGTCATTATCTATATGTATTTCAATTTTGGCACTAAAAGAATAAAAGAATAGTTAAGTTTTATTTTTTGTTGGTCCAAGGAACTTTTAGAAATATGTTACAACTCTCGTGCTAAAACATAAAACATGAAAAATGAAAATCAAACGTGCTATGGGTATGCCTGTGAAACTTAGATAGAAGGTTATCATTTATTGTGTGCATATGAATGTTGTCAAGAGTGGAAAGATTGTGGTGTTAAATGTTAAATAATTCTGACAGGCAAAAAATGGACGATGGAAAGAGTGCGAACTTGCTCTGCAGCATCTTAGGGGGGAGAATGCTGATATTTCTGATGAAGCAGCTGAGATTAGAGTAGGTTTTTAACTTTATTTATACATGAATTGTTTGAATCTTTTAGTTTCCATTCAATCTATCCTTTTCTTTTCAAACACTTAATGTTCAAAAGAGAGTTAAATCTCTTGCACACCTTGTGTTTTGTTCTTCATTATATTGTTTATAGGATTACACGGAGACTCTTCAACGACATTCTGAGGGTGGCATATTTGAATTGTTCCAGTGGAAATATGCTCATTCACTCATTGTGAGCTCTTTAATTAATCCTAAATAGCATTGTACTCATGTATTGTTAGGTTTTGGAAATGTTACTTATATTAAAATTGAAATTCTGTTAAGGTTGGAGTTGGCCTGATGGTGCTGCAACAATTTGGAGGGGTCAATGGCATTGCATTTTATGCAAGTTCTATATTTGTAGCAGCTGGTATGTGAAGATATTTCATTGTCGACGTGGTCAATGAATTAGAAAGATGATGAATCCCTAATTGTATGGCAGGTTTTTCTGGTAGTGTTGGGACTATTGCTATGGTGGTTGTCCAGGTAAATGCCTCTTACCATTGTACAAGTGTTGCAATCTGCTTAATGCTTTTCTAAGATAAACATCGGAACTGATTTTCTGCAGATTCCAATGACAGCACTGGGAGTAATCTTGATGGATATATCTGGGAGAAGACCACTTCTAATGGTAAGCACATGTAGAATTGGAAATTGCCCCAAATTTGTGAAGTAATATTGGAATAAAAAATGCATGCTGAAGTCTACAATTCTTTACAGATCTCTGCTGCTGGAACATGCTTGGGTTGCTTTCTTGCAGCATTGTCATTTTTGTTGCAGGTTCTCAAAACAGGACACTCATCGCTTGCCTTACTTCTTTGCCCCTTATTTTTTTGTGTAAACTAAAAAGCTTGGACTTTGCAGGACCTTCATAAATGGACGGCATTCTCCCCATTTTTGGCACTTGTTGGTGTACTGGTAATTTTAGTATAACTTCAAAGTCAACAAAAGTCCAATTGTTTCTGATATGTGCTAATATGTGTAATGTCGTGATCAGATATACACTGGATCATTCTCATTAGGTATGGGAGGAATCCCTTGGGTTATAATGTCTGAGGTAGGTTAACTAACCAAGGCTTGACTTCTGCAAGTTTTAATTTTCAGTTATTGAAGCCTGAAAATGGTTTCAATTTCAGGTTTTCCCTATAAACATGAAGGGCCCAGCTGGAAGTCTTGTGACACTTGTTAGTTGGTTAGGTTCTTGGATTATCTCCTATGCTTTCAACTTTCTAATGGATTGGAGTTCAACAGGTAATTATTCACATGCGAGTTTACTCTTTCGATCTTGAAGCTATTTGGGTAAAATCTAAGCTTTTTTAAAATTTTGATCTCAGGAACATTCTTCATATTCTCAAGTATATGTGGCCTAACGGTTCTGTTTGTCGCAAAGCTGGTGCCGGAGACTAAGGGACGCACATTGGAAGAAATACAAGCGTCCTTGAATCCGTTTGCAGCAAAGGCTTGAGTTTAGTATTTCAGGCAAATTTAGGACAAGAAACATATTTGGTGCTGTGTAAGCTGGACCAACTCAACTAGTTGCACCACTTAATTTGCAGCCTGTGTTATAAACTTATAATGACAGAATACTAAAATAAACATTCAATTTGCCGACGGGATTGGTCTGAGTGGAAATGATTCAGCTTTTTAAATAAAAGGTCAAGAGTCCGATTATTGTAAATAGAGAAAATCTCCACCAAAAGTACTTTCCTTTATGGGCTCGGCGCTGGTAGAATTAAACTTTGCTTAATGGGCTAGGAACATGTGTGGTATAAACTAATAAATAAATAAATAAATTTAGACTCAATACGTAATAAGAAAATAATAATATATAGTTATGCATGGATGGAATGCATGTAAATTTGAGTAAATTCATCCTAGCAAAAATCTAACTAGTTCTTTTGAGGCATGCCTTTCTTTCTGGGTCTGGGTCAGGTAGAATTGGGCAGCTAGCAAGTTTATCGTGTCTAAGAATCTATAATCAAAGCTAAGACAGCAACTACTCCACCATTTCTGGTAAGTTGTTCTTGTTGTATAGATACAACATAAGATGATCAATGAAATAAGTTCACGTGGATATTGTATCCTACTGATTATCAAGAAATTATATTTGATAAGATAGAATCGATTAAAGAAAAATTCTAGCACCATTCACGGGAAAGTCGTGAGGAGTTGATTAGTTCTGCATCAGATTCTTGTCATTGTAGTGCTGTTATTATAGAATGTTAGACATGGTAACTGGTTCACCATAAAAACAGAATTATAGAACAACGAATTTGGTTCTTTCCTTTTTTAGCTATACTGTTTATAATAAGGAGGAATAAAGTTGACCTGAGAACAAACGAGAGCATGTGATTTCAAAATCAAGAACTGGTTAACCGTCATAGGATACTAATACAGTATATAGCCTTCCATGTTCAGTCGTTATCTCAACTTGCGTAACTTATTGTGACTGCTCAGGAGGTCAATTCCTGTAATGCATGCAGCCCTCACTATCTTCTACCTTATACTGGCCAATATACCTCACGTTACTCACATCACCATGCATGCACACTCACGGTCCTGCCCCACTCCAACTTGCCTATAAAAATTAATTAACCACGACCAATACCATCTTATATGCAAATTAAACAAACCCACCAAATAACAATTTCAAAAAAGTCAAATAGCAGCATCACAATTCCTGGATAAGAATGCCAAAAACAGGCATTAAAGGTGCAGGAGCTGCTGCAGCCAATCTAGCCAACTTATAAGCAACAGGAACCGTTCTTTTATTTGTAGCCTTGGTGCCTTCCTTCTCTACTAATGGCGAGTGTATTATAGCCAACAAGTACCTTACATTAGCTATTATTGTTTGTTGTTCTTTAGCTTGCTTTTTGTCTTCTTTCACTGATAGCTTCATTGGCAAAGATAATAAGCTTTACTATGGAATTGCCACCTTTAATGGATTTTACGTATTCAATGCTTGTGATTATAGTGATGGTAATGGACAAGAAGAACTAATTGGTTCTGGTGAAGAAAAGAATTACAGAATAAATCTTATAGACTTTGTGCATGCTTTTGCATCACTGACTGTTTTCTTGGTATTTGCTCTCTATAGCTCTGATGTGCAAGGCTGTTTGTTTCCTAAGGCAGGACCTAATGAGAAGAAACTAATTATGAATTTGCCATTAGGAGCTGGGCTTCTGAGTAGCTTCTTATTCATGATATTCCTACTAGGCGTAGAGTAATTGGTCATGGGAACATAGCACCTCAGAATTTCGAGAACAATGCAGAGGGTAGTTCCAAGCAGGGTGGACTCATCGCAGAGAATAGTTCTACCCGATTTTTAAAGTCTGCCTCCGCTCCTAGTTCTGACTTCCACGGTAAAGTTTAAGTCTGTAGGTTAAGAGGTTTCCTTCTATATATGACTCTTATCCGTACAAGAAGTACTTGTATATATATATATATATAAGCTTTAAGTTAAGCATCTCAGTTGTAAATGATCATTCAATCAGCTTGAAGCATGTATTTGCTTGACTTGAAAAGGAAGTTATAAATTAGTTGCTTGCCATATAATAAATAAAAATGCTATCGCTCTTTAAGATTCGAAATAATCTAAAAGTCGATATCATAAAAGAAAATAGAAAATCATCATAAAAGAAAATAGAAAATCATCTCGATGGAATGCACATAATTGAGAATATACAAATTACAATTTAAAGAAAATTAATTAGTTTAAATTCAAAAAGAATATGAGTATAAGAATTCCTAGCTATTCCATCAAATCTGGTATCTCAATCCAAGTTGCAAAGCATCTTTTTATTGCTTGGCAGAATAAATCAAAACCACTATATATCAAGATCTCCTTAATTATATATATATGTATAAACCAAACCGTCAAATGATTAACAAGTAGTCGTTCTGCAGTTTGGTAGATTCGTTAATTCCCTTATAATAAATAAATAAATAAATAAAAGCTGCATTGGACTTTGACTAGGTCCTGAGTACTGAGAACCAATCATATATTCATATGTTGGTGATGCAAAAAATGCAAGGAACTGAGGATGTAATAAACTCAGAATATATATATATATATATAGCGCCACAAAAAAATAAAAAAATAAATGAAAATATCCATCCTCTTATGCAAGTTGAAGTTCCCTCTTCTTGTTTTTCCAACTCAAAGTTTGTCTTGCTTCTAGTTGATATTTAAATATAATATAATGCCTGTTTAAAAATCTTAAATGATAGATATAAAAAGTTATAAAAAATAATTATTATTTTTTAGTATTTAGGGAATATGTGTTTTAATTTGGTTAATTATAATTATTTTTATTTTCTTAATTTTTATATAATTATCTTAAAGGACGCTTGTAATTATATGGAGATGGTAACCATTCCCTCCATATTATAAAGATAGATTTATTTACCTTTTTATTTATTTCAAATTATAATCTTATTTTCTTTTTCAACAGATAATAATTTTTGCAATTTCTTATTTTATCCACATTTAATATACATTTTATCAATAAATAAATTATTATTACAATTAATCAAATTAAAAATAGAAGTGAGGAGGGTTGGCAATCTTTGTCTAATTGAAGGCCACTGCATGTCTGCATCTTATCCTGTTGTTCTTACTCTCTCACAACTTCCAAGGACCTCTTTCTCACCCTAAACCCTAAATCATTTCCAAAATAATACTCCATTTTTGTAAAATATTCATACTGAAATTTTTAAAATTTAGTTTATCGATTATTTTTCTTATTTTTAATTACATTATTTTTTTTTTTAATTGATTATCTTTTAATTATTCATTATATAGATTATGAACACAAAAATTTATATAAATACAAATGTTGCTTTCTAAGAACTAAAATACAAAATTAAGAGAGCGAGAGGGAGAGGAAGGTAAGTGCGAGTTTTCAAATACATGATAGGGATGTTTATTTAATATATATGCACAAAATGTGAGCCTAATTATTTTTCTGAAAATGGAAAGTGTACGGTGGACAGAGAAAAGCATACTAATTATGAAATTAAATTTATAAAAAATATTTTTTTATAATTATAAAAATCAATCGGACTATACCTGATTTATATATATATTTATTATAAATTTTTCTATGCTTGCAGTAAGCAAGATGGCGTTTAAGTAATTTTTCTGATAATGCTAAAGTTGAGTTACCAGATAAAAGATAAAATAAACATGAGATAAATATGAATGAAAATAAAGTGGAATATATCGACTATAACCTTGATTTTTATATATAATATTTATTATAAAATTTTTCTATGCTTGCAGTAAAGCAAGAAATGGCGTTTAAGTAATTTTTCTGATAATGCTGAAAGTTGAGTGTACCAGAATAAAGATAAAATAAACATGAAGATGAAAATATGAATGAAAATAAAGTGGAATATATATATATATAGTATATATATATACTAATATAAATAGTAATTAAAAAATTTAAAGAAAAAAAGAAAAAGAAGGGAAATGTAAGCCGAAAGTATTAGGCAATCATACGTGGGACCCGGCCGTTTTCCTCTATCAGTACAAGCTATAATATAATTAAAAATTAAAAAAAAAAAAGAAAAAGAAGGGAAATGTAAGCGAAGTATTAGGCAATCATACGTGGGACCCGGCACCGTTTCCTCTATCAGTACAGCTAATATTTCAGCACCTTTTGTCACGCTGGCAATCTCTATACCATAGCATGCCTCAATTAAATCCTCACCTTCTCTCTCGCTTTCTCCCTATCTTTGGTTTGAGGATCTTATTATTTCTAATTTAATACTCTTTTTCTCCTTTATCTCTCCCCTTTCAGACATACATTTTTCATTTTCCAACCAAGAACCTTTCCTCTTTTTTTTTTCTATTTTATGCTTCACTGTATGATGAGCTTTTGCAAGAAAAGTGTTCACTCTTTTTTGGGTCTCACAATACCCACGGATTCTAATGATCATACTAATACTACTGTTGTTCAAGAAAAGCCTTCCAAATGTCTTTTAACTAATACTAATGGTGGATTAGGGTTAATCTCTGCCACTGGTGATTTTTGTAAAACACCCAATATTCTTGAATCTGCTACTGTCAAGTCTTCCTCACCGCCGATCAAGAAAGATCCCGGTGGGATTGGATTTCTTGATGATGTTGGTGGTGGTGTTAATGGTTTGATGTCTTGCACTGAAAGTTTAGGATTTGAAAGTTGCGATGAAAGAAGAGTTGATGATGAGATTGACGAGTTATTATCAGCGAGAACCGATAAGGTTAAATGGAGAAAGATTGGAGAAAGAAGAAGAGAGGTAAAGAAATTTCCACCTCCTATTTCTTCTTTAAATCATAATGGCCAACCGTGTTTCTTTCTCCGCCCGGTGAGAAAAGATGGCAGGCTCGAGTTAACGGAGGTTAGGATTGATAGGCCGGAAATTTTACGTGCTCACAGGGAAGATGGACGGTTGAGATTGCATCTTATCAGAGACGATGAAGATTTAGAGGATATTAATGAAGAAAAACAACCAGTTCAAGAACAAGAAGAAGAAGAAGAAGAGGAGGAGGTTCAAGAAGAAGAAGAAGAAGAAGAGGAGGAGGAGGAGAGAGAAGGTGACGAATGGAGGTTTCCGGTGAACGGAGAGGGACTTAGGAGGTGTCATGAGGTAGCGACACAACCTCATCATCATCATCATCATCATCATAATCATCACAACCATAATTTGCATGTGTGGAGACAGCACTGCGTAACGACAAGTTAAAGAAAGAAAAAAAAAAAGGTCTCACGTGAGGTGTCAAAAAGATACAAAAGAAAAGGGAACGGAGGTTAAGGTTTGTCTGTATTTTCGTTTTTCATTTTTGGATTTTGCAGTAGATATTTATCATTTGCCAGTACTGCAAGTGCAAAGCACCAGCTGAATCAATTTCTCGAGAGAATCAAGATCAAGAATAGTTTGATTGGTATTTGGTAACGGTGATGATGATTGATGTATGGATGATTGATCATAATGGTGGGACAATGGACATTATTATTCTTAGAATTTGACAGAAATTGAAGGGCCTGCATGTATAAATGTCGGGTTTTGGGCAACAGTAACACACAGACATACAGAGTGAGTGTGAGAGTGAGAGAGTTTTCCAAAATTTAGAAGTTTGGGTGATATGGATATGGGAAATAGGAGGATTAGTAGTTTTGGTGTTCATAATAATTGGGAAATGTCAAACCAAATAAAAAAAATTGCATCTCTGTGGGAATTGATTTCTGTATATCTAGTGATTAATTTTGTACTTCTCAGTTCTCACCAAAAAAAAAAAAAAGGAAGAATAATGATATGTGCTTACGTACTGCTTGTGCAATTTTTTTTGTCCAGTATATATGATTATCTTATGACTAAAGAAATCATCAGCCGCAAAGAAAGAGTATTGGAAAGGGAATCCTCATAATTATTAGTTAATTTGAAGTGACAAGCTCTGGGGCTGAGGACAGCTGCAAATTAAAATAAAATTAATCGTCGACAGCAGGGTTCGAACCTGCGCGGGCGAAGCCCAACAGATTTCAAGTCTGTCTCCTTAACCACTCGGACATATCGACATTTGAGAGTTTTATTTTTCATGGCATTTCTAAGAACAATTTTCTAAATCTCTATCTTGTTATATTTCTTTTATTAACTCCATTAACAAGTTCCAAGTCATTTTATTATTACTTTATTTGTGAATACACCATTACAAGATTTTCATGAAATTAAAGTTATTGATCTATTACTTGAAAATACTAAGGATTCCTGTCCACACTTTGGGATGAATAAGTACTACATTCATTCAAGAGAGACAAAATCTGTTCTGAAAGTACAACTTTTTTTTTTTTTTTTTTAATCTGTTCCTGAAAGTACAACTTTTTTTTTTTTTTTTTTGTTTTTTTTTTTTTTTTTTGTGAGGAAGAAAAGGCATAAATCTATACAATTTGCTCGAGCAAGAACATGCAACTTTACAAATTGAATCACATCAAGTTTCACTGTATGAGCAGCAGAAGCTCCTTTCCATGCAAATTAGCATAGATCCACTGTTTTCTTTTTAATTGCCTACAACATTTTTGTGCTCATTAGCCTTCACCGAAGTATAGGAAATCCTCCAGGGAAACAAGAACAAAATGATTGTGATCACCGCTTCGATAAACAGATGTGCATCAGTGCCGAATGAATTCTCAAACTTTTCTGTCAATAATCCGTTGGAGATCTTTTCCAGTCTCAATATAGAGCTTATGCTAGGCAGAGTGGCAAGTTGAACAAAGATCACACCTGGCAATGAATTAATCCGGCTTGGTATATTCAAGCAGCATGTGTGAAGAGCGATAAATTTTCACCAGTGTCCAATATAGGACCTCTTCAACTTCCAGCTCACCCTCTTCTCTTGCTGCATAAATATCCTCACATATTGACAATAACCTGCATCAGCCATGCAGTCAATCACATTTAATGATCTTCAGAAGGGTTTACAAATCGGGACATGCATATCTATTTTTGTCCCTGAAGTCGATTTTTAAACTAGACTTGGTTTGATGTTAAAACTTAAACCATGTGTCTGTTTTCTCCTTGTCAATGGATATCCAAGAAGCTTCTAGTAATATAAGACAATTAATTACACCAACATAAATGAAAATTATAATAATGCTGCGTGTGTGTGCGCGCGTGAATAGGTATTACCCTTTTGGACCTCAACAGAATAATAACAACATAGAATAAAATGTTCGGAGGCTTAAAATTCTGATATTCAACAGAATAACAAGTGGAAGTAAAGAGACTACAGTCGCATATTTGATCGTTCAGTGTCAAAATTGGAAACAATGCTTGCATACCTGTCACAAGAAGGAAGATTCTCAAATGGTATTCTCATTCTTAGGTCAGAAAATTGTAGTCTGATAAAACGGCCAACCGCAAGCACAAAAGTAATGTAGAGACCCCAGATACTGAACTTACTTAGTGTTTCACCAAGAATACCCTCTGAAAAAAAAAAAAAAAAAAAAAAAAAAAAAAAAGAATAATATTTTGTGATCAACTGACAAGAACTTAGAATATCATTGGGATTTTTTTTAGACACCAGATTTATAAATGCACATTAAAAGCTGTAGTGATCACACTTTTTCATAACTTACTCACGTGGTGTTTCCTCAGCAAAACAATTATACCATAGGACCTGCAATCTGACCACATTACAGATGCAGCATCAATATCATGAAAGACCACCATTCTAGATTCCCCACGATTGAGAACCAAGATCCCCACTAAAACCAGATTCTACCTGCCAAACAGTTTTCATTGCGCAGCGAATCAATCAAACTCTGATGCATCTGAAAAAAAAAAAAAAAAAGAATAAATATTTTGTGATCAACTGACAAGAATATCATTGGGATTTTTTATTAGCACACAGATTTATAAATGCACATAAAAGCTGTAGTGATCACACTTTTCATAACTACTCACGTGGTGTTTCCTCAGAAACAATTATAGCCATAGGACCTGCAATCTGACCACATACAGATGCAGCATCAATATCATGGAAAGACCACCATTCTAGATTCCCACGATTGAGAACAAGATCCCCACTAACCAGATCTACCTGCACAAACAGTTTTCATGGCAGCGAATCAATCAACTCTGATGCATTACCTTCAATGTCAGTATTCATAGACATCAAGGCAGAGAAGGAAAGCTTATAGTGGGAAGGAAACCACATACCAACTCTTCCAAAATCCGCACTTCACCAGATCCAGTAACCCTGAAGTATCTTGGATAAACGTTATGTATCCTGAAGCTACTGGTAGTACCATTTAGCACTGCCATTACTTCTGAATATGTTGGAAGATCCTCATCTTGAACTATCAAGTCATATCTCACAACTTCCTTTCCTTTGGGACGATCCCTTGTTAACTGCCAAGAAAAGATTACGTCCATGCTCCACCTGAGGGAATTCATGTATCTGTCCTGGACTACTGGTGGAACCAGCCACAAGGAGCTACCATCAGCTTGGCAGCATATCAATTGAACGTCCTTCTCATCATATGCACGTAAATAACCTTGAGGATCAAGATCAACATGTGAACCTATTCCATTCCATGAGAACTTTTCACAGAGTGTTGTCTCAAATAATGTAAGCCGTCCACTAGTTGTTCTTATATCAATCCGGATACTGGCTTCTTTAATAGGATTAGCAATATTTGTGGGGTTACCACTACTGTACATCTGTGCAACCAAAAAAAAAGAAAAAAAGAGAGAGAATTAGACGGCACATAAGTTGTAGATATCCTAATGTTTACACTGCATGTTGCAGTAGGGAATATAAAACATCAATGCTTCTGAATTGCAAATAGAATACAAGGCTGGTTAGAAGTTCTTCTTTATGAAGATTTGTAACAATGGTAGAGTTGGTTAAATTAATACTAATACCAAGTCTGAGAATGCCTCACACCAAACTTGGATTGTTGACTCACTTCCCTGTTATTGGTCTATATACACCAGATACCTGATCCTCCATTCAGGATTTTGGTTTTATTTCCTTAAAAATCTGCTTCATTGAAATTCTTGAATATCTCTTGGAAGCATCAACAATAATACATCAAAATACATCATCCTACTTTTTTCATATTTGTCCATTTTTCATTTTTTTTTTCCTCGGTGCTTTCCATGTATTACAGTTAACAATCCTCTGCTTCATTGGTACTTTTATATGTTTAGCAGCCAAATAGCATAAATTCATCAAATGTCATTCAGCAAAGGCAGATCTCAAATTCTGATGCCTAGTCAACTCAGCACTTGATTTCAATTACAATATTCATTCCCTCTCATTGCTAATATGTATTTTACATTATCATCCAACAAATTGTAAGATTCATTATTTTTAGGCTGCCCACACAAGGTTGTATAGTTTAATGAAATTTGCTGGTGAAAACTTCAGACGGCGAGATGAGCAGTTTATCATTATGATAGGTGTCAAGCAGAAGTGCAGAGATGTATGCAACTGAGGCATCCTAACAGACCAGTAGACTTGAACCTTGTTCCTACATGACAGAGCCAGGACACAGTTTAAATCCTTACCAGCATGGGAGCCCATATAACACACAACAATATGAAGAAAAAGCATATCCCATTGCAAAATTTAGTTGTTTTCGATTGCTTCTCTCCTTGTCGATGTTTTGCTTTATTCAGATCCGCGTCACATTTGACAAGAAACAAGCTGGCATGAATGTCTTCCAACTGAAAATAGAGCTAATGTCAGATCCAGAAATAAACATGCATCTGATATATTCAAGCCATTTGATTGAACAAAACAATGAACGGTTAATAATACCCTAACATTGGCCCTGGTATACATGAGAAATATTATATTTACAGTTGGCAATTACATTGGGAATTAAGATTAGTTAAGTGGACCTGAGTTGAATGTTGTGAATAAGCAATTGCTCTTGATACTTTCAACTAAATGATGCAGAGTTTTATTTTATGAGAGTACACAGTCTATATATACATTTAGATTTTCAAGCTAAGATTCCGCTCGTGAGCAGAACAGTATGAGCCTGCCTGACTGTGAGACCCAACTGGTCAAACAGAGACGCAGGTTGCACATAGGCTCATAGTAATCCAAGAGCTCAGTGTAGAAGGGCTCTCGCTCAAAAGATCAAAGTTACAGGGGTAACAAGTTGATGACTCCCAAGAGCTCTTATCATCAGAGGCTTTTGGCACCTTGATGCCGACATATCACACCTTGATGTATAAAAAGACATGACTAAGAAACTAATAGCTGGAAACCTATTACAATTTCTAAGAGCTCAAGTTAAGCTTTCTTTGTTTACTAATTATTTTATTTTCTGATAAAAAAAAAGTATACATGTGTCATGTGCATAATAGAGTGATGTATGAACACAGAAAATGACTCCATCAATACACAATAACAATGATGAAAACAATGATAACAAAGCTACTTGTATTTTAGTCAGCAATGGACATACCTTCAGCCAGTCATACATGGTCAAAGATGTAGTGGTGCACGACCAATCAAGCACACATCGCAATTCATAAAGAAATGGCAGAGCACGATAAAGTCGGAAACCCAAATAGTTAATTTGTGAAATGCTACTTGTCAAAAACTGCCTATATAAAGTGCTTTTGTGTGGGATCCCAAATCTTATTTGTACAGCTTGCAGAGCTAGAGAAATTGCCTTGGTGAAATAGATAGCACGGAGTGCATATCTTGCAGCATGCCTGTGTTGTAGATCAATGTGGGAAGCATAATTTGCGATTGAGTATGTGAAGAGAAAAAAATTGATAAAATAGAAGATGACTTTTCCAGTGGCAAATGAACAAAGGTATATTATACGATCAACCACTATCAAGAAAAAGATCACCTGCAAGAAGGAACAATTTTATCTACTTAAGAAAAATAAAACCAAATATATCATTGACACACTAGGATGGAAAACAATAAAGGTATAGAAATTGATGTTGGTGAATCTGTTTCAGATATGGCAAACTTAATTTTTGAAAAAGTACCGCTGTTTGGAGACATTTCACAGATTCAACTTTGAAGCAATTCAGAAAGAATTATCCAAGGAAACAAATGAAATTTTGTGATTGTAGCGTTTCAAAACTGACTCTGTCAATTGTTTAAAGTTATTTAATAAAAGACAGAATCTGATCGATGCCATTGATTGGTAACATTCCCTTGGTTGTGTGTGTAGCATATAAGGAGCTACTCTGAGTGATAAGCTCCATCTCAAAAACATACCAATAAACTGAATTAATAAAACTAGTAAGTTATGATTCTACACCAATACTGACAATAGTCAAGGAAGAGGTTTATAATTTACCATTAAGATAAATACAAACTCTTTCGGGAATTGATCTTCAAGCTGATAAACTTCGAGGAATTCAATGTTGTTTTTCATGATTGATTGATAGAAAATGGCCACCAAGAAAAAAACAGCCAAATCAGCACAAAATGTGTAAGCATAGAGATCAATATGTTTCTTTCCTCCACCAATCACTGAGAGAATTGGGTAAGGGAATCCTATTTCGTTAACAACACCATTACGTTCAGCTTCTAGAATCTCATAAGCTACATCAGCTGCTGGAGTTAGTGATTTATAAAATCCTCCTTCAGAACATTCTTTCAAAGGAGAGGCATGTAACACTTCAAGAACAGCCAGAGCAACATTTTCATTTTCCGGACTCCTCTCAATGCTTTGAACACGAACTCTACTGATTGAATGGAAATGGTTTGAGCCCATGTCCTGGCATCTTTTATCATGCATGATCTTAAGCATTTTGTTTATTCCTGATTTGATTCTTTCAGGCTGAATGCCATCCCTAGGCCACAAATCAACTTTCATAGACAACTGGACAAAGAAGGGTGGAGTTTCTGCTCCCTGCGTCAGAGATTTCCAATACCTGTAAAGGCTGCTAATCAATTGTTCCACAAAAGATTTGGCAGACAAATGCAGACTCTCTATTATCATCCAGCAATCCTTAATAGCCTCTTTTTGGCACTTGTTTCTTCTTTTCCGAAAGCTGTTTTCAGGAATTGTTGCCCATTCACTATCTCTAGCAGTTATGGAGGTCTGCAAGAGAGTAAACAAATACACTACAAAAAGAGGTAAGTTGCTGATTACAAATGATGATGTGATTTTATGTTCAGGAAATCCTAGTTCCTGAAGCACTCTCATATTGAAGGTCAACCCACAATGTTGGATGATGATCTGATATATGTACTGAAGCAGTATATCCATCTCCGTGTAAATCAGCATAATAATCCAGAACATGTTATTTGGACCAGTACTCACACAGAGAGCATAAAGAAAAAGAACTGCAGGATAAACCATTGAAAACAAACTGAAATTCCACATGAATATTAGAACAAAGCAACAGTAACAAACAGCATCATTGTTAGATCGCATTTGGGCCCACATGTAATGGAGGATCATCCCAATTTGCATACATGCACCTTGAGAGGTAGTCAGCCGATCACCAGATTGCATTGAAAATGTTGAGTCGATAGGTTCACACCCTATGTTCTCATTCTCTGTCTCATAGTATACCTCATCATCAGAACAATCATCCCCTAGATCTAGTTCATTTTTTATATTAAAGAAACTCACTATATTGGCTACTGCCATATTACTAAGAGATTGCACTTGATTAACTCCATCATTGAACAAATTTACGGCTGACATTAGTGATGCTTTCTTGGCTTGGAATTTGTCTTCGTCTCTTTCATGTGAATCCCAAAACTCTGAAGTAGCAGCTTTATCTGTTAGCTCAATGATCCCATCAGTAAATTCCAGTGAATGCTTTCTGGAATGCGCCACTGATGGACTTTCAGGGCTTTTATTCCTAGGAGATTCATTCACATCAAAAGAAAATAAAAAATCAGAGTTCAAACCAACAGTTTGCTTCTTAAAATCAATTCCCAGTTTGTCTACGAGTTTGTTAATGGCATCTGCACTAACGGATTTTCTCATCCTATTTCCTTGACTTTGATAAGCATTACCAAAATTTGCAGTAAAGCTGATGTTCTGAAGCTGGATTTGGAGATTAAGCAAATCTGATTTCAACTTTTCCACTTGAAAATTACGCAACTGCTTCTCCTCTTCAGATTTTTGTATCTGTTGCAATTGTGAAGTCTTCCAAGCTGCCTTCTTCTCCTGTTCCTGCACTATAGAACCAATCTGCTCTGCTTCAAGATATTCAGATACATAATCAAACTCCTGTGCTGAAAACATGTATGATTGTAAGGATATAAGCATAAATATGATAATCTCCACGAGTGCTGATCTTGATGTAATTCGAAATCCATAATCATATTTGTAAAATCCAACTATTTCACTTATGTAATCTATCATTTCGCATTTTGCCTTGCAAGAACCCCCAACAAAAGGGGATTGATAAGCAAGAGAAAGGACTATTACAGCAAAGTTGTAAATCCGTAAGAACTTGAAAATTTCATTCTTTTTTAAAATTTCAAGCCTCATCCGAAAGAAAACCAGAGCAAAACCAAGGTATCCAAGGTGTAGAATGTCAAATTCAAGAGTTCCCGTAATTAAAATCAAAGTCAGAACAAGATCCAGTAAGTGGCAATAACTATAAAGCTTCAGGTAGTCCAGAAATGTCCACAGAAATTTTCTTTCAAATAAGAGATCATTCAGTGATGCATTCTTATATTGAGACATCATTTGTTGATACGTCTCTGATGCTGAGAGACTGGACAAGCGGTCAGCACGGTATTTGAAGCATGAAAGCATGAAGACTGCATAGTAGCTGATGAGCATTCGCGGATCATCAACCACAATTCCTGCCAAAAAATATCATACTTAGCCAACACTTGGTGGTCGAGGCTTTGCAGGATATTCTGAAAGCACATGGCAGAATTAAAGTGATATGATTTCAATCTTCTGGACATTTAAGCATGTGAGGACTTCCCTAAGTGCTTCGTAGAAAAGATTAAAGTAATAAATGCTTGTAACTGCAATTCCAATCTTAAACCTGATGATGTGTACATGTCGGTGAACAAACAAATCATTTAGTAAAATGCCAGAGTAAAAGCCAATTGAACTTCAGGTATGAGGAAAGAGAAACAGAACTAAAATTGTTCCCGCAGACAAAATGTTAAATTTTGCACAGTTATATGCATTGCCAATTCGCCATAACTAATATGCCACTTCGATTTGACCTTAGGCAAAGCCCAAAAATCATCCAGACGGATGCATCTTTTAAAAAAGAATGAAAGCAATTATAGTAAAGTGCTCTTAAAACTGAATAGAAACTCCTCAACCATAGGCCATGATGATCTAAGCACCACCATTAAAGATAATTTGATTGAAAACTCACAAATCTTTGATTTAGAGTATCTCAATCCAAATTCATTAATTTTTCATCAAAATAAATAGGAAAGTTGGCACATTCCTTGCCCTCACCCAAACAGCAATAGGAGCGTCAACCTTCATGCACCAAATTTGCAGTTAATTTTTATGAAAAGTTCTTTAAAATAAAAGATGACGATTACAGTTTTATGCAAAGATTTCTATACTTCTGCAAGTCTCAAAGAGAACTATTCAATCAAAGATCTAAAAACCATTATATCCACAAAAGAAAGTTTCACTTGTTAGAAGTAGAATACATCGAATCTAAAGTTATAAATTCAGTAATATGTAAACAATATAAAGTGGCATTATTTGTTAACCCTCAAAAAATGTTTATCTAAGGAAATACCTAGCCAGCATTTTTTGCAATGGTCATAGTAAATATCAGAGCTTCTCCAACAGTCATTACAAGGTACTAATGTGTCACCTGCATCATGTTGCTTCCAAGATAACTGATTCAACCAAATGGCCAAGTATTCAAGGATGATAACAGAACCAAACAAGAAGACAAATATGGGCCACAGTTTTCGCATGATATGCTGAGGCAAAAGGATGCAAGCAGCAAGTGATGCGACATACAGCAAGGAGATGGAATTAAGCACAGCAAAGCTAGCAAGAAGTAATGCAACCATGTTAATCTCCAGTCCAAAGAAATTGAATATATTCTCTATCCAAAATTTCACACATGCTTTTAAAGTAGTCATCTGCAGGTGAAGTCTTTCTTTTCTCAGGATATGGCTCCGCCTTCGATTCCACTTATGGTTCTCTTTGGAACTTCCACAAGCATTTGAATAATTTTCAGGGTTACTGTCTTCAAAGCCTCTTGTCGCATCCAGCCCTCGAATTATGAAACTGCTAAAAGATGGCCATGTATGATTTATCTCTTCTGTCTCTTTTTCTATCAAGTGGCCAGAACCTAAAGGGTGTTTAGTTTTGCTTTTTAGGTTTGTTGCTTCACTTGGAGCTTCTTCTGCTAAGCCAAACAAAGTACAAGGCTCTTCCCATCTTCCTCCATTTCCAAAATTGCATGGCATTCTCTCCAACCAATTGAAGACATTGTACTGAAGTATACACGAAACTATAACCAAAATTTTTCCCCTCAAGCCTGATTCTAGACCAGAGAAACCTGGCTTATAGAATTGCAATCCCAAGAAAAGTGACAGAGAATAGTTGTTTTGCCCAGGTAACATTTCAGCACAGTCACCCCATAATTGGAAAAGGTACTCGAACATTACAAGAAATCCTGAATAAACTAGAAACAGTTTTGAAGGGATCCAAGAAGACTTAGGTAATGTTGAACAAACAGCCAAACCAAAAAGATATAGAAAACCAAATGCACCAATAGGGCAGAGAGATGCATAAAACAAGGCAAGATCTAGTATCTTCTCAATGTGCAAAATTAAAAGACGTTTCACAAAGGACAGGGAACATTTTTCTGGTGCATCACCATCAATTGGTTGAGGAAATTTACTCTGTCTCCTCTCATAGCTGTATAATTGCATCACAATTAATACAGCAAGGGATTGCCAAATATTTTCCAACATGGAAGCTTCTGGGTTATATCCAAATACAGAAGACACATCAACCATCCTCAACAACCATATCTGAGAACTGAAGAAGACACTGAAGCCATAGATGAGAATAAACACTAAAACTGCGTAAACTTTCAGTGGTAACCAAAGGCGTCTTTTGGTCTTTCCGATAAGCTGTCTTCCGGTCATCCATAATAGAAGGAAGAATAGGTAGCCAAATGAAATAAAATTAGGTTTTACCAGGTACACGGTGAAAAGAATTGTCAGAAAGGCAATGTAGGTTCCACATGATCGATACACTGAACGAAACTTCAGCCCTATAGCCTCCAGATATGACACTATCCTTTTGTCTGAAGATAAAGCAAAAAATCTATAAGTTAAATTTTATAAGTATCATTGAACTTCTATCACATTCATTGCATAAACCAACTCCATGAACGACATTGAAATAGTTTCACAATATTTGGCTTCAAGAAAAATTGGTTAGCTGAACTTAGTTCAGAGTTATAACTTCCAAATAAAAGGTAATATTATAAAGTGATTAGAAAAGCCAGAAGAATTCCTTACAACAGGAATCACCATACTGATTTCAGTGGTGCTGACAATAGTTTAATCATCAAATTTATCTAACAGAATTTGTCCTGACATTTCCTTGCTCAAGGCCATTTATGGTCTCATCTATCAGAAATTTTTTATCAATCTACAAGTGTTAACGAAGTGTTTGAAACTTCTTGAAAATTGATGTAGATGATTATGACCATTCTCACAAGGACATAAATTGGAGAAAAGTCAAAAGCATAGAATATATTCAACCTTTGATGAGTTATACCATGAGAAGTGTTATTGTCAAGGCTCTGTTTGGATGTTGATGTAAAAACTGATAATAGAACTGATTTTATCAAACCGGCTCTCAAGATGCTAAAACCAAATGGAGGGCAGGGAGAATGTTGCAAAATTGCTGAAAATGAGGACAGCATTTCAAACCCATGATTATGAATCGCACAGGAGCATGCAAGTGTTGCTATCTTTAAGAAATCCCCCGAACTAGCACTAAGAAAACCTACAGGTAAAGGAAAGAATGATTGTCTCATAAAAATTATGCCGCATATGCTAAAAGATAAACAGTCTAAATAACATTACAAGTGGTTACCTAATTGTGACAGGATATCTCTAGCAAATGAGTGTTTCTGTTCCAAGGCTTTAGATATTAGATCAAGCTGAAGAATGTACAACAGTGCAAAATGTGCCTCACATAGAACTATCAATGATTGGCGTATCTTCCAACTGATGTTGTGGCTTAACAGATATATTAGAAAGAAAGCCACTGATGCATGAAGCAGAGAGTAAAAGTTAGTATATTATCCAATGAAATGAGTAAAAGTTATACAATAAAGCATTTGGAAGTTTACAAATTTACAATAAGTACTGCCAAAAAAGGTTAAATGTAATACCAAGTTAAATACATGAGGAAATGGTGTATCACTATATGAATGGTCAATTGCAAGTAAAACCAGAATAAAAGGTTCTTCAACTTACTATATACAGCATGGATGATTCCAGGTTTTAGTGCAATAAAAAAAATCAGCAACAATGTTATAGCCCGAGAGCTTTTACGCAGTCCCCATGCTATTGTAGCTACAATCAATACTTTGGTTTCTTCATTCTCTGAACGAAACATAAAGGTAAGTGAAATTATGGGCCACAAGAATAGCAACCTTCCAAGAATAACTGAACTGAAAACTAGGAAGATCAATGCATTCTTTTCTAGCTTTCACCCAAGATATTTATTATTTAACACCTAATTGCAGCGATTTTCATACAATTATTATTTGAATTTGAAGCTAATGCAGCTTCATCAAGAAACAACCTTCTTGAGGAAAAGATAAGAAAATTAGATAAAAGACAAGCAAAAGTCCCCAAACGTTGTTGCGGTATTAGCATGACATTATATTTTTGAAAACTTTTATACCATAAACATATTACTATTTTTAAGATAATAATAATTAATAATTTCAAATTACATCATTAAATAATTTATTTAATTGTTTCACACTTTATTTGGATAAATCATTGAAATCTAACATTATATTTAATTTTATAATTTTTATTTAGAAACACAAATCCAAATCCTTATATTAATTATAAATGTTAGTATATGTGTAGCGTTCCCTCAAAACAAATAAAAGAAAAAAACTCTAAACGTAATAGCATTTTCATTTATCTTGCTACTCAATAAAATGATATAACTTATCTTTTATTAATTATAACCTATGCAATTTTTAACAATGTATCTTCATTCCAATGGCGAGGTGTTGTTATCTGCTGGTGCCTTTTTTTTCATCTTGAATAGTTTCTTGCCCGAAAACAACTTGAGACAATTTAATAATTATATATTAATGAAAATTACCATTTTCAAATTTACAATTAAAATCATTGCCATTTGAATCCAAACTTTACAAATGAATTTTAATTTAAGAAATGTGTTTATTTTTCAAAATATAAAAAATTGTTGAAATATTTTGAAAAGCTGACCAAGGTAAGAGAATAGAATAAACCCCCCAACCCCAAAAGAATCTTAAAGCTATTACCATTCTTTGCATTCTCTCTAAGTTTTCTAATATATCATATTTTTCAATTTCTGAAAAAATAATATGCATTAATTTTTTGTCATATATTTATGAAACAAAAACCTAAAAATAAGAGGATATATATAAAAAATTTCAAAATATTCCCGCTTTACATGAAAAAATTTTGCAATATATATTTTAAAAATAAAAGAATAAATTGAAAAATTGGACGATATAGAGGAAAATGAGATGCCAATTCCTATGGGCTTTATTTTATTTTTCAATATAAATATTTTATTAGTTTCTTTATGATTTTTAAATAACTTTAGTTTCATTAAAAATTTGATAAAATACTTGAAGTGAAAAGAATTTGTAAGATTCGGATCATATTGTAAAGATTTTTGTTTTAGGGCTAATTTTGAAAGTTGGTATATAAATTAGAGATATTTTTGTAATTAACATTAAACTTTAAACTTTGTAGCAACATGGAACACGACTTATGCTAGCTACAATATTTTCGCAGTTACAAATCACCTAGGCAGTGGAGAAGTTTCCTCCATGCACTATTACAGAGAATGTGATTGGAGAAGACTTTTAGTATATAGGGGCAGCTGTAATTCCAAAGTTACTGTTCCTTTGAAAAGTAACTTTGGAAATCATTTTAGTATATATAAAATATAATGTGCAAAATAGTCCTCACCTTCTACTATGAAATGGTCACTTGAAGATTCTCGTTCCCCATCAGACAAGTACAAGAAAACAGAGTTGTTGACAAGATTGCCCAAGGCTACAAGGACACCAAGACAAAATTGTGCAAGTAGATAGAGTCCTGGAATAGGGTAATGCCATAAGCCCAGAGTTTCCCATATTTCAGTGTCCTGCAAAGACATTCTAAAAGATCTTATAATAATTTGATAATAATTATGAACATTAGACCCAAAAGCATTCACCAAAAAAATGAATACCTTCCACATTTTCTTAATTAGGAACATAAATGCCACATTGAAGACATAGGTGGTAGCAGCCCATAAGAGAATGAAGATAAGAAGCAAACCATTTAATTGATGCAAGCGGAACAATGAAGGGAAGGCAGAAATAATGTAGCCAACATGAGCAAGCAGTCCAAATGCACAGAGACTTGCAAATTGGAAACTCCAAAATGACAGAGAAAGCAAGAAAATCTGCATGTTAGTGCCAGGCAAAATTGAGTAAATAAGGCATAATCCAAAATGGGTTAACAAATACTGAAATAAGGGGAAGCCATTAAGGCTTAATGTATAAAAAAACTTAAGAAAGAAAAGGAACCAAGAAACAGGCAGATTGCTATCCAAATGTTGAGAAATTAATTGCGAATGCTTTACTTAATCTGGAGCTACCATCATTCAAGAGCATTCATGGTGTGGTTTTTATTGCAACTGTGTGCTTATCGAGAACATGAAAGCACCCTTTATCCTTGGTTAAAATATCACCAAATTTCCCAGAATTGTTGTCCGTATGATCACTTTCTAAATGAGAGAGACATAATATAATTCCTCTTCAAAATTTTCTTTTTTACAAAAAGTATTTCAAAATTTTTTCTGACTTGTACTGTGTTTTGCATTGTTATTAATTTGATCATAGCAGTTTTGAACAAAGGATTCATATAACTAACCCCAACTAGTTCGGGACTAAGACTTGGTTATTGTTGTTGTATACTATAAGCTTTGCAATTGCCTATAGATGTATTGATATCCATACTATAAATGGTAAAGAGCTTGTTAATGAATTCAGACAAGGAAATCTATATCTACATAGGTTATATCAATATGCATAATATGTTGGGCTAATTATCATTTGTACTATAAAAAATAAATGTCCCCATAATTATTTGCAGTTTGAGGACCAATGAAACAGAAAAACTAGCATAGGTAACAAATGGAATAGCACAATTTGGTTATGAATTGATGATTTATGAGAAGAAAAATGACAAAAAATTGAAAGCAGTTAATTTAGCGAGCATACTGGGAAACCATAAGTGAAAAAGTTCACACTGAAAGTCTGAAAAACTTCGCCTCTCAACATATCATTGGTGTGCCTTACACTGTACCTGCACAGTAAGGCTCCAAGTAAAACATCACAGCTGGGAAAAGCTCTGATATTAATGCAAGAGAAATTCAAACTAAAGACCAAAATGTAATAGCACCACCATAAATTACCTTGATTCATAGATAAAAAATGAATGCTCTCGGAGAAGCAGACGCTCAGACAAGCTGCTTTCTCTTGGGGACATGATAAAATCCATCTCAATAAGCTCATTCCTAATGCAAGATAGCTGTCAAGGAAATAGGCACATTGAACATCTGTCCATAATGAGAAGGAATATTTCCAAATGTAGAGAAAAAAAAAAGGCATGGTCAATCATCTCGTTTGCTGCTCATCTTGAATTGTAATACATCAAAGGAAAATAATTAAGGACTTCCTTTGAATTCCAGAAACCTTTCACACATTCACTTCACATTCTAGGTTTAAAGCACATGGAATAACCTGGATCTATATGAATCCTATGTTGTGCCAAGCTTTAGATCAAAATGCTCTTATACTTCCACCGGGAAGAATAAGCAGCTAGGATTCATTGGTAAATGACTAAAGCAAAAGGAACATGAGAGTAAGATTCATGATCAATAATGTAAGAGGAAAGTAATTGAAAAAACCACCTCAAATAAATATCTCTAATTGATTGGAAATAAGCTACTGGCCTCACTCTAATTTCTTTTGCAAGGTAAACACTTTAACTGCAGTCCCAAATGCAGAGATGCAAGGCCTGCACGTACTTATTGTTGCATATTGCATGGTAAGGACTACCATTCATGCCTGCTTGTCAACCAAAATTAGCAGCAGATCCTAGATTTTTATAGATGGGTCACTAATTCCATTACAAGCTACACACACATGTGGTATTTGCAACATTGCCAAATCATTTTAAGTTTTTGTTCTGATATTTCCAAGATCTTAGCAAATGCTAACCAAACACATAAAATTCATAAAGGACTTAAAAAAAGGAAAGAAAGAAAATGCAACAATCAGTTATTATTGGTTTATTTCTCTGTGTAAATTTTCATAATTTAAACCAGGCAGTAGATCTAAAGTGAATATAATTTGCTTACCATAATGTAGAAAAGTAGAAGTGAGAGACAGGAACATATTTCTGACCACTCTGATTTTGCAGATATTTTATACAGACCAATGAAACCAGCAACACATTGAATCATCCCAGAAAACTCAATTGGAAGCTGATATGCATACAACAGGACAATATTCAACCCCGAATACAACAAAAGATACCTCCACCACCTTCAAACCCATACAAGTTAGTGTAAATCATTCAAATTGACATTTGATTGTTATGAAAACAACCAATCTTGCTCAGAGAGGAGATCCAAAAACAGAAATAATAATAAGACTAAGTTACTTACTGGAGAAGGCCCAAGAAATTGCTTGTTATAGACCACTTAATGAGTCCAATACAACTGCAAATGAAAAATGGTAAGGATGCCCAAGATGGATGACTAATGCCCACAACCAGCTGTACAAAGGGCAATAATAAGCAGCATAAAACCCTGAGACGCGAGCCTTCCAAGGAGCAAAAGAATAGATAAGCAAAGGTGAAAGTTCCAAGGTCAGGAAAATGCTCACACCATTTAATGGTTGATCACAATATAGCTGAGAAATTAGGGCTGAAAATTCACAAGTGATACTGAACTGAAGGAAAATTTTCCAAATGTTTCTTTCATAGTCCAAGGTTTCTTTTTCTATTTTGTTTTGAAGATACTCATGGTCCAGGTTAACAATATAGATTTTGGATAAAATGTCTCAAATAATTATAATATAATTTCTATTCCATACAATAGAATAAATGAAAGAGGAAGCAAGGAAACTTTTTGGGGAAGGAAACAACAGTACGTGCTGAAGCATATTTCAGTGACTTCTTTATCTCCCTGTTCCCAGGGCCCTAAAATTAAAATGCTCTAGGAAAAATTCATGTGCCAACTAAATTGCAAATGAACTGTACTAAGATATGAATTGAAGCAGCAAAAAAGAAAAATGCTCATGTGCCAACTAAATTGTGAATGAACTGTACTAATTATTTGACTTGAAGCAGGAAAAAAAAAAAAAAAAAAAAAAAAAAAAAAAAAAAAAATTGTCTCAAATTAATTATATATAATTTCTATTCCATACAATAGGAATAAATGAAAGAGGAAGCAAGGAAACTTTTTGGGAAGGAAACAAACAGTACGTTGCTGAACATATTTTCAGTGACTTCTTTATCTCCCTGTTCCCAGGGCCCTAAAATTAAAAATTGCCTCTAGGGAAAATTTCATGTGCCAACTAAATCTGCAAAAATGAACTGTACTAAGATATGAAATTGGAAAGCGCAAAAAAGAAAAAAATGCTTCATGTTGCCAACTAAATTGTGAATTGAACTGTACTAATTAGACTTGAAGCAGGAAAAAAAAAAAAAAAAAAAAAAAAAAAAAAAAAAAAAAAAAAAAAAAAAAAAAAAAAAAAAAAGGAAGAAAGCACGTATATATTTTAAAGAAAAAGAAAATAATCTGTGATGACAAACCTATATGTATAACAAAAGAATACAGATGTCCCCACCACGTATCTTTCCATAGATCCAGACAAGATCTGCTACCAGAGATTCCAATTACAGCAACAAAAGCTGCAGATATTTGGATGACCATAAAACATATTTCATATTGCAAACTCCAAGTGTGAATGCTGCAAAACCACCACATTCAATATGTATAAAGTTGCTTAAGCAAGCAATCATGCAATTTATGGAAACTTTGCAAAGGAAAATCAGTAGAAAGAGAAAAATGAAGTATATATGTTAACTTCAAACCTCACCTTAGGAAACCGACTAACTTGGCCCATTGAGCATCAGAAACACTCCACTGGTCCCCTTTGACAGCCCATATGATGTGAAATATGGCATGTGACAGAACCGCCAATGAAGAAAAGATAAGCGTGCACCATGATAACTGAGATAGCCTTTGAGATTGAAAACCTATTCGATAAAAAAAAAAAAAAAGTGAAATTCAAAATTATACAATAACAATTTATAAAAAGTCAACAACAGTAACAGGAACAGATCACATCAAATGAGACATCACTTTGATATACCTTAAGAACAGAAGTCCAACCTTGGTTGTCACTTTTGTTCATAAATCTAGTTACTAAACTTTTGTTCAAGAACTAGTTATACCATCCGCTGTAATAACCATTAACCAGTTACAAATTAGCTACCTATAGATCTTAGATCCAATATTCCTTTACAGGTCTATAAATCCAACCTGACTCAAGTTCATAAGCATTAGCACCTTAAGAAGAACAAACACAGGTTGCACAAGAGAAGATAGGACATGCAGAAGATGACAGCCACAAAAAGCCAAATCAGTAGCAAATCCATGTACACCCAAACTTCATAAGCAACTCTATAAGTAGGATTTGATATGCAAAAAGCAATATGAGATGGTAAATAGGCAGTTCTCAGGAAGATACAACAAGGTTAATTCATTTGAGAAAGGTAACTTCATATACAAGGGAGCATGAAAGAGTGAACACAGAGGCAAAAAGCAATATGAGATGGTAAATAGGCAGTTCTCAGGAAGATACAACAAGGTTAATTCATTTGAGAAAGGTAACTTCATATACAAGGGAGCATGAAAGAGTGAACACAGAGAATTGAGGGCCAGTTGGTCAGCAGGTTCAAGACATATTTATTTCTTCCATGTTTCCTATCATTCGGTGAGAATCAAAATACAGTATGCCAGATATATAAAGTGAATCATATACAAAGAGAGAGAGATTTTCTAGAGACTCGAAAGCATGCATCAATTTATTCAAGCATAAAGCTAACGCATACATATGTGGTTGGGAAAGCATGGACAGCCAAAATGTCAAACCTGGATACTTCTTAAAATCTATCCCTATACAGGTTTTCTTTTCAATCACTTAACTTTAGTATTCTAAAATATTTTCTCCAATGTTCTGGGAAGGTGCATGTGCAGATACTTTCTTTGAATGTATAAGAGAAGAAAACAGAGTTGAAAGACCAATTTCCATCACTACATTGTTTACTATTTTTCACATATTGAAGCGACTGTTCCTCAATGCATAATCAAAATTGAACTAAACCAGAAAATAAAAAAAAAAAAATTCTGATCTAGCAGAAACTTAAGTATTCATGTTGGGAAGCATTTATAAAGAATACAAAAAAGCAAGAAATATAACTGAGGCATCAATGATCAGAAGCTTACCATTTTTTGGTGCAGCATACTGGATCGAGAGAAAAGCTAACAAATCAACCAGAGACATCAAACTCCAATTGAGTAAAGCAGCTGGATAAAGCACAGTAGGGGAAAAAAAAGAGAGAGAAAATATTATAGCTGGTGCAGTGATGCACAGTCAAAACACCTACAGGTAGATGCATTATGCAAAATATATGGAAACCGGAAGGAAAAAGAAAAAAAAAATCCCGGAATCATATGGTCAACTAAACTAACGAAACTTCAACCCGCACTATGCTAGTTGGGGTTGGCTATATGGTTGATTTTCCTTCGCTACTTCCTCATGAATCATATAAGCATATGGATAAGGGCCATTAGAATATCTAGATATATCCCACTGTGATTAAAACTCTTAGATTTTCATAATAACATCATCCAAACGCTATCATGTCCAATTTGTTTTGTTTCAGACATTTTGTTTGGTCTTCTCACCTCCTCTGAGAACTTCCAACTATGATCACATACTTGGTTGCATCAAACTGTGAACATATGGCCAAGACAGTATCCTGAGTATGCGAAATTAGTTTATCCACAGCATTAAAAATTGTTGAACCACAAGTAGCCCACCATAATTAAAACAACAAAATAACCCCCCCCCCCAGGGCCCACCCCCAAGTAGCTGTCACAATAATTTTGCCATGGTTTGCATTCCTTAATTACGTGAATATATTCTTATCTTAGTAAAAATCACCATACTATCTACCCAGGAATCCCATAACTGCAGATAAGCACCTAGGCTCAAGAGCTTAATTATACAATAACACCATAACCAATGAGTTAACAATGCCAGCTGGACATAACCAATGAGTTGACAATGCCAGCTGGACTATCATCTATATTAGGAATACAAATGAAAAGACAGAATCAAGTACTTCATATGAATTAATGGTGTCAAATTATGATGAATGGGTACAGAATCATGAAAGACTAAATTAGACAGAATGATGTTGAATGAGTGATCCATGATAAATCACAGAATGATTCACAAACTCTAGCAGCAATATCCGCTCTAAGTAGAATCTCATGGAAAACAGTGAAAAGAATTTGCCATGCATCACTATGAAGCCGCAAAACTTCAAAGAGACGTTTATCAAGTATAGCTGTACTATATTGGAGAAATTCCCTAATGGGTATCAATGCAAAAGAGCTAAAAGTTATAGTAGAATCTCACACTAGATTACAGAGTAATCACAAGGATAGGCCTTCAATCAAACAAAACATGTAGAATCTGCTGAACAAAGCTGTGACTATGCATATATAGCATAAAAACAAGAAAAGAAGTCTCCAACTTAAAACGAATATTCCTATATCATATCGACTTGTTGTACTTGCTTATATAATTGTATATGAATAACGGAACAGCTTTCCAAGCTTTAACTTCTTGGAAATTTAGAACAATATGAATGGCATTTCAAATACATAAGACAAAGCATGATCAATCTTTATAAAATTTCAGTTAAAGGGAATAAAACAATGTAAACCTGTCAAAAGAAGCATAGGCAAAGCAAATCCACTGAGAAACCTCCCCATTATACAAATCTATTTCAACACTTAAAACCACTGAATTTGCACAATTTATGTGACAAATAACTCATCATTCTCATAAAATCTTCAACAAATACCGATTTGAGTAAAATCCAAGCTCAACTGAGAATAGTTAACCCGAAACTCCCTTTCCCTTAACAGAATCAACAATGCTAAATGTGTTAGATACGATAAATGAACAATGGGTTTGTCCAATTACAGCCATAGACCGATACCCATTTCCCACAAACGAACAAAACGTTGTCTTCATTTCCAGAACAAGAATCGCCCCTAGAATTTCGAAGAAAAACGTTGCTCGATTCAATCGAAAAAAAATGATTGTAATTTTTTTTTTTTCCCTTTTTTGTGCGTGTTTTTTCTTGGGTTATATTTGATCAAGAAGTTCGCTGTTTTAGATCTGTTACAATTTTAATGCATTATTTGCTAATTGGTGCTTCTCTACTTGAAATGTGGCATCTGAATTTCATGTCCTGCAAATGCGAAGGTAGCAAAGTTCGGTGCATTATTTAGTATTTATACATAGCAGAACTAGAACCGCGTTAGGCCCCACCAAATCCAATTCCTGGTTCCTAATACTTTGATTTCGTATGTGGTTATATGTACAATTGTGCATAAATGTTAGCCGTCCGATGATTATGATTAGTGTCTTTTTAACCATTATTGTCAATTTTTATTTCTGTAGGTAACGCGCACACATTTTACTTTGAAATAGATTAACATTTATTTTACTAATTGATATTTATAAATTAATTTTTTTATTATTAAGGTGATAATAAATTAAAATTTTAATCACGTATTCACGTAAACTAAACACTTTAAATATAAATTTATAAATAACTTTTTTCAAAATTTAATATTAAATTAATTTATAAGATTTAATTATTTCTTTAATCACTGTATAATAACTTTAAATAATTTATAGAAAGAAAGAATAATATTTAAAAGAAAATGAGAGGAATAAATTAATGTAAATTAATATAATTCCGTAATTTATAAGGTAATTATCATAAACTTACTTTCCTAGTAAAATTTATGCACTTACACCTAACCAAAAATTTTCTTAGTGTGAAAAATATGTAAAAAGTCAAAGGAGCAAAATTGATGGTCAACACGAAGGAAGGCAACATTTTTGCTTAGAAGACAAGAAAGTCCCTATTAATCGGTTAAGTGATTAAAGAATTAGGGAGGAATAGCAGCTTGACAATCTTGAAATTCCGAGTAATATTTTAGAAAGCAGCCACGTACCATACATATCCAGCCAGCACACGATGATGTTAATACAATTCTATTAACATCATATCACGTGGAAAATATTATATTCAATATAGAATTAAAGTTTTGAAATTATTTTTAGTATAGTTTTAAAAAATTGCATTGGCTCTTTAAATAATACTATTATTTTTTAACTTTCAAATTTTTGAAAATAATTATACATGCATTTCACATTTTTTTAACATAGTGGATTCAATTATTTGGATTGTTATTTCTCATCTATATTATTATATTTTATTTCATATATAAATATTTTTTATTGATTCACAAATTTAAATTTTTTTTTAATTTTGATTTTGTCGTTTATTTCTTCTTTCATGTATACATATTTTATACTCGAGTCAGGATAATATTGAGTAAAGTTTTATTTCTTATATTCCTTTTTTATATTTTAAGAGGTTCAATTCTAACTCCATCTTTAATTATATTAGTTAATTAATTTATTTTTTAAAAATATTAGTTTATTAAATATAATAATTTATTTTAAAAAATTACCATATAATTAAAAAGCACTATTATGGATTAAAAAACAAAAAGAAAAGAAAAGGACTGCAAGACTCCATTATATAAACTGATTGTCAAGAACCTGAGCCAAGTAACCTTTTCTAACGGACACAGACTTTGAATCTTGATTTCTGAGAACAAGAAACTGATAGACAATAGAAAATCATGCATTCAGATCAAGAAACGATTCACCACCACTGTTACAACGACAACGAAAACAAGACCAACTGGCGCCGCTCCTTCAAGTTGCTACCAAAGCGGATAATCTTAGTCCGCCACGGCGAATCTGAAGGCAACATAGACACCGATGCCTACGCCACTACACCAGATAACAAAATCCCATTAACCCCATTGGGCCTTGAGCAGGCTCGCACCGCCGGGGACCACCTCTACAATCTAATATCCGATAACGGCAACTCTAAGAGCAACTGGCGGGTTTATTTCTATGTCTCGCCTTACCTGCGGACCCGTTCCACTCTCAGGGAGATCGGGCGCCCATTTCAAAGAGAGAGGATTATTGGGGTTAGAGAAGAGTGTAGAATTAGAGAGCAAGATTTTGGAAATTTTCAGGTGAAGGAGAGAATGCAGGTGATTAAAGAGACTAGAGAGAGATTTGGAAGGTTCTTTTATCGGTTTCCTGAAGGAGAATCTGCTGCTGATGTTTACGATCGCGTTTCAAGTATCTCCCTTTCTTTTTTCTTGTTCTTGATATTATTATATTACTAAATATTAATAGGAGAAGAACTGGCTTAAAGAAAGAAAAATGGAGTCTTTTAAAACTAAATATGTGATGTCAATAGATATAATGCATAAACTATTTTACATTTTGCTTATATGGTTTATTTCCGTTGTGTAGTGAATCATTAGATAATTGGTTGGTGTTTTTGACTTGCTTTTATTATTAATCTATTCTTCTATAACAGGAAAAGCATGCTCCGACAATCCTTTGATTGTTTCTGTAATTAGGTTTTGTGATCTTATGTTTTTATTTTTGGTATTGTATTCTGCTCTTCTATACCATGCACAATTTAGTCTCTGAGTTTCACTTAACTGTTTATGTTCTTAATCTGTTACCTCTAACATTGGAAAGCAACTTAATGCAGTATAGTGATTGTAACAAGCTGATTTTTTCTATTTCTTTCAAAATGCTAAATCAACTAGCATTGTTAGTAAGACCTACTTTGGGCTGGTTCATAAAAGAAAGGTTTCATTTTCACCATTTGCACACAAAATTTTGTGGAGTATGCTATTGAATTTGTTCGCATACTTTGTTTCCAAGGCCTAACGCTTTGAACCTTATATTGCTTATTTCCATTTGCTTTCTTTTCAAATCTAAAAAATACACCAGATGCGTAAAAAATGCGCCAGACATTATCTGAAATTATTTAGATTTGAGATAGGCTATCACCAGATTGGATTAGTTGGATGGCATTTGAATCCAGCTTTATGAACCGTGGGTTGGCAGTTGGATAACAGATTTAATGATAACTGTAGATCATCACCAATTGTCTAATAATCAACAAATATAAGTTTTACAATTTTTTGAATGTTTTTCAGTTGCTATTTCAGAATTCAAATATCTTATAAAAGTATTTATTTACTTATTTCTGTTTTTGCAATTCCCATGTGATTTTCTGATTCTCAATTCGGATATGCTTGCGGTTTAGTTTAAATGTATATTGGAATCTAACTGAGAAATGCTTCTAAATCAATCTCTTTGTTATTGGGACTAAAACCTTTGTTTTCAAAAGTGAATAAAGCAGAACTAGCAGACTGTGATTTGGATCTGACATCCTGGTTTTGTTTACTTTATTGGGATTGTTCGATGAAATTTATTGTTCTGCCTTGAAATACTGAAGGGGTGCATTTGATATACATGTAATTGAATTGCATTATTTATGCTCTTATGTCTATAGTCGACATGGCTCAAAGCTGATCCAAAAAGAATGGGGGGAATTTTTCCTACAATTTTCATACATGGGGGAAAGTTGTATATAATAGACTAAATCATCCAAGTTAAATGCTTTTATCTGGCAGGTTTTTTTGAATCTCTTTGGAGGGACATAGATATGCACAGGCTTCATCATGCTCCTACTGATGAACTAAATCTTATAATTGTAACACATGGGTTAACCTGTCGTGTATTCCTCATGAAGTGGTTCAAGTGGACGGTTGAGCAATTTGAGCAACTAAATAATCCTGATAACTGTGAGTGTCGAGTGATGGAGCAAGGACATGGTGGAGAATACAGCCTGGCAGTCCATCACACAGATGAAGAAATGGAAGAATGGGGACTGTCTCCTGAAATGATTGCAGATCAAAAGTGGAGAATCCGCGCGCAGAGAGGTGATTGGAATGACAACTGTCCCTGGTACTTGGACTCATTTTTCAATCATCTGAAAACTGATTTGAATAAAGAAAATGATGATAAAGCAGATGATTCTTCGAGTATATGCGAGTAGGCTACCCAGAAATTGGGTTAGAAATTCTTTTGATTCAATCTCTACCAATTCTTTTTGATTCAATTAGGTAAGACTTCAGGTCTAATTTGTTCAAACAGAGGCTATACACCTAGATTATACAGCTTTTAGGATTGTAACACTTGTTAGGAAAAATTTACTTCTGAATTCATGATTGACTGCTTTCTGCAGAGTGTAAATGCAAATACCTATAATTTTGAAAGCATTTATCAGATTCTGTTTTCTGTTTTATGAGTGAACAATGTGAATTTGTGCATCTTATGACAGTTCTTATTTCTTTACTTCCTTGTGTATATATCTCTGTCTATTCTGGTAGTTCTTTTGTTTTTGTTGTTATAATTATTATTTTGTTTTTTTCAGAATTTGGTTGGGTATTTTCTTTTTCTTTTTTTTTTTTCAGTGCATTCTTAATCGGCCTAGTTTATTTGTTTTCAAATTTTGTAACTTGTTCTAATTGCACCCTAATTTTCCTTTTAACTTATGAACAATTTTGGGATCAATGTATTTATTGTTTTTTTATGTCTTGAATTCCAATTCTTGTTATTCTGTTTTCCAATTTTTTTATTTTTCTCTTCTTGAATTTTATCTTTTAAAAATGTGGATTTTTGTTTTTGAAAACAAAGGTATTGTCTTAATTTGATCCTAAACTTAAATTGTATTTAATTAAATACAATTAAAATAATTAGGGACCCAATTTGAATTGAGATGTTCTTTTTCAAACTTGTTTTAGGGTTTCAAATAATACCAAAACTGCAAATTAAGATAGTACAATAAAAAATGATATCATTATAATAAACCGCAAAATTTAAGATAAACAAGTATCATAAACCTTGTTAATCCGTTGCAGAGCAAAGCTTGAAAGAGCATCATAAGATGGTGGAAAAAAATTACTATTTAGTCCTTGAAATTTAACCAAATTAATAAAATTAACCAAAAAAATTATTATAATGTGTTTCAAGTTTGATAAAAGTTAGAGGAACTAAAATTCAGAGACTCAACTTCATTAAACGTAATCAACAACTAAGCATGAGAAATAAAAGAAATAAACATAAAACGAATTTTTTTTTTTTATAACTATATAACAAGGTTGAGATTAAATTACTACAAAAATAAATACGATTTAAATAGTTAATCGTGCCTTAAACGGGCTTTCACAAAGAAATAATTAATAAAAAAATTCCCAATCAATTTCAAAATAATAATTAAAAAAATTTTGACTATTCATTGCATATATATATGAACAGAAAATTCAATTATTGATCAACAAAAATCGATAAACGGTCATATACTATTTTTATTTATTGTTTAAACAACAGTTACATAGCAGACTGGACTGTGAGAGAGAGGAGAGAGAAGGCATGGCATTTGCTTAGACGGTAATAGATAACTACCGGTATCTACCCCTCCATTGGCTCAGTTCAATTCTCAAACTTTTTTAACCTAAAGAAACAAAGCAACAAACAGAATCATCAAAGCAAGCTTTACACTTTAAATGCTTCATGAACTGAAAATTTTCTTCTCTATACTTTTTCTTTCACCTAGCAACAACACATCCACATTTAAGTCTTAAAAATTTCTTTTGAACTTTCTAGGGATCTGGGTCTTCTTTACTTTCTCAAAAAATTCATAGCAGACATTTCTTTTGCACACAAATTCCGCTGAAAAGAGATTCCAATTCCAAACTTAGTTAAAGTGTTGCAGATGTGACTGTAATGGTACAGATCTTGAAATGGGTGCATTCTAAAATACTTCAATGATGAGGTTAACACTTGAAGTACGTGACAGTGTCTCAGATCTTTAAGTGAGCATACAATATCCTTTCACAAAAAAAAAAAAAAAAAAAAAAAAAAAAAAAAACAAAGAAAAAAAAAAAAAAAAAAAAAAAAGTTGGTTTTGTTTCTTTTGAACTGGGCATTTGATCTAATTTTGTTCTGGTTGAGTGAGAATTCAATTCTTGAAAAATTGAAAGCGGAGTTTGGTTTTGAGTTTTCTTTCTTTTTTGAGCTTAGAATCTAGATCGATGGCTTATCCACCAGAGCATTATGGGTTGTGTAGTAATGGCGCTTTGAAGATCGTTTTGGCATTGGTGGCTACATTCTTGATTGGGTACGTTGTGAGACCCCAATTGCACTCAAGAGAGAGTTCAAGTGCTCAAGCTTCATGTCCTTGTGACTGTGATTGCTCTGAAGAATTTGCCCTGTTTTTGCCATTAGGTCAGATTTTTTCTATATTTATAGCTGTTTTCATTCCTTCAATTACGTGCTCAATTTAATTAGACTTAGAAATCTGATATCATTATTTATACTTGGGAATAGAGTCATAAATGGATTTTGTGCCGATGATTGTTCTTGTGAGGTGGAATGCAGAAACTTTTTAGATTCTAAGGTCAATACATGTCTAGAAATATGAAAAATCACTGATCTTCTCCTTTTCACCATCAATTCTATAATTATTTACTGGATTACACTGTCAATCTTGGCTTCTGTCAAGTTCATGTACAAACGAGCAAGTTCAAACTATTATCATGGTGGATTTTCCTGTTATTCTCATGAAACATCACCATTATAGATTTAAACCATTTTTCTGATGGAGTCCCGTGCAATGACCTAGGAAAATCATGGCCTGTTTAGAGTCCAATTTGAGGAACCATTTGCATGGTAATAAATGGTGGGTCGAAGGAAGCAATTTTAGTAGCTTGAAGTTCATTCCATAGCATAAAGTGTTGGGTGTGAGACTTCTATCTTTCAATGCATTTGATAATAATAATTAACTTCTTGATAGAATAAAAGGATATATTTTTATGCCATTGCTGGAATAACTACTATGGGAAAAATAATTTTTAATAGCTATGGTCTGAAATGATAATGACGACGAAAATAGTGCTACCTTTGATCAAAGATTGCTGGATTCAAATGCATGTCAAGACATTCATCTATGACACATAAACATCTTAGGACATGTTTAGACGTCTGCTTATACAATATGAACTTTTTTGCAACATTAATTAACACATACAAGTTGATGCATCTTTACTAATTTTTTTTTTCTCTCTATCTTCCTTATATAGACGTCTGCTTTTACAATATGAACTTTTTTTGCAACATTAATTTAACACATACAGTTTGATGGCAGTCTTTTACTAATTTTTTATTTTTGCATCTCTTCTTCCTATATGAGTGTAGTAGGTAGTGATTAGTATATAGGTAGGTATATATAAGTAATAATATTTGGGCATTTCTGCTTGTTACAATATCCATTTGTACTGTTTTTTTCCCTCTTCAAAGCATTGCTTCTTTCCTTAATTTTGTTCTCTCTATATTTCCGCAGAGGATTTATCAAACAGCATATGCAGGTCGGTTTCATGTTGCATTCTGCCAGATTAACATATTCATTTAAGTCTTTATATATTCTTGTTGGACCTGTCCCATGTCAATCGGGTTTTGAAGTGGATGGCCATAATTAGGTAGAACTTTAATATATATCTTCACATAATATCAAAGGAGCGAGACAAGAGTTTTTCTGGTGGGCTTTTGGAATTGTGTGTTGCGGGAGTATAAGGAGAGTGCGTATATATATTGAGCATTCTGCTTGTTACAATATCTCATTGTTACTGTTTTTTTCCCTTCTTCAAAGGCATTGCTTCTTTCCTTAATTTTGTTCTCTCTATATTCCGCAGGATTTATCAACAGCTCATATGCAGGTCGGTTTCATGTGCATTCTGCCAGATTTAACATATTCATTTAAGTCTTTTATATTCTTGTTGCCTGTCCATGTCAATCGGTTGAAGTGGATCCATAATTAGGTAGAACTTAATATATATCTTCCATAATATCAACAACAAATTTTTCTGTCTTTTGAATTGTTGTTGGAGTTAAAATTGCAGTGGTTATTTTGTTTCTTTCATATCACGCCTTTTCATGAAAGCGAGGAATGATAAAATACAATAACTAAAAGTTAAAAAAAGGGGAAAAAAGATTGACCGGAATGAATATTCATATTGTTGAATATGCCTTCTTCTTGGCCCCTATGGCATCTCAGTAATCGAAAGCTGACCTTATTATTGTCTAAGAGAGAGAAAATTATAGATTGATTCTTTTATTTCATTGTCAAATTGTTTTCTACTATATTTCCAGACTGTAGTAACGATGATCCCGATATACATGAAGAAATGGAGAAGGATATTGTAGCTTTACTGTCAGAGGAAATTGCTTTGCAGAGAAGAGTGGCTAATGATTCACTGGAGCACACCAGGGCATTAGTAATGGATGCCAGGAAAGCCTCTTTACACTATCAAAAAGAAGCAGAAAAATGTAATGCACAAACAGAAACTTGTGAAGAAGCAAGGGAGAGAGCTGAAGCAGGACTAGTTGAGGAGTATAAACTTACAGCAGAGTGGGAGAAACGAGCTCGAGAACTCGGATGGGAAGAAGATAGTACAAGAGTATATACATGAGGATGGATATCAAGTATGGATACTTCTATAACTTCAATTTTTGTCTTTCAATCGCAAAATAGCTTGTACTGTAGTAATAGTGATTGCAAGGCTGTTGTCAATACTTTTTTCAATGTAAATGAAATGGTTCTGTATTTCTTGAATTGCTGGTTAAAGTATCCCTTTTCATATTCTGGATTGAAACTGAATACCAAGTGGTCTTCATTTTTCCAAAAACCTTCAGATTTTTGCATCAGGACATTCACAATTCAACTCTGCATCTTGAGGAACCAATACAACTTCTATTGCTAAAAATCTGTTATAGGTTCAATATAAGAAACAGGAAATATGACTATTAATTAGATAATATGCAATACCTCGATCTAGTTGGAATTTCATACTCCCCGAGTCCCAAGCCGACTTCCAAATTTTATTTCCATTATTTAAAGTGTATATATATATATATATATATATATGAAACCCAGCAATGCTGGCAATTGATTACAATTGCATTGGATTGCTGTTAGAACAATAGAAAATTAGAAACAAAAGGGAATACCTCCATGTCAACCTGACCTTTTGAGAAGTATTAAGGTAAAAACCTGCTATATATCAAAACATCTGTAAGGTCTGGTGTTCAATAATTGTAATGTATATGAGTCAATCATGAAATGCTTGAGGCTGTAAACCCACTTGAAGAAAATTAAAGCTGCTCCATTAGTTCAAGTATACACTATCCAGTACTGCAAACCCAGCTGCAACTCCACCTTCATTCGATGATGCTACCTTTGTCCGCACCAAGTATCCACTCTTGTCATTTATAATCACTTTGTCCTTGTTCCTGTCCATTGCAGTTTGTATTGTCATTAAAGGTTAAAATTAACCATTTTCAAGTTCCGAGATGTTATTATAGTATTCTTTAACATGTATATAAACTATAAGATAATAAATGAAAAACTAGTGAATTTAGGGCCACATAAAATAAAAATTTCTACGGAAAAATATGTGAAAAATAAAATTTTAGGAGTGTGAAGGGTCCTATTAAGGAAAACAGGAAGTATATAAATAAGAAACGAAATGTTGAGAAGTTTAGAAGGCCAAATTACAAAAATTGTTCAATTATCCACATTGGTCATACTTGTAAACAATTTCTTTCCCAAAAACCAGCTTCTAATGACTGAAACATTTCAGTAGATGTATGTCTTAAATTTAACATCTTTCGGAGCATGCATTATGTACCTCAAGTAAGCACTGTATATTCCAAGTTCCGATATTGCATGATCTTTATGACAAATGCCATTACGCACTAAAAGTGCAGGGGAAACAGCTGGAAATATACGTTGCATGAGGATGTAAGCTGCGTCTTCTTCACTCCCTTCTCTCTGCAACCTTAGAAGGTTTTCCTTCACATCATCACCATAGATATTGTTCCCTGAAAACAGATGATGATTACTACTTAGAAAACGGAGATGACTGCTCATTAGAAAACACCAACACAACAAACAATAACAATCATCGTAAGGAGAACATCAAAGTAGTTTAATTGATGGAATGTAAAATTCATGGATTTCATAATTCATGTAATTTAAATTCCATACCATGGATTGGGAAATATATAGAATTTCACATTCCAATGTTTGGTTGAAAACAAAATCCAAAGATTTAAAAGATATTTTTGAAATAAAATTAAATGGTTTAAATTCCATCATTAATAAAAAAATTGATGGAATTGAGAAATTCCTCTTCTGAGGTGGGATCTCTCTTTCTTTGAAAATGGTGGAATTGAGGCTATGACTGAATTTATCAATTCCATGAATTGTGACATTTTTTCTCAATCAAACATAAGAATCTAGCAATCCATAAAATATTTTAAATTCCAACACTCAAATTTCATCGATCCAAACGACTTTCAAAGTGAATTCCAGAAATAGTACCTCCGCCTTCTCGTTGGGGCTTCATCACAAATAACTCAGGTCTTTCAATGGCTCTTTTGATAATATCTGATTCATCCAAACTCCACAAACCAGCAAAGCATTTCCGCAGCTTGGCAGTGTCCTCCTTGTTATCAAGAAATCTGTGAGAAACTACTTGTTTTAGACCATTTCAATTCTTTATTTTGACTTGCTCCAAAAAAAAAAAAAGCCGCAGAAAATTTTGGACCACATAAGAAGTGCTATTCATGAAAAATGTTCTACCTCTCAAGCACATTAGGTTTCGCAAGTTCTTGTTGAATCTTCTTGGTGCCTGCCAAATGATAAGATATTGATGGACACTTGATAGCTAATGACTGCTCCACAAGTAGCCTAGCTCTCCATTCCTACATATAAAACAAGAATGAGCAATAGAACACCATAAATTGAGATCATAGGAGCATTATAAGCACAAAGATCAACAATGACAATATTTTAAAGAATATATCTTGAGCAATAAAATGAAGTCAGGGAGTAAAAAGTAGCAGGCAGAGTCTCTCAAATGACAGATACCTCAAGGATAGCATCTAAGCCATTTATTTTTGTTTGATTACACATTTTTCCCAAGGTCAAAGCTTATGTCCCTCCACCTACTGCCTGTGACGTACCACCCCTACTCCCTTCCCCCAAAAAAAGAAAAAAAAAATTCTAGCGCTCAAACTTGAAATCATCTTTTGGAAATGGAAGAAATAAGACTACAAGTCATAGGAAAATGAATGAATAGCAAAAAACACTTACTGCCTCTGAAGGAAAATCGGTAGGTGCATATCCAGCCCTAAAATAGGCTACTGCAATAGCTTGATGATCTCTGCAAATGTGTAGCTTTCATATTCCAAACAAGAATATAAAAAGGTAAAACTGCAAATCTAGAGAGGAGATACTAAATTTCCAAGGCAGGAAGTCACATACACAAGGAGTGTTCCATCTGGTAGAAGTTCCCCTTCTTCATCAATTTCTGCCAATGTTTTCCGAATAGCTGTTACATTATATGTGTTATAAAGCTAAGGAAGAAAATTCCGAGACGATTATAGTAAAAGCCTCCAACTAAAATAAAAATATGAAAATAGATTTATGAAATTCATCAAACCAACTAATTCAGGAATTGGCTAAAATTTCATCAGCCCTTTAACATTATAATGCATCAAAAACCTTTTCTATATGATCATATTGTAATCACATCTCAGGAACAAAAACGGTCCAGCAATGAAAGCCTATATTTACATGAAAAGGATATTTTTCCTTCAATATAGCACAAAGCCAATGTTGGTCATACATGTTGTGCTCCTGAGGCTGAACAACAACCATAACCACAGCCCTGTACAAGAGTTATCAAGAATTATCAACCAACAAGACCACAGTGGCAGCTCCAAAAAATAAAAAAGAGAGAGAGGCCCACAATGAAGCAGCAGCAGAAAAGAAAAGAACTGAAATGTAATCAAACCTAACCTAGGGTTGTTATACTCAGACCAAGCTCTAGCCAGAGCCTCTGCAAACTGATTGGCAGCAGCATTGGTTGGTATTCTTTTGGAATCTAATGCAAGGTGTTCCCCATAATGCTTAAGCAAGCTCCTGCAGAAACGAACAGGTAGAATCATATATTCTTGATTGCACCCTTTTTGTGATCATTGCATCAGAACGTATACAATTTCCACAGCCTTCTAAATAGGTATCATCTATAATGCTGGATCTAACTCTATTTCACTGCTCATGTCTACATGCGAACCATGTAGCCATTCATATTAGTAACAAACCCAGTATTACAATGATGGACCAAATTTAAAAAAACAATTAAATTACCCTTAGTAACTAGGATTGCAAATTCAAAGTTGAGCAACACCTATAACTAAGAAGAAAGCACAATTACAAAGTTAATATAATTTTCTTAACCTGTGAAGCTCACTAATGACACAACTGAGGCCAGGAAATGATGCAGAAATTGTATTTAGCTCTATTTGGAGGAGTGATTTAGTTTCTTCATCAAGCATATAATCAGAGCGATGTAAACCCAAGCGTATATCCTGTAATAGTGTGACGCAACATTAGCATCCTCCTAGCTAAATGATAATCAATTAGCTAACCTTTACAACAGTAAAAATACATAAAAGAACAAAATAAAATATGAAGAAGAAAAATGGGTTCAAGACAACTAATTGACAGAGTTACCTCAAATTTGTTTATTTCTAGCATCTTGGAATGAATATCTAAAAGCCTTGATGTAAAAACATCTACTTTCTTTGTTCTGCAGTTTCAAGAATTGAAGAGATATCAATTCACAAGTATTCACATTTATTGAGTGAATATAGAGAATTAGCACAAAATGACAACCTGATCCAGAAATGAAGCTACACAAAGCACAGCAACCAACCAAATTATAAGAGGAATATTTTAGGCCAGACCATAAAATGGGTAGCAGTTATTTTGGAACTGATTTCCTAAAGCTTAAGGGAGATAAGAAAACGGCAAGGCCAAGAACAGGAAAAGGAGAAGGTGAAGGTACTATCAGTATCAACTAGATCTGTCTAGCATTCTCTATGTACAACTTTTCCAACAAAGGTTAATCCCAGAATTGGCCATCACGGATATTGAAGCAAATGTACAGATTTTTCAAGAATGGTTCCAGCTTTGAACATAAGCATTTGCCAGATTTGACTATTGTGTCACTGATAAAAAACCTAAATAGTTCCAACTTTACAAACAGTAGGCAAATAATCAAAAGCAATAGTATTGAGGTAGTGAAGGAACATAAACAGCCAAAGAAATGCTAAATTACTTGACGAATTAATAAATAATGCAGGTACCGATCCAAATGAAGTAACAGTAAATTGTACCTCGACAATGAGTCTTGAAGAAATTTTCCATCCAAACTCACACGATCGACAAGTTCATTGAATATGGGGGCAACCTCACAAGCTAAATTCCAGTGACTTTCCGGGAATGTTGCAGGCAGCAAGGCAAATGGAGCATGTACCATGCCCACACCAGGTACTGCTCCTGATCTCTACAATGCAAATAATTCCATCATTCCTATCTTATACCACCCATACAATTATAAAATTATGTTGATGCGTAGATTAAGAGAAAGTTGGCGTAAAAAAGGTAAAGTTTTTTGGTTTCAACAATAGAAAGTAAAGCCAAATGAAGACATCCCTCTCTATAATTATCGCTATCATCATCAGTAACAATCGTGAAGAAGGTAGAAAGGAGGATAAAAAGACAAAAGAATAATGGATTTCATTTCAAAACCAATAAGGGAGAAAAAGAATGAATCTTTATGCAGACCTGAACACTTTTGTCACCAACAACAAGGCCATGGAGAGAGCACCAGACAAGAGCATCATAAACTATCTTTTGAACCAATTCTTCATCAATGCTATGAAATTCAATTATGGATTTTGAAGTACTTCCTTCTTGGGTCTCCATGAATCCAACTTTTGCACACCTCAAAGGCACAATCTTTGAAGAAGGACAAGTAGAATTATTTAAGCACGAATTTTGGGATATAAAACTGCAAGTGGGTTTTAGAAGATTGATCTCAATGGTGGGACTGAAGGTGGAGTTTGGGTTTGGTTTTGGTTTTGGTTTTGATTTGCGAGGAAAAAGAGACGAATAATCAGTAGTGATATTAGCGGTAGAGAGGGAGAGAGAAGAGGAGTGGGCACCCATTTTGACTATTCTCTTGGTGGCCTCTATAAAGATTCCATTTGCAGCCTAACAAAGGAGATTGAGTGCATTTTTTTTCTCACTGTGATTTACGCCAAAGTTTGGTTTTGTTGTCACACTGACGCCTTCCTTCGACTGTTTAACTCTGCTTCATTTTATTGGCCAGAAATCAATTGAAATTACTGTTATATCATTTCATTTTCTTTTCCTTGGTATTTACGAGCGTGTTCCGACCGCAACGCGCCGGTTTTTTTTTTTTTTTTTTTTAGGTAATATTTGAGGGAAGGACAGAGGGGTAGAATGTATTTAAGCGACGAGATGTTTGGGATGATGGAAGAGAAAGAGCTGCAAGGTGGGTGTGGTAGGGAAGGATTTTGATTCTCCTATATGGTTGGGACTGAGGTGGAGTTTGGGTTGGTTTTGGTTTTGGTTTGATTTGCGTAGAAAAAGAGACGAATAATTCAGTAGTGATATTAGCGTAGAGAGGGATGAGAAGGAAGAGGATTATGTGGGGCACCCATTTGACTATTCTCTTGGTGGTGGCCCTCTAAAAAGATTCCATTTGCAGTCTAATAACAAGAGATTGAGTGTGCATTTTTCTCACTTGTGATTTATCGTCAAAAGTTTTGGTTTTGTTGTCAACACTGACGCTCTTCCTTCGGGACTGTTTTAAAAACTTTGCTTCATTTTATTGGTGCCAGGATAATCAATTGAATTATGTTATAATTCATTTCATTTCTTTTCCTTGGTGTTACGAGCGTGTTGTCCGACCGCAACGCGGCCGGTGTTTTTTTTTTTTTTTGTTTTTAGATAGAGGTAATAAAATAAAGAAAAGTAAAATTTAGCATATATATAGTATATGGATAGTATAGATATATATATATATGAATAGTTTAAACAAGTGGATAGGGGTAGAGATGGTGATTTGCGAAAGTTACAGAAAACAAGTGATAGGGTAGAATGGATGATTTGCGAAAGTTACATTGAATAAATAGAATTTTTTTAAAAGTTATAATTAATTGGATATTTGATTATTTTAGATGCTATTTGAATTATAGAGTTTTAAGATAAAATTATAGTAATTTTACAATTAAAAATATTTTAAAAAGTTATTAGATATGAATAAGAAAAATAGATCATCGTTAAATATGATACGGTATTTAAAAGGTTATATATATTTTCAATAATATAAATTATTTTGTAAAACTAAATACTATATGTTATTATATTATATACATGCTGGGATGAACCCAGACCATTTTAAGGGGTTGTGGCCTCCCAAATAAAAAAAAATTCAATTTTTTATGTAAATTTTTTCAAAAAAGGATTATATATAGTATTTGGTTTTTTTATTCACAATTAACGACAAAGTATGAGTTTTGTATGGAAAATAATATTAGTGCAAAGAGTACAAACTACGAAGACATATTAATATATTTCTAAAAATATAGGGACTAAACAAATTAGACGGATTAAATAATAATTAATCCTTATTATTATTATTGAATTTTACGTAAAGAAGTGAACATCCCGCTGCCCTTCATTCATCGCTGGTACGATTAACAAAAGAATTTGATTTTTCACCTGAAAAAGAACCCACCTTGAGAATTGACTTCAAGGGTTTAGGCTCTTCTTCTTCTTGCTCAAATGAAGTCAAATTTTCCTTTGACTTCTTCCTTCTTATCCTCTTCTTACTTGTATCTATCTCCTCTACCCTGTCATTTATGCTAACAACTTTCTTTGGAACTTTTGCCTCAATTTTCTCTCCATTGAAGTTGCTGTTATTTTCTTGAACTTCTTGAAGCTCCTTGCCTTCTTGCTTGAGACCATTTATAGAAGAGCTATTTGGAAAAAAGGGGTCTGAATTCTTTATATTGAGGGTTTGCTCTACACCTTCAAATGGTGTTTCTTCTTGAGTCACAGGTTGCACCATTAGATCACTGTTGCAGGGAGGCCTCGTCCGTGCTCTGGCGAAATTTTTATGCAAAGGATGGCCTAATTTGACACTCTTTAGGGCATATATTGCTAGGGTTTTTGTCATGAAGTTGTAAAGCCTGCTGCAAATGCCTTTGGTTTGAAACTGATCTTCTCTTTGATCCATTTCTTGCAAGTAGATTTTGATGTGTAAATGAAATGGAGGTGATAGATTTGATAAATGCTGTTCATATGTGGATATACTTTTCTTGCAAGAACAGGCACATTATAAGCAAGAAGAAATTGTTAATAGAGATGATTCTTTTCTTTAATTTTTTGAGAAGTATTTATAAACCCAGAAGAAAAGTCACTGTCAAAAATATCTCTGCTTAAAGTAAAAGGATCATGAAGCCTGTTTGAATACCAGAAGGTTGAGTGCACATTAAAACAAAAGAAAATGTGATAAGTAAACCAATCCAACAAGTTTTTTTTCTTATTCTCAAGTACTTCTCAGACGAAAAAGAACTAACAATTTGGTATAGACATTAAGAGATGGATGGCTTGCATTTTGTCTGTATGCTTCATATACTCACCCACTAACAATAATTATCAAATTCAATTCTTTGATTCATCTCAAATAAAAAATAAAAAAAATGATGCTAAAGGGATATTAGAATGTCGAAGAGTATCAAATATGGAAAAGCCAAGCTCTAAAGTTCATTTATTCCCATGAAATTCAGTATACAATTAATTCATAAAGCAAAGAACTACATATGAGGTGATGACTGGATATGCTAAATTCTCTTCAGCTTGCAAAATTGGGTAGAAATGGCTATTCATCTTCGGCATGGTCTTTGAGCCTCAGAGGCTGGATTCAAACTGAAATCCGTCCACAAAGACGCCAGTAAGCTCCAGGATGGAAAAGGGACTTCTCAAACACCCATATATCACGAACAAGGACCTAAAAATTTTTAGTGAAAAAAGGGAAAAAAGAGTTGGATTTGGGACACATCAAGAAAAAAGCATATCAAATATTGAACTTGAGAAAATATACAAAAGCTTGAAAAAGAATCAAAATTGTAGCTGACCCAGCTAGTTTGGGATTAGAGCTTAGTGCACATCATACTAAATCTTATCCTAACCAGAGCAGAGCATCTCTTATATTCGCCATTTCTGTCGATCAATGGAAATAAAAAAGAACAAAAAGATAGTTTACACAAATACTTTATTTTCAGGGTATAAGAAGGAAAGACATGTTATGGGATTATTTGAAACAAGTGATCCTTGCTCCTTTTTTAAGCTTTTGATGTGTGAACAAACTCCAGTCTTGTAAGTTTCAGATCAAAATCAGATGACTTTCCCTACTCAATTAACTCACACATGCTAAGATGAGCTTCTAAATTACAAATACTAAACTAAGAACCCAATTGATGATTTTGATCTCCAAATCATATCTTGGTAAACACCTAACCATTTGAATAAGACTTTCAAATTGGAGCAACTATTGTACAGTCACCAGCGAAGCAATTTCCTTAATTACTGAAAGGAAAAAGAAAAACGATTGTCTGTGTAAGTTGTGCCACTTAACCTCAGAATAGGGTTGCCTCATATGTCCAAACCAACTCCAGAAAATGTTGATACTCTATGAATAATAAGTGAAACTACTCAACAAGTTTAACATCTGAGTTGCAGTACTTTCTCAATTTATCACTCATTACCAAACGCCTTCCCTGCATTTCCTTCAAAACTACCTTAGCTTCCTCAAACCTCCCTAACTTAACCAACTTACTAGCCAATAACCCAAAACTCTCAGTATCTAATGCTGCATCTCTCCCTGCATAAATCATGACAAACTTCACTGCCTGTGCATAATATCCCAACTTCAAGAATGCACTGATGATATGCAAATGTGTAGAATGCAAAGCATGCACTTTGTCATCCTCTATCCTCCTCAGAACCATTAGCGCTCCCTCCACTTTCCCTGCTCTACATGCTCCCAAAACCAGTGCATCATATGTACGTGAATCAGCACCCAATTCCTCCTCCTCAATCCTCTTCATCATTTTACTAGCAGCCATTAAATTCCCATTATAACAATATGCCGTCAACAAATAATTGAATGATGTTATGTCAGGTGAAACTCCTACTGTCTTCATCATGTCGATAACATGCCAGGCTTCCTCCATTTTCTTCCTGCTTGTAAGAGAATTCAGAATAGGGTTAAAGCTACAAATGTTTAAGCCATACTGCCCACATGCCATGATATCCACAATGTGAAGTGATTCCTTGATACGGTCTAGTTTGCAAAGACGTGCAATTAGTGTGTTGTATGCGCTCATGCGAGCAAAGCCATTATCAAGGCGAGCTAGAGTTTGAGTGACATCGTCCAGGATAGAGAGGGAGTTATTTGTATTGGCGATGAATTTGAAGGTGTTGGTGGAGTTGTAGCAGTTATCTCTTGCACGCTTGTTCAGGAGGTAGTGAAGCATGTTAAAGTCTCTTTCACGGCCAGCAGCATTGACTAGATCATCGTAATAGGCAACAGTGCGCTTGTCAGGAAACGAATTAGTGTTAGGGCTTTGGGTAGCAAAGAAGCGAGTGGTGATGGACAGGATAGGTCGGCAATTTGGGGATATGTGATGCAGCTTTCGGAGAAATGGGAGCGACTCTATTTTCAGGTTTGGGGTAGATGAGTGAGCCAGCTGTCAATTAACGTCAATCTCAAACAATCCATAAAATAAAGAAAGAAAATCCAGGTAAGGCAGCAATAGTTCAAAAGGATAAAGACAATTATCCTTACCTCCTTTGTTTTATCTCCAGCAACGATAGTGCCTTTTGAATCATAGGCTTCAAATTTCTGCAATGAACAAGCAACATATAGGTCAACCTAGCTGTCAATCAGAGACACATTATAAGCAAAAGAAAAGAAATATGCAGATGGTTACTCAGGCCGTCATTTCCAGAACATGTAAATTCTCCGCTATGTCACTAATATTATGAACTAGTATTACTGAACATATAATATAATTGGCAAAGCTTTCTCTAAATTAGAGTTGCACATTAGAGGAATTGTTCCACCGTCATGAAAGGAACTTTTAAGGACCAATATTGACCCTAAAACTACCTTCCCTAGCCAAGCATGGATCACCATGGCAGGAAATTGGGGTGAGGATGAATTCACCTTAGTATCTGGAGCTGCCAAACATGCCACATTTGAGTTGCGGTATGCTCAAGTCATGCACATGCCTTTAGGCAACACAATAGATATGCAGAAATAAGAAAAGGAAGAAGAAGAAAATATAGATAGGATCATCGTACCTGCTTTGTCAGAAACTCAAGTGTTAGTTGTATGAAAACTTTGTTGAGATCATTTCGGTCAACACCAATCTGAAATCATATGTGAAAAAGAAAAGCAAGCCATGTTATTCAATGTGAAGGGAAGAAGTAACTGTTCAAAACTCAAGCATATTCACATTTCTATGTTTTCTAGATAAAACTAAATTTCAAAGTTCATGGTGGTATTTATTTAAAAATCAACTATGTAAGATAAAAACTGTGAAGAAATTAAAAACTAAAACTTGCCAGCCTAGCACGCAAAGTTCTTATTTTAATCACTGGTTCAATCATTTCCCAATAAACCTTACTCCACCTGGACTCTCGCTGTTTAATTTCATTCTTGAGTTCCTGTCCAAAAGATAACCAACAACATTTACCAAAGACATAGTTCACATGTTTGACATTTACTGGAGCAGAGATAGAGAGTTGAATTCAAGAGAAGTGGCACCAAGACCGCAGTTCAAAGCAAAAAGGGCATACAGAGTACATTTTCTCTGTAACTGCTTTCCTCAATGAATTTTTGTCACCATTTGCTATTTGAGCGCTTATCTGGAATAAGAGAAAAGGGGACAAGGCAGAAGGCAAAAAACATGTAATTTGAACCCAAATGAATGCTAAAAAAGTCATCATAAACACTAATGAATGGCTAAATCTTGAGCCAAAAGAAAAAAAGAAAAGAACATAAGGATACCTCCTTGTATAACTCAATGGCCTCTTTGTAGAACTGGTGTTTCGAATATCCAGATTTTCTTAACTTAGTAATGGCATAGGCACTTTTCAGCTGCAAAATGTGAATAGGAAAATAGTAATTTGGGTGACAGAAAGCCACAGAACTGCACTAAAGATGGCATAATAGAGAATATGAAACATCTGCAGTTGGAAATGCATGGCATAAATTCCAAAAATAAAAAGCCCATATATGTCCAATCAATAAGTTGATTTCTGGAAGATGAAAGCTAAAACTCAATAAACGAGAATGTTACCTCTAGAATGATATCATCTTTTGTTCTTCGCCAACCACTTTTTGTGAACCACCTGAAACAAAGACCATAAGAACTCTGAGTAAAAGGTTGAAAATATGTTACATTCTCATAGGGGTACATAAGAAATTGCATATCATAAGGTTATAACAGTATTTCCAAGTGCATTTGCAACAGAGGTGCACAGCAAACTCTGGCTTATTTACCATGGGCCAAAAAAGTTGTATATATAAGAAATGCAAGTCAACAATAATTATCCTACACAGAACAAAAATTACATAATGCAACTAAGAGTAACCATCGAAAATTGCCATCAAGTCATTTATCGAGTTATAGTTTGAGAGAATAATTAGTGAAAACTAAAATCCAACAGAAATAAAACTCAAGCTAACCTTCGCCAAAATGGCATTGGTTCACGTGGTGCAAAAGGTTCATAGATGAATCCAGGACTCGAAACAGAGACTTTAAGAGCTCCCTGCATAAGGCATTATATATACATGTGATGAAGTTATTAATTCAATACGCACCAAGACAACCAAAAAATTCATAATAAAAATTAGTTCACCTATGACCTTAATCAGGAATACAGACACAAACTCATTATATTTTAAAATGATTGACAAAAATAGCAGGCCTTGCACTGAAGGTTCGAAAAATAGAAGACAACATGAAATCAAACTAATCAAACACACTTGATAAAAATGTAACAAATATGTGCCTGTGTTATGGTTGTGCATGTTATTGATGGTTACGCTATCAAAAGTTTATTGATCTGGCAGGCTAAATAACAGTTCTAAACTTTCTGTTGCAGAAAGCGAAGTTCACAGTATGAACAGTTCATAAGATAAATAGAGCAATTTTATTATAGTAATCTTCAGGCAGAATAAGTGTAAAACAAACAAAGTTAACTATGAGTGGCCTGTTTGAAGGAGTAACAACATACCATTTGCCGTGCTTGTGGGGGGGCTCTTGCCTGTGTTGTCACCAGCCTCTTTTTAATTGAGAAAACTGACAACTCCACTGCCTGAAATCAAGATAACCAAGATGCATTTTGATGAATATGAGTTGGATACCATCATAACCAACTGAGTCCGTTGGTGCATTTAAGAACCATCTTAAATAACTTGGTATTTTATACATAGATACAACAGCTGAAAACTATCTCCAAATAGATCAAAATTTTATGTTCCAGAATCTTACCATTAAAGAGTGAAGAGCTGTACTTCCATCACTCCAAGGAAGAGCACAATGACCTCTTTGCGTGTGAAACCAAGTTCTCTGGGAGTGAAGTTCATGATCTAATCATTTAGAAAGAAAAAAAAAAGAATAATGGAATCTTCCATTTAAACTTATCTAATAATATCTCATAATATTGACATAACAAGCCTAAATAATTTACCCTTTGAAAAATGACTATAGCAGCTTCTTGAACTCCTAAGCCTGAAGACAGAAAACAAAAAATGAGTTACACACAATGAACCAACTCCAATTCAACAAACACAAATGACAGCTTTATTTTTTAAAAAAGATCAGCTTTGCAACAGTGGAAAAAGAGTACATTCAAAAAACTTAGTTACTTGTCATTTATCGTTGTATATAATAATAAACGAAAATTAAACCAGAAGGCAAAAAATTGAAACCTTAATTTTTCTCTGCCCAGGATTTTCTGGGAAAACAAACACATATCCTAGACCAGGGAAATTATTCTTAACCTTTTGCAAAAAAAAAAAAAAAAAAAAAAAAAAAAATTGAAACCTTAATTTGTTCTCTGCCCAAGGATTTTCTGGGAAAACAAACACAAATCCTAGACCAGGGAAAATTTAGTTCTTAACCTTTTGCAAACAAAAAAAAAAAAAAAAAAAAAAAAAAAAAAAAAAAAAAAAAAAAAAAAAAAAAGGAAGTGGGTTTTCTCTCCTGAGTAAAGTATTCCAAACTTATATTCCTCATTTTAGCATTTTCTCAAAACCAAACAGAGCGCAACAAATGCAATTTATACTTACAGATACGAAGAATCTCGACTCTCTAGCGTCCGGGAAAGAGTACGAATCGCTAGTAATCTTCTAAAAGGAACCATCTTTGATTTATCACGTAAACTTCTAAACCCCTTATGGATGTTGATGATCGGATCAGAGAAGGGTTTTGGGACAGTTTAAGGGTTTAAGGGACAGCAATGGAGTTGGAGTCTATCGACACCATTAATTCATGGGCATGGGCTTGGGTCTGAAAGGTTGGACACTTGGACTTATTGTTCAAAATACAAACCCAATACCTTTTCCTCTTTTAATTAATAAAAATTCAGGATTAAAAAAAAAAAAAAAAATTCACACTCAGACCCGGTCACCAGTCACTAGTCCATTTTGTCTCCCCAAAATAACGGAATTGAACTGAACTGAGCGGACAATTGCTGCTTGGGATAAAGTCGACAGCCACAGTAATTGAAACGGCAACAGCAAGAGATCTCTCAAAATGTACGGAAAAGTAATTCTTTCAATCGTATTCATCTTTCTCTTAATCTTCTCCTACTCCATATTCATCGGCACCGTTGATATCAGATCATACTTCTTTCCTCTTCTGCAACAGTCACCTACCGCTGCACGCTCGGTCTGTGCAACACCACCACTTAAGGTCTACATGTATGAACTTCCACGAAAATTTAACGTCGGAATGATGGATCACCGGGAAAATGATAATGAATCGGTGACTGCGGAGAATTTGCCACGGTGGCCGAAGAATTCAGGGGTGAGGCAGCAGCACAGTGTTGAGTATTGGTTAATGGCTTCACTTTTGCATGGTGATGGAGAGGACAGAGAGGCAGTTAGGGTCTTGGATCCGGAGGAGGCACATGCTTTCTTTGTGCCATTTTTCTCTTCTTTGAGCTTCAATACTCACGGGCATAACATGACCGATCCGGAGACCGAGAAGGATCGCCAATTGCAGGTGAATTTGATAAATAGTAGTATAAACTATTGGATGCTTTTTTTTCAGTTACAGTTTACAGTTTGCATATAAAGTTGTGAAATTTTCAATTACTGGCGTTGAATTTTGATAGGTTTTGCGTTTGCTTGGCGGATTTTAGAAATTTGGTTAATATCATAGATACATCGAGTTGTCCTTTGTAGCTTTTTCCAGTGCAAAGGGCTAAATTTGCAGAGTGTGACATTTTTATTTCTGGAAGTGGGGAAATTCAAAACTCGTTAATGGATGTTATTAGGAGACAGTTTTTGGCCCTTTTTTTTTTTTTTTTTTTTTTTTTGGGCCCTTTTTTTTTTTTTTTTTTTTTTTTTTTTTTTGTAGAATGGTGTAAGCAAGTAGATTATTATTTTTTTGTTTTTCTGAAAAAGCCAGTGGATGTGGTTATGTATGCGGAAAACATTTGAAGAAAAGGTCGTTGAAAACAAAAAAATAAAAGGTAAAGAACTGACATTGGCTGCTGCAGTTTATAATTTTTTTTTTTTTTTTTTTTTTTTTGTAGAATGTGTAAGCAAGTAGATTATTATTTTTTTTTTTTCTGAAAAAGCCAAGTGGATGTGGTTATGTATGCGGAAATCATTTGAGAAGTCGTTGAAAAAAAAAAAAAAAAGGTAAAGAACTGACATTTGCTGCTGCAGTTTACATACTGAGGCCATTGTGTTTATATGACACTGACCTTACAAGTCACAAGCAAGTTCTAGAATAGCTTGGCTTTGAGTAATCTAATTGGGTTCTATATTCCTGTACTCAACCAAAGAGAGAAGAAATTAACATATAATTTTTCCTATATGTTTGGACTTCACAAAAGAAAGAAAGGGAGAGAGAAATTAGCATTTCTTAATTTTCAATTTTCTGTACTAAAAAGGCTTACACTTTGAAAGTGTGAGTATCATTGAGTTGTTTCGCTGTTGCTTCTTCTTTTTGTCTTATGGTTTATTTCTTCATTGCTTATGTTTTAAATTCTACCGTTAAATATCAGGTAATTAGAGATTTATCTAAGTAGAGGGCTGCTGCAGAGAATTTAGAAAACTCAAGTGTGAAACATGTTATTTTTGAAAAAGAAAAAAAAAAAATCTACGCACTTATTTTGATTGAGCACTACTCTCTTTCTCTGACTACTAGAGTATCCAATTTTTATTATGTCTCTTTACTTTGTTTGTGTTGAACTCGTGTTGGTTTGAATTTTAGCATTATCATCAAGGTTGATCATGGTATGTCTGTGTTTTTTAGGTTGATGTAGTAGATATGTTGTATAAATCTAAGTACTGGCAGAAGTCTGGAGGTCGAGACCATGTGATTCCAATGACACACCCAAATGCTTTTAGATTTCTCCGACAACAGTTGAATGCATCTATTCTTATAGTTGCAGATTTTGGCCGGTATCCCAAATCCATGTCAACGCTGAGGAAAGATGTGGTGTCCCCATATGTACATGTTGTTGAATCTTTTACAGATGATGAACTTTCAGATCCATTTGAATCTCGCACTACGCTTCTTTTTTTCCGAGGGAATACAGTCAGGAAAGATGTATGTCTGGTACTTCTATAATTTACCTCATTTTAAAACCTGCATTTGGGTGGCAAAATGATTGTTTATGATTCTCTCATCTTGCAGGAAGGCAAAGTCCGTGCTAAACTGGCAAAGATATTAGTGGGTTACCATGATGTTCATTTTGAACGAAGCTCACCCACAACAGAAACAATAAAAGCGGTATGTAGTGGGTTCTAAAGATAGTCAGATTAATAGTATCATTGTCTAGATCCTACGAGTATGTGTGTGAGTGTGTGTGTGTGTTGCGTGAGTGTGCAGATATTCTTTTTGGGGTCAGGGGAGGGGTAAGGTTGTTGGATTTTTAAGGCCCCAATTGCCATTGGACTACTTGTGCAAATGTGCAATGGCAAGCATTTATAACACACTTTCAAAAGCTAGAAGATAGTAAGTTGTACACTTTCTCATTGTTGCAGTTTTTGGTGTTCTAATTTATTAGCTGTTGCTCATCCATGGACCATCAGGTTTGTCCACAATCTAGTAGGCTGTGTTAGTTTTATGGAATTATTGTATAATGAATCCGTTGTATATAGATCCGTTTGGCAATTGTTGCATGGTTAGAAGCTGGAATAAATTTATTGAGAATGGAAGTCCAGTCGCCATATTTAATGCCATTTTCTGTTTGTTGTGTTAAATTTAAATTTTTCCCTTGCTGATGGAATATTTCCTTGAAGAGGGGATTGAAATTTTAATATTAGGTTTTAGATTATCTATTTAGAAAGATAACTCTGGTCTCAAACAAGAAAGGCATTAGTCATGGTGTTATTCTCCAAATAGCACCTTTACCATAATAGCTGCAATTTTTCACTTGCTTATTTATGTTTTCTTCTGAAATACCAGTCAACTCAAGGGATGCGGTCATCAAAGTTCTGTCTACATCCTGCAGGAGACACTCCATCTTCATGCCGGCTATTCGATGCTATTGTTAGTCATTGTGTTCCTGTCATTGTCAGTGATCAAATTGAGCTCCCTTTTGAGGACGAAATTGATTATCGTCAATTCTCAGTTTTCTTCTCTGTCAATGAGGCAATTCAACCAGGTTACATGGTTGATCAACTACGGCAATTTCCAAGGGAAAGATGGGTTGAAATGTGGAGACGGCTGAAGAACATATCCCATCATTTTGAATTTCAATACCCACCAGAAAAGGAAGACGCTGTGAACATGCTATGGAGACAGGTAAAGCACAAGCTTCCTGAGGTACAACTTGCTGTACATAGAAGTCGGAGGTTGAAAATTCCAGATTGGTGGCAGAGAAGAAAATGACTTTGGACTTTGCTTACATGATACTGTACATTCATGATTTTTTCATCACTCTGTAGAGAATAGTTCTTTGTTTCTGAAGGAATAATCAGAGGCAGTTACAAGTTACAAACAGCGGCATCCCCATCAGACGGCTTTAGAGTTAGTATAACATAGTCTTCAGCAATACATCACAGAGATTCTTTCTTTCTTTTTATTTTTTTATTTTTTTATTTTTTTATTTTTTTATTTTTTGACAGTGAAGAGTCATCTGCATCAGGTTAGCCAACTGGTTTTTTTCTTTAACATTTTGCAGAAGTGAGTTTTTGATAATGTAACGATACACGGCTGTATCAAGAGTTCATTACGGTGGAGTAATTGTTTCTTTTGAATATTTAGCACGATAGAAATTTCATTTATCCTGCTAAAAGAAAAAAGAGAGTAATCAATCCTGCCTAGTTTTTAATTTTTATTGCCTTTTTTATACATTGCATTGTAGAAGCCGCACAAAAGAGTATCTATCTTGATGATAACAAAATTTAATTAGTGAAAAATAAGGTTGACCTTGTTCAGGCAGGAGAATTTTCATCAGTTGCTTCTGGTGGAGAACCAGGTATAAATGGAACAAATCCTCGCCCACCAAATACTGGTCTCATGAATCTGTCATCAAATTTTCTCCACAAGTAGTGGGCTGTTATGGCGGGGTGTCTCATTAGCAACCTAAAGCTACTTGCTTTAGCATTATTTCCCCGCTCATTCGGATCACAATTTTCAGCAAAGAGTAGCCTTAGATCTTCTAGACTTGGAATATCACTTGCATCTGAAACCATTGGTTTTCTGTTTCTTAACAGCACGGCTTCAATTAGAGGTTTTGTCACAGAGCCACACACCTATGTCCAAAACAGAAATGTTTTGCGCAACTGTTAATAATATGACTAGAAGTAACACTACTTAATTCGATTTTAATGAACTTACAATTGTACTGAAGAGAACAACAATTATGGTACATGTGACCATTAGTGCCGAAACTGAAGTAGGGATCGTCTCAGAGTTTGAAAACTGCAATTTTAGATCGAATAAAACCAATGTTAATCTAAAAATCAAACTTCTAGTTGAATTAGAAGCTGATATTAAAACACCAATACCTGATTAAACGATAGAGCAATAGTAACTGCACCTCTCATTAATCCTGCCCACCACATAATAAACTGAGATTTCATAGTTAGTACAGATTTTTAGTTAGTAGAAACATAAAGACTAAGCAATGCTTTTGAGCGGATGCCTAAAATTATCACCTGTTGTTTAAACTCAATTTTCGTGCTTTCTCTCTTTTGAACACAATTTATAATATTTGCTATAGGAAACACAAATGCTGCCCTTCCGATTAATACCAATGCGAAAAATGTTGAACTGACAGCAACCAAAGTTCCTGCACTGAATTATGAAAGCGGATCAAGTTAGAGATGACAGATACTCGAATATAAAATCTCCCTGGACAATATATTGTTATGAATTATGACTAACGGCCAGTCTCCTTAAATGGCAACGTACACAAACATAATTCAGTTAAATGTTGCCGCCGTTATGCGGATCATCTGTTCAGTTTATCAGCTAAAGTACTGATGCCAGGAAACAACAAGGCAAATGTATATTTAATGGATATAAAATTACCTTGCATCGCTCCCTTTCCATTTTTCAATGTCAAAGGCATCCATACCAACATACACAAAAATAAAAGTTTCTGCAAGAAATGACATTGTTGCGAATGCATGCCTGCAATTTACCAGCATAAATATTAAATTTAAGAAAAATAAATATATATATATACATAACCAAAAGTAAAATCTTCTGTTTTTATTAGAACTAGACTGAAGTTAATTAGCTGACGGAATCTCAAGGTGTTTTGCACAGAGCAAGAGTGAAGAAACATCTATTGAACAAAGAAACAAAGTTCCCTCAATTGAGACTATGCTATTGTTCTGTCAGGTCATTAGTCCTTTTTTTCTTTTTTGTTTTTACCCACTGCTTACTGCTTTGCTTGTAAAACTATAATTTTGACAGAATAGGGGAAAATATATACATCTTCCAGGTTCAAGTCAAAAAATTTTTAAAATAAAGTAGAAGATCAAGAAAACTGGTTTCTTACTTGGTTGTTATACGTGAACTTTCTGTAACATTGTGCCAAGTGTAATGGGACATTACAATACCACAGAAGAAAACTGTCAAAATCCCGCTGAGATTTAAAAACTGCAAGATGGAAGCAAATTAACATATCAGCCTCTGATGCAATACAGTGGAACAAGTAGTCTATCCAGTTAACATAACCTCATTGTTTTTTCTGTTTCTACCTCTACCTTTTCATAAATAAGCTCATAACATTTAAACCATTATCCCTGTATAAATTGAATTGAATTCATTTTATTCAATTTTTTTTGGTTAGTGATTTACCTCAAGCAAATATCTGCCTGATTTTACCACACACACAACAAATGGGGTAATACATTGTCCTCTGAGCAGTCCTATTAAAAAGAATTTTAGTAAAGATTTGAGATTTTCTAGTTTTGTACCTCTGCCAACAAGTATGATAAATAAGCCATAAGTATCATAAGTGCAACTTCACGGTCGGTGGAATGCCTGTTGATGGGACATCAATAATGTCAGGATGCAACATACAAAGACCGATATGCAGATATGACTAAAAGTTAGTAATATGCTTCTGCCAAGATGGTAACAGGTCAATAAATAGCTCTACATGTCATAGCCATTTTCTGCTTCCCATTTGCTTTACCTTAGATGAAGACATCTCAGAGATAAATGCTCTGGGAAACAGAAAAATGAACAAACAAAAAGAGACCATGTGACATTAAATACTAAAACAAAGAACAAAAGAGCATTCATTCTCACCTTCCAAAATACAACGTTTTTATGATAAAAGCACTCAACAGACCAGCCTGAAATGTTGTAATATAGGAAGTTAGTAAGTAACATGCTACTGTCTGTCAATCTTATGCTAATTGTATTGATAAAAATGCTCTTCATAATCCTTTTAACTTAAAAAAAAAAACGAGTTAATGAAATTACTATTACTGTATAACTTACTGCTATACCAAGAAGAGTACTTGTGAAGAAGAGATAAAGAAAGCTACCCAGCAACTTTAAGGTTACTGTGGCATCAATGTTGCTGAAATTTAGTGATTGAACTGCATTGTAAAGCACAATAGAGGTAGCATCATTCACTACTCCCTCTCCAAAGACTATGCTGTAAAGAAATGGTGTTTCATCTTGACTCAGAACCTTCAGGACAAAGAAAAGATTATTAATCCTATTATTCCATGTAAAAGTATAGTTTTACTAAGATTTTAGCGTCATTAAATTTACCTGCAACGTGCAAACTGAGTCAGTAGCTGACAATATGGCACCAATAGCTGCACACATAAGAAGATAACTTTAATATCTAAGAATCAATTATGGCTAAGAAGTGCAAAACAGATTTATAAATAGTTACAAATTAAATCACCTAGGATATCTTGCAGATTCAGAGGTGCAATGCCAGTTCTCTTAAGAAGCAGAAATGCACCTACAGGATTTTCAAAGAGTAAGAATCTGTATGTTTGAAAGAGAATACAAAAAAGGTGTTGAATATAAGACTTACACAAAAAAGAAAAATAGAAATGGATCTTACCCAGTGATATGAGGCAGAATGAAATTACTGTTCCAAGAATTCCAAACAACAAAATTGTTGTGAAATTCTTGAAAAACTGTTTTTTCTTGACCTGGAAGCTGGAAAAAAATTTGGAAACTAAGAAACAATAACCAGACTAAGCCTTAAATTGATAGCTATACAGAAAGCAGAAAGAAACCCAAACGGCAAAAATTTTCTTTTAGACGAGTTATCAAACACGTTAAAAACATATCTTACCTCAGAAATATCAAGATCAAAAAGTTCAAATTCAAGTAGAAAACAGTTTTTAGGCCTTAACATGGAATTATATTCAAATTACACTAAATCAAGAAAAAATTATTTAAACCACATATGCATCAACAACAACAACTGAGCGTTAATCCCAAACTAGTTGGAATCGGCTTTATCAATCCTTTTTGTCTCCATTCTACTCTGTTCATAGCTAAATCAGCACTAATGTCAACCTCCCTCCATGTTGTTATGGGTCCACCTCTTCCAGTTTACGAAAAATCCCAAAACCAGAAACACAAATAAAATTTCAACCCCAAAAAATTTTGAGCAACCAGTCAAACTTCCTATTGTAGCAGAAAGAGATCATACCCAGCATTGAAAATGATTGGAGGAAGCAAATAAAGGAAGAACAAATCCTCACTAAATACTAAAAACCGCGAACTCTTGCCTTTACTAATCAATAAAACCACAGCACCAGTACACAATCCCTACGAAAAAGAGCCAAGTAATTAAAACATATACAATAATCAACAAACAAGAAGAAAATCAATCAAGAAACCACTAGAAAGAACTTGGCCTACCAAAATAAGGGCAGTAATAGACTCATTAGCCCATCTGTTCTCTTCAAGAAGATGACCTATGATAATACAAGCACAAAGGAGAGCAAAGAAGACACAGAGAGCAATAACAGTGCTTGTAGTAAGAAAAGATGTTGAGTCTTGCAATGGTAACACAAGTGGTATTGTTTCATGAGAGGCCATTTTGGGAGGTGTTTAGCAAAATTTAGCATCCACAAAATCTGGGTTTGGTGGATTATTAAGAATAAGAGCTGCTAATTTAGGAATTAAGAGCTATGAAATTATACTTTTCAAGTATATGCAGAAAGCTAATGTCTTCGTTTTATTCACAGTGAAATGGAGGGAAGACTGTTAGTTATGAGTTATGAATTCTCTGTAGCTAATTTTTCTTTTTTCTATTTTTTCTTCTTTTTTTAATTGTTGCAATCTGCTAGTTGTCACTTTTATATCTAGCCATGTAGTCAATATGGGCCCCACTGTTAATATATATATAATATTAATTTGATGGGGATTTCATTACTTCCAAGAAAAATAGAAAGGGATGATTAAAAAATCATTGATTAGGTTTTCAAATCAATTGAGCTTTTATTTTTAATCATGCATTCATTAATTAAAAAATAATATATATGGATCTCAGTTGGATCCTAAAATATCCTTTAACCGCTTGATTTTTTTTTTTTTTTTTCCTTTTTCTTTCTGTTGGTTTGATTCCATGTGCATATTGGTACTGTTTTTATATAATATTAAATTTTGGGTACTACGGCATTGAATTTTTATATGGCTCTGGTGCATTCCTATGAATTTCTAGAATCATGTTGACGTGATATAGATCAAAACAAAGTGAATCTAGCAGGTGTGTGCATGTATTTTTCTGATGTTAATAGTTGCTATCCCTAGAGAAGCAAGAATAGCAATTAAATTTAGCTTTTCTGAACAAGAACCAATGGCCTTAGAAGGCTCAGAACTTCATAGACTGACCATGAACACAAGAAGTAGATTTTCTATTCATCATTAGAAGATGAATAAAACAAAAATTAAAAATTTATTATAAGATTGTAGTTGGTTAGGTGGGATTAAAATTTAATCAAAGAAATTAATCTATTTACACAAAATTGCGATATAATGTGATTGTGTATTTCTCTTAATTTCATCAATAAATTGCTAAAAATTAATAAAGTAAATAAAAGTTGCCATTAGGATGAAGTCACTGAAAATTGATGTGTGGCCAATTAGTCATGTTGTAGATTCCACATACAAGAAGGAATCCAAGAAGCTCATTAAAAAACAAAACAAAATAAAATAAAACAAAATTTCTGAGGCCAAAACTCTCCCAAGGCAAGATAAGCTACTTCTGCCAAATCTCTTCTGTTCTTGATTCCCAAAAGCTGAGAATGTAGGTCAAAACATTGACTTGAAATACAGATTTCATGTTGCAATATTTGGTAGGGGTAACAAACTTGCATCTGGTCTTTTGCTTTCACAAAAAGATTCCAAATATCCAACCGGATTAAAATAGCTGGAAACCTAATCGCTGTCCCAAAAATAAAAGAAAAGAAATCAAAAAGGTGAGAAGAGAGGGTGAAGACTAATAAATCGAAGAACTAAATAGATAGGGTGATATGCAAAAGTAATTTACCGACCTGCAAAATTGAGATATTGGCAAGTCTAAAGAACTGTTAATGAAATAGCTGCGGAGCGAAGCTTCACACCATCACTGTCCCATTTAGACTGTGGGGCAGTTGCTCCAGCAATTATTGCCTGCATTAAATTACTTGATGGTATAGATTCAGGAAAAAATAGAAATGATAACAAAATTAAAATACGGTTAATGATTTACTTAAGTTAGAAAATAAGGGTAAGAAGGCAAGTTAATCTAAGAGATTTCAGAATAAACAAGTTCAAGTTTAGCAAATCGTGGTTTCCAATCTGTGGCACGGGGTTGGTTTCACGCTGCTTTCCTAAGGCATTTTGCAAGGACTACACAATGTTTGTGAAAGATATGCAGCAAGTAATCAATGTTCTAAGAGTAAAAAGTGTATGCTTCAACCTTTCCACTGTTAACTGCAGCTACTAATGCCGCATGTTGTTCATCTCTACCAAATTCATAGAAATAATAAGTCCTGAAATGAATCAAGTGATGGAACAGCATAGGTTAGAAAAAGCATTGGATAAATAATATGTAAAGTCTGCTTTTCATGTCTGAATAATGATTTCTTTATGAACTAATTATATATATAAAAAAAAAGGCTTCAACTTTAGCAATTATTGCAATTCTATTAACTTCAAATTTTGACAATGCTATGCAGTTCCGGTCAAATTTTTGCAATGCTATCTCGTGTCAATTCCAGCATGAACTTGTGGGCAAGGATAAATATGCACATGCCAGTGTCACATAAGAAGAAAATAATTTCTCCAACAGAGATGACTCCATCTCTAGGTTTGGGGGCAAAGAAAATCCCCAACCTTTACCATTTGCCAGGTCGTATCCTAATCTCTGCCAAATTATCTCAAAAGAATTAAAATTCCGTTGTGAAGACACAAAAGAATTTCTCAAACTGGTCATTCTTAAACTCTTGTTTCATCTCATAATGCAAAGCCGAATACCTATTGGACCGTCTGCCATCAATGCAAGATGCAATATTATGAGTATCTCGGAGTTAATATTAATCATTATCTCCCATGTCCTATTTCCCATGAGACATTTATAGCTGTTGACGCAGGCCCCTTCTTTCAAATGGTTCTTAATTTTCCACCAAATCGAATTTTTCTCAGAAATGTCCAATCTCAAATCATTAAGCTGCTGGTACAAAAACCTTGGATTCCTTTTGTTTCCCTCATCAACTAATAACGTCGTCCATTGTTTTGGATAAATTTTACTTTATTTGAAAAAAAAAAAGAAAAATCTTATTTGGCCTGTTCATTTAAGAATCACCTGCCATGTCAACAACCTGGGGTGCAATATGGCCTGAGAATTGACAGGTGATAATGTTGCAGAAATTTGAAAGGAGATGCACAACCTTACTAAATTGCTAATATTGCAAAAAGCGCTAAAGCTGATGCACTTCTTTTTGTTATTTGGGCCTTTTTAATTAATCATTTTAAGTAAACACTTGTGCAGATTCTGAACAGGTATTCTCAACATCTAATTAAAGGAAATGATCTCCGTTTATTGCTGACTCATGAAGAAAACATGGTATGCTTGATGACAATATAACCACTACTTCCTATTTTCTGTGATGGTACCACATCTAATTTAATGGCATTGTTTACCAATTTTAGCTAGATTCCACTGGAAAGATAAAATTACCTGAAACCTTCATCTTCCTTTATTTTTATTGTTCGAGCAGAGAATAAAGTTGACCCACCTACCATTGTAGCATTAGGAAAACATAAAACCAGAGCATAACAAAGATCAGAAGAGAACTTAAAAGTCATTATTACAAATAAAAACTGAAGAACAGGGAGGTAAGAAACGACATGAATTTATTTGTAAACCATCAAAAAGAAGAAGATTTATACATGTGATTTTCAGGTGTAAAGAATGTAAAATACAAGAATAACAGAATTCAAAGCATAAACACACCTGGAACAAAGATTTTTGCAGCCTCCTTCAATGAGCCTAAATCAGTAATATCCTTAGCCTGTTCAAGTTAGCAAGCTACATGAGTTACTTATGGAGTTATTCCATAAGATCTCAAATTGGAACAACTTTCAAATTAGGGATCCAGAAGGGATTGTTCATTCATGTTAATTGCTTTTCCCCCCTAACCTCAGAAGAAGGTAGAAAATAGAAAAGAAATAGATAATGACTTGTGAGAACTTGGTCAATTCCATCACAAAGCAATCCATTTTTGGAGTTAAAAGTTGTGGATTTACTGTAAAAGAGTAGCATTTCACCATGAAAATATGATGTTCAATTGGAGACAACATTATTTTGGACTTCTAATCTTGAGATATTATTACACAACTATGCATCTCACTGGCTAAACTATTTATGTTAGTAAGAGTGAAGAACAAAAACAGCATATTCTTATCATCCACAAAACAAATTGCAAGCCTCAAAAGCAAATCTCCTCACCTCCCAATTCTTAATGGTGCATTACATAAACCAAGATGAATTCTATGAGGCTAGCAGTTGTAGTATTGAAAATCAACAGCATAGTTCAGAAGTTTACAACAGTTAACATGTATAGTCAAGGTTCATCCAGTGAAATTGATGAATGAATATGCTAGAAAAAAACAGCATAATTCCCACGATCATTGCCACACAAACCTCTAAGAAGGTAATTTTGAGTTGATTGGTGGGACGAATGACCACACTTAGAACTTCATATCTATAGAAGCAATAAGCCAAGAAAAAAAAAATCAAAAAAAAAAAAAAAAGGCAAACTGACGCGGCTAAATGCAGTAAATGATGCCTTAGGCGCCTCGTGTCAAGTCTAGCCAAGCTTACATGAGCTTACCTGTAATGGAGTTTCATTTCCATAAGATCATCAAAGTTGCGAACAACTTTTCGAAATTAGGGATCCCAGGAGAGGGATTTGTTCATCTCATGTTTTTGAAATTGCTGTGTGTCCCCCTAACTCCTGCCAGAAGAAGGTAGACGAAATAGAAAAGAGAATAGAGTAAGATGGACTTGGGTGTTTTCTTTTTTTGAAAGAAAAGGAACTGTGGTCAGCTTCAATCACAGACAGCAATGCCATGTCTTTTGACGTTTAAAAAGTTGTGGAGTTTACTCGGTAAGCAAGGAGCTAGGCATTTCAATCCACACACGCATGGAAAATCGAATGCATGGTTCAACTTGGAAACGACCAGACGATTATTTTGGACTTCTAAGTCTTGAGATACTTACTTACAGCACTATGCACTCTCAACTGGCTAAACGCTATCCTTACTGTCTAAAGGTAAGACGTGAAGAAGCCAAAAAGCAGCATATTCTTGATCAATCCACGAAAACAAATTGCAGAGCCGTCACGAGAAGAAGCAACAATCTGTCCTCACGCTCCAATTCTCTAATCGGTGCATGTTGAAACATAAACCAGATTGAAATTCTATGGAGGCTAGGCACGTGTGTACGTATTGAAAATCACCGCATAGTTCAGGGAGAAGCTTTACCAACAGTTTAACATGTAATAGTCAAGGTTCAGATCCAGATGGACAATTGTGATGAGAACTGCAATATGCGTATAAAAAAACAGCAATAGATTCCGCCAGCGCATTCGAAGTTTGCGCACACAAAGCCTCCCTAAGAAAGGTAAATTTTTGAGTTGATTGGTGGGAGCGGGAATGACCAGCCTGTAGAACTTCCATGATCTAGTAGAGAGCAATAAGCCAAGAAGAAAAAAAATTGGCAAGAAAAAAGAAAAAAGGTAGAAAAGTATGAAACCAGAGTAATGAGACTACGAGTATCATTAAGACAGTACAGTACATAAGTAAAGTAATGATGCAGGGACATAATGGCAGCAGAGGCCCATGAGCAGAGAGATAGCAGCTTTTTTGAGAAATCTTTTCGTAGCGAGTGAATCAAAAGTTAAATGAAAAGCATCAAACGGAATAAAAAAAAAAAAGAAAAAAAAAAAAAAAAGTAGAAGTATGAAACAGAAGTATGAGACTACGAGTATCATTAAGACATACAGTAATAAGTAAATAATGATCAGAAATATGAGAAGCCCATGACAGAAGATAAGTTTTTGAAAATCTTGTACGAGTGAATAAAAGTAAATAAAAGCATCAAAGGAATGCAACTTTATTTAAACTTGTATACCCATCCGGGGATGCAAAACGTGCAGCATAAGTCTTTGGCTTTGCCTTATCTCCGTATAAAGACAGTCCAGCATTGTAATCCTAAAAACAATGAAAAACTAACATCTGTCAATGAAGACACAGAGAACAATACAAATTTAAATTCGGTATTCCCTCAGACCAAGATAAAAAGTTTTTGAAACAAAACATTGAAATGCTTTCTACATTTAGAGTTTCAAAGCTCACGGACACCAATGACCATTTGAGGTAAATTCGAAAATCTATTCAATCAACAATCTATATGCCACTCAATGCATTTAGCAAGAAAAATGGATCAACTAGCCCCAAATTACAACCGAAGAATCATTATCACTTGGAGTATTACAGTAATTGCTGAAGTGGCAAATTCCCAAAATGAGATCAATCAAATGGATACAACAATCCCACACAAGTCATCAATAATCAGGTGCAATTTCACATCATCTAATGGCAGCCAAAACACATATACCCATTTGTCAAAATTGATAATATGAAACCAAACTTCAAAATTGAATTAGCAACACTATTTGAGAAAAAAAAAATCGAATTCCGGATTAAGGTGGATGTACATCATATACCTCTGGTTCCATGATGTCCTCAAACTGAGGAGGGACCCGGATGGCAAATCCATCGCCATAAAACTGGAACCAAGATTTGGTGTTGGCAATGCCTGAAAGTACCGATTTTGAAGGGGAAGAAGTTTCGGCTAAGGACTGTGCAAGCGGGTTTTGAGTAGTTAGGTAAATGACACCAAGTGATGTAGTTTTGAAGAAAAATTCTCTCTTGGAAACGCTGTTAAGGAAGGTACAGGTGTGTTTTCGGGCGTTGAAGATTATGGTGTTGGGATTTTGGAGAGGTTTTGGAGGGTGGAGAGAGAGGAAGAAGAGAATGGCCATGAGAGAAGGTGAGGTTGAATTTCATGGTCGTTAAAAAAGGAGGGAGATAATGTGGGGTAGGGCTAAGGGATTTTATATCTTGGATTCTCTCGACTCTTGAAAGGGTATTTTTGAGCTTTTGAATGAGAATTCGTAGGGATTTGTCATTTGAGCATTTCTTACATCTAAAAAAACAATCTTTAATCTTAGAAAAACGATCTTTTATTAATTAATCGTGCCTGTTTTATTTGTATGGCATCAATAAACAAATTATTTTGAAAAAATGCTAGCTTTTATGGCAATCCTGAATAGACCAAATTGTCCTCATGATTTTCCATGGCTAAGAGACATTATCCTCTTCAAAATTAAGCCAGCCAATCCAACACAAAGCAAATACAAACCACCCAATACCGTAAACCAAAGAAGATCCAGAAACTGATATCATAGAAAAAAACAGACTCTGTATCTCTCTTCCTCTGTCCACCATTACTGATCTGTTGCTCTCTTCCCATGGAAACCTTACTTTCCTCTCACTCTCTATCTCCTCTCTTTAACCCAAAATCTTCCTTCGCAAAAACCCATTTGCCACCTCAACTCCAATCAAGACCAAACTCACTCTCTCTTTCTAAAACCATCACTTGTAGCTTAAAGAAACAAAATCCACAATCTTGCACACCATTTTTGCAAATACCAAGGAATTGGGTCACTCATGCCCAACAAGGACTCACAGCTTTAGCTATCTCTTTGGCACTTAACTTTAGCCCACTATTGTACACTGGCAATGGACTAGCATCTGAATTTGATGTCATCAATGAAGGCCCACCAAAGGACTCCTACGTTGTTGATGATGCCGGTGTGCTTAGTAAAGTGACTAAATCTGATTTGAAGCAGCTTTTATCGGACCTGGAGGCTAGAAAGAATTTCAAGATTAATTTCGTCACTGTCAGAAAGCTTACTGTAAGTATGGAAAGTAATTATGCAAAAATTGGATTGCTTTATACCCTAATTTTGCTAAATTATAAATTTTAATTCTTTTTTGTCCGTTATTGGTAGTGAATAGAGATTATTATGTTTGGTTGCAGAGCAAAGCTGATGCTTTTGAGTATGCTGACCAAATTCTAGAGAAATGGTATCCAACTGTTGAAGAGGGAAACAATAAGGGAATTGTTGTTCTTGTAACTAGTCAAAAGGAAGGAGCAGTAACAGGAGGCCCTGCATTTGTCCAAGCTGTTGGAGAAAGTGTTCTTGACTCCACTGTCTCAGAGAATCTGCCTGGTAACTACGCTCTTACTTTAAATTTTTTAAGTTTGTTCTTTTCCTTCTCATGTGGTTATGTCTTTATTTCTCTATGTTTTTTGCAAGTAATTTAGGAATGTTTAGATGGATCCTTGATCCTTCCAATGTCGACTCCCAAGGCTTAATCCATATTTAACATTGCCATGACAGTGCATCGCTCCATCTCATCATAAGCACTATATCCATCTTTATCTGCTATAACTCACACATATAGTCAGCCTCCATTGTTATATGAGTCAGAGACTAAATCCTATTTTGCTTAGAAAAAATTCATTTCATTTAGATTGTGTGTGTCAGTGTTTTCACCAAGTTCCTTTATGCAAGCTGCGATGATATATACTATTTCAGATGTCATTGATCCTAGAGATTGGGAATGCATACATTGCTTGTATTTGCTCATGCTGCAAAACTTCTTGCGGGTTTAAATGTCATTAGTGTTAAAGATAAGGAATATCTTTGTAATGGTGAAATGTCCAAATTATTCATTTAATCATGAGCAACACTTAATATGTGTTAGTTAAGATGTGCCATTCATGCTGATTAAATAACTGGTTTGCAATTCCAGTATTGGCAACAGAAGAGAAGTACAATGAAGCAGTGGTTACTAGTGCTAAAAGGTTAGCCGCTGCCATTGATGGGCTTCCTGATCCTGGTGGCCCTAAGTTCATGGACAATAAGCGAGAATCTAACTTCAAAACCAGGGAAGAGACAGAAGAGAAGAGGGGACAATTCGCTCTAGTGGTTGGAGGTCTATTGGTGATTGCTTTTGTGGTTCCGATGGCACAATACTATGCTTATGTTTCCAGGAAATAGGTAAACTTTGTTAGGCTTGCCTCTCAAATTATTCCCTTTTAAGTTTCAGAGAAACTCGGTGGCATATAGTTGTACAAATGTTAATATTAAACTGGTCAATTAGAACATTAAAATTGGAGGGTAAGCACAAATCTTCAGTTTGTGCCAACGGAATGTGTATTGGGAATGAAGGCTTGATGCATTATTATTTCAATGGTATCATAGGATGAAAAGCATGAGAAAAGGGATCAAACAGCTTCATTTCTGAGAAAATCGAGCCTTTACTCCATTGATTATAATACATGAGAATTATGCAAGCCATGTCAAATTGTATAAATTGAACTCATAGTATCCGAATTAACTTCCAGGCACAAAGTACAATATTTGTCAGAACTTAATATTATCAATGGCTTTAATTAGTTTCAGCCATCAAACAAATTAGGAAAAGAATAAATATCACTGTAAAGAAATTAGGTCTTTAGAACTTGAGATTGAGAAGGAAAGGCATTTTATCAGAGAAAGGCGGATCAGAATATTTTCCTGTGAGTATCTGTGATGAAACATATTGATTTGCAGCCTCAGTATAATGGATTCCATCCCAATTCACATACTCAGTACTATCATCGCATGCTTTGACTGAGACTGTAGTTCCATTCAAAACTTTTGTTTGCCCACAATTGATTCGACTATCATAGTTTAATGGTGGTCCTCCATAGCCACAGCAAGCCATTATGGGTTGCTCAAAACCTGCATATAGAAATCCAGAAAAAATCAAATTTCTTATCTTTCTTCATCTTCATGCATTTATTGTACAACTAATTTAAGAAGAGAGGAGGTACACTAACCATATCGAGAATAGTTTGCGATAAGGTTAGATTTAATTGTATAGATATCAACATATGTGACATTTGAATCGGTATATTGGTCCTGTAGTTTTTTGCAGAGAGCATGAAGCTGCAGATTAAAAAGTTTAGCAGCTTGATTATGCCCACTGACACATCCAAGGTCATCAAGCTTTGATGGATCAGTTCCGAATTTGGCAACATTTTGAGGCAAGCATCCAAGAGGACCTGTGTTGTGTATCCAAAACTTTCTTGCTCCTTGATCATATAATTTCTGCAGCAAGAAAAGGCAAAGCCAACTAAATATCAAACAGTTGAGAATTTGATGTTTTCTTCCTTCCAATATAAGACACTAATTAAAGAGAAGATATTAAGTGTTAATGAAGCAAACCTTGATTCCAGCTTCAAATTCTACTAAAATATTTGGAATTGATGCAACTATTTGATCAAATGTTTGGGAATAGAATGCACCAGCAAGATCATTTTGCCCTATATCAAACATGTATAGGGCATTCTGAAAGTAATCTTCTGTTGGGAGATACTTATCAAATTTCCTACCTACAAAATAAGAAAATACACAAATAAATAATTTACTTCTTTACATATTTAAGCATGACTTTTCTGAAAACTATGTTCATTTTTATCAGTCTGAGTGCAGAACATAACCAATCAAGCTTTCAAGGTTCAACAAATCAAAGGTTTCATATGAAAAATCTAATTTACGCACCTTTGGCTATCAATTCAAGAGCCCTTGCTTTGAATCGAAGGAACTGATTCACTTGAACTCCAAGCGAAAACGGGCTGACTGATGTTGCAGTTGCTGGAAGTATTTTAGATCCTGCAGCTGCAAAGTTGCATCCTTTCCGAAAATTTGGTAACCCAACAGACTCCAAATATGCATTTAGGAAAGGAAGATCCATTGCGTCCACTACAATCATATCCAAACAAGATTTAAAAACAGAAAATATAAAAACATAGACTCTGTTGGCAATAGTTCTTTTTTTCTACTTGAAAACAGAGAAAACAGGGGAATATGTACAGAATGAAAATTAAAAATGGAGTGTGCATCGATATAACTATTAGCTGTATGTTTTCTTTTTTCAAATAATGCTATAAATTCACATACATTTCTCATAGACCCACTAAAATTTCTTCATGAAAACAGAGGAAACAGAGCATTATCCAAAGGAAAAACAGAGATAAGATTACTATAAATTGGAAAGCAATGTGAGAGATTTACTGAGGAAATCTATTGTGAGACGGCCATCGCAGTATCTCCCAGATGGATTTTGGAAATAAATTTTTCCATACGGTGGATTGATGCTTTCAAAGCCAGCAGCAATAAGGTTACCAGTGTCAGAATTGGAATCACCAAAGTTAAAAACAGCAGGAAAATTGAAGTCTATGGAATGAACAAGAGGGAAAAAGTAGATGACAGAGATGAATTTGAAAATGTGAAGGAAACGATTATTGGTTGCCATGGACAGGGTAGGAGCTGTAGAGTGAGAGGATCTGTTTTAATCCAAAACAAAGATCAAGAAAAAGGAAGATGATGAGAGAAATGGATATGTAGCTGTCATAAAGATGTTAGTTACCAACCGCTAGAGAGAAAGGAAAAAAATGGTGGTGGGTCAATTGTGTAGAATAAAAGTAAAAAGGCAGGCAAGAAAGCAACATTAATTTTTGTTTGGTTCTGACTTGTGTTTGTCCCTACGCATGCTTAAATCTTAATATAGCTTAATAGATAGATAAGTATTATTTATTATTTAATTATTTAACAGTAAAATATAATTTTATTATTATTATTATTATTAAACATTATTTCTAACAAAATATAGAAAATAAAAGGAAAAAATTTAAAAATTTCTATACTAAATATATTAATCCCAAATAAAAAATATTTTCATATAATTTTAACATATATAACTTAATTATATTACAAATATAGGATATGTGATATATCTGTTTATAGAAAAAAATTTTACCAACAAGTTTAAAAACTTAAAAGTGGTGGAATATATCTATTTAAAGAAAATAATTTTTTTTAAAAAATATACATATTCAATTAAAACATAGAAAAATTTAAAAAATAAATATTATAGATAAATATCTAATAGAAAAATAAAGAAATTTATACACATAAATATGGATATTTTACTTATGTGAGAAAACCTCAACAGGATTAAACAGTGCCTGATAATAAGAACCAGATATTAGTGATATATACTATGAATATTTTACATATAAGGAAATATCAAAAAAATTTGGAAGTAGTATATATCTATTTAGAGAAAACTATCTAACTACAGTGGTAAACGAAATGCTTTTTTTTTATTTTTTATGTATGCATAGTTAAAGGTAGAAACTTTACTTAGAAAGTCAACAATGAGACGGCCATCACAGAACCTCCCTGATGGAGTTTTGAAGTAAAATTGTCCATTAGGTGATTCAAGGAGAATGCCAAGGCCAGCAACAAGGTCACCGGTGTCGGAGTTAGAATCGCCGAAGTTAAAAACTGCTGGATAATTAAAATCAATCGATTTTGCTTTCAATGGAGGGATGATGAAGAATAGTAGGGCAAGAAGATGAACAGCATAGATTCTAGCAGCCATGCTCAGTCAGTTGTGTTTACCAAATCCCAGATATCTCAGAACTCAGAAGGACATGTATTGTTACGAGACAGTTGATGTTTTTAATGTGCATGGTAAACGTTTGCTTTGAAGTATGGATTATTAAAAAGCAAAATGAGAACCAAAAGCAAAGTAATTTTTCCAATTTTGTTTTGTGGATCTTTGAGTGATGAAAAATAGCACTGTATAAAACTAATTGAAGAAAGAAAATGGTTTAATTTGGTTAAATTTCGAGACAATGAAAAACTGAGGCATTCCACAAGTGAGACAAACCCGGGCACCACTGTGCAAGCAAAGAGTTGAATTTCCCTTCCACGAATAGCATACTTTAAGTCTTCAATTTACTCCAATAGTTATCTTGTGTGCACGCACAAGACTACAGCTAATATCGCATTGAACTGCACTCAAATCTGAAAGCTCTTTAGATTACTGAACATTTTTGTCTTCTCATGTAGAGTTCAAGCTTATTCAAGATCAACAACAATGAGCATGTATAAAGAAAGCTGACAGCTCGTCTACACGACCAAAGACGATTAGACATGCCCATAAATTATTGATCGTCATTTAAAGAACGGTGAAATCAGTTTGTTCGTGTAGTGTGGAAATGGTAAAACATGAACTAATATTAATATATACAGTTTGTCATCAAACAAGCAATAGAACACGAATCAAAACATTTTGTACTGAAATTGTTAAAAAAAAAAAAAAAGCTCGGAAGGTTCGCTGCTCATAAAAATACGCCATAGAATCTGAGAGATGCCTAAACCCCCTTGAATTTCAGATGGAATTGAAATATTTATTTAACATCTAGATTTACAATATGGTCATGTTGACACTGTAAACTAGACGCAGTATCTACTTCTAATTCTTGTGATGAATGGCAACCCCTCACAACTGTGCAAGCTATCTCATTTGAGCATTTTAGGAAGGGGAAATGATCTGACCCATAACATAGAGGAGCTTAGAATGTCCAAGATCTTTCTCATGACACTTGCATTTTCTATTGTCTCCTTGTGCTCATCATTTGACTTTTTAGCAGCTGCTATTCTGGATTTAAGAGCCTTGTTCTCACTTTGAAGCTGCAAAATAAAATCTTATGGAACTTCATATATCAAATAGAATATGAGCGTGCGCATGTGCATCTGTAATGTTTCATACTAATAACTCATTCAAACATGGAGTGAGACAATTTCTGAAAGTGCCTATCATGAACTCTTTTGAAGACATGGTATTGGCAGCCACAAATATCTTGAATAGTTATCCATTGTCATTGCAACGACATTATGCTCATGTATTTTACTCACCTCCTCAATGGAAAATACAAGCTCTTCCAAGGCTTGCTGCAATGAGGAAATTGTTCGTAGAGAAATATCTTCACAGGCAGATTCCAAATCATCAACTGAATTAGGATCAAATAATATTCCTTCCAGTCTGAATAGATCCTCGAGAAACTCCACATCTTCTACATCCAGTCTCTCCCTCAACTGCACAAAGTCAATCTGTATTAAAAGATAAAATGGCTATTGAACAATAATGTGACAACTTAGAGCCTCACCCTATTAAGAATTCTTTCACATGACTCATCTTTAGAGGGAACAACAGCCCCGTGCTGCTTGGCAAGTTTATCTTCAATGCGATTGACAAAAGGTGATGCCTTTATATGCTTTGCCCTGCCAAAATGTCAAATCCAAAAATGGACTGTCATGAAATGACAAAAAAAAAAAATGAAAATCATTTTGCTAGAATTAAAAGAACTTACTGGATTGCTGAAATTGTTTTGAGAGAACTTAAACCAATAATATAAAATCATTTGATTTATGACAGTTGAGGCTAAATGATTTCATTTAATAGAATCAGCGTTGCATCTACCTACTGTGACCTCTAATTTTATCTGTCATATGAGGAAAAACAGCCCAAGTTTTTTATTTCAATACCTTGTACCAAAGCGAAGGGTGGATAGAGTTTCTGTCGCATTTGAAGTACTCGGTGAACAACAACACAGCAATACAGTCCTAGAGTTCCCTCCCTGTAAGATGAGAAACTGCAGGTTGTCGATATAAAGTTTGTTACAAATGACGTGACATGGATTGCACTGACAAAGACTAACCAGAGCATCTTGGAGAATCCGAGTAAGCTTGGAATCACGATAAGGGATGTGGCTTGCTTTGGTTGGCGAACCACATGTCAGAGCATTTATTACATTTCCCAGGGCAGACAAAGATTTGTTGATAGTCTTTGCTTCTTCAAGAACTTTCCCTTCAGCTCCAGTTTTTTCTACCTTCTCTGACCCTGCTAAGTCCACAAGAACTACTTTTCCAGTTTTGGCCCTGCCGACAGCACAAAAATTTTGAAGATGAATTCATTTGAAACTTGATGACAGACAACAAAACAGAAACAACATTACCTCGTCTCAGTCAGTTCTCGCTGAACTGTGAAAATGTAAATACAATGGCTTCTACTGCTGGACATATTCATTTCTATCCACGTCAGGTGTCAACACAAAATAATTCTGAAGACTAATGGCAACTATACTCAACGAGAAAAGTAGGGGAGACAGCAGGTGATATATTTGCAGAATATTTCTTTTAAGCAAATGATATTAACAGGAAAGACATAAGTTGAAATGCATTAAGAACATAAAGAAAAAGATACGAGTCTCTCCAACTGCTCTGTTAACTATCCCACTCTGCAAAATCAACCTCTATATTAGAAGCTGGACTATTTACTAGAAAATGAAGTAGTTATGTGGAAACTTTATCTTACAGATAAGCATTGTAAAGCTTCTGCTGGGTCTGAAACAGAAATCTGAATGGCAAATTAAAAAACTCACAAGTGAGTGGACACGTAATTAAGAAGCACTTAATGAGCAAGTCATGAATATATATATTATGATATAGAGATACGATAAGTTATCTCAGTTTGAACAGCCAAGAGATGCCATGTCGCTTGTTGTGCCATATGATCAGTTTAAATATATTTACCAAAAAACAATCTTATAAAGTTCAAAACAAGATTACTGATTCGAAACATCCTTTAGTTGCATATGGCTTGGGAATTCAATCTACAAAGAGAGTAGCCAGTGAGGATGGACAAGTGAACAAAGACAACATAAAAGAAAAATTCCTGTTGCAATTTATTTAGAAAGAAAGCAGCATACCAAGAGATTTTACTTGAGAATTCTCAAAACTATGATTAAGCATAACATTTCATGCAAGAAATAAACTCGCCTCTGTTACTCCAGATAGTATTATTCCTTGCACTTTACTCTCCTTAATCAATATATTGTCCTTTGCTAAATCCAGAAGATCCCTAGAAAATGAAAAGCAGAGACATTCAGTGTTAAGAACAATCAAAGCAATAAGTTCACTAACATGTGTTGGAACATTTTACTGGGTTTAGCATATCATTTCTGTGATCATGGATTGGGGAATGAACAGTAAAAAATGAATTAAAGATGTTTTAGATAAAGTCATAATCTCAAGTAAAAATATGGGTCAAACGCACCTGACTTTCTCCATATAGATTTCCACCTAAAGACACACAAACAGTTGCCATATTTTTTAGTATGCGAGATAATCATATTGAAGCTAGCAAGTAGTCCAATTTAAAGTAAACATGTCTAATACCATTGACAACTTTATTGAGTGCTTGTCTGAACCATCAACAGATTTCGTACATTGAAATAGCCCATCTACTACTCTTGGAAGTAATCCTTTTGTCAACTCATCACGTTCTAGGATGTTAGGTCCCTAGTAATATGTTCAATTTCTCTGCGTATAAGGTTTAACATATATCGGCAACATTTATGGAACACATGTATGAGATCTTCATGTTACCTCCATACTATATGTCTTCCCGGCTCCTGTCTGTTAATAGATGCGCAATAAAATTTCAGTGTGAGACAGATAAATTAAACAAATTCATCATAGAACAGTGAAGGAAGTCCATTTTTATGCATGCAATGGCCCCCTGAATTAGTCAGTCAGTTGAATAATTTCTCCCTCATCTATTTAGATCACAATTTGTCGTCACTTGAAATCTTCTAAGCTAAAATCAATGAAGATAAGCTACGTAATTGATGAATGTGAACAAGAAAATTATTGCCTCATCAGAATTTTTAGCAGTTATTTCATTTCCTGATCTAGATAGGTCAATTAATTATACAGTGTGATCCAAGTACTTGAAAGAAATGCAAAATCCAATTCTAACAGGTGTATGGCATATATATTGAGATCTTACTTTTAGAATATTAAATATGAAAGCATAGGATCCCTGTAACCAAATTATAAACAAATAACAAAATCTCACCTGTCCGTAAGTGATGATTGTCCCATTTATTGCGTTAACAGCACCTGCTTCATACACATTAAACGTAGTTCAGGAACTCAAACCTACTTTTACAGCTCTGTTAAGCATAAAATCCAAAACTGAGTTCTGAGTTATACCTTGAATAATAGGCAGAGCTAAAAATTGATAGACATCAGATTGCACAGATTCTTTATAAAACACTCTATCAAAGCTAAAGGTAGACTCTTCTTCCTTTTCGTCCTAAAAAAAAAAAAAAATCAACAGAAATCGCCAAAACAATGGATCAATTCTTTCTGTATTTTGATAATTAATATATTAACAAAATATTGAATAGAATTATACAGCATTTCATTGTGGTAAGTGAAAGACCTTGAAAATGAAGGTTTCAGTGTCCAGACTGCGAATGCAAACGCTATCGCCATCATCTCTTTTCTCCTTTGAGCTCAAAGGCCTGAAGCGACAGCATACCGTTACATTTGACATCGCTTTCTGCGAATACAGAGGATTCCGTTCAAATTAATCATAAAAAATTAAACGAAAACCCAAAGAAAAATAAATGAAGAGACAGAAATGACTTGCTCTAATTCGTAATGAAGAAAATTGAAAGATGTTTGATTATGAGCTTAAAAACTGAGAAACAAGGGAAACAAAAACTTGAAATCTCGTATATTTAACTATCTTTGCTTTGATCGCCTAGAAACTTCTATGCAGTCCGTTTGGTTGTCGAGAAAGCAAAGGAAAATGAAGCAAAACCTGATTTCAGATATTACAAGAATTTGAGATGTGTTTGAAAGATAATAATCTCTTTTGTGCGTAAGCGAATAACTAAAAAAAGTCTTTAAAATTCAAAATTATCATCACGAAATTTATCATACAGAAACTCGCAGTTCTTGTGAATGCTCGATTGGCGGGAAAAGAAGCGTGAAAATGAAACTAGGCGGTTGAGCTTTGTGAGTTCATCGTGTCTGACACGCCGCGTTATTAACACGACGGCCTAAACAACTCGTCACCAAATTTGGTGAACTTTCTTATGGTCTCCTCACACTAGTAAGTGAGAAGACATACTACATTTAATTGACATCATACACTTATTTTTATTAATAAATTTATCATGCATTAATTCAATTTTAATCAGAAATTCTTCGAATTTTATCGAATATATATATATATATATATATATACACGCCGCGTTATTAACACGACGTGCCTAAACAACTCGTCCCAAAATTTGGTCGAACTTTCTATATGGTCCGCTCACACTAGTAAGTGAGAAGACTACCTACATTAATTGACATCATACACTTATTTTTATTAATAAATTTTATCATGCATTAATTCAATTTTAATCGCAGAATTCTTCCGAAATTTGTTACGAATATATACTATATATATATATTATAGTATATATATAAAATAATTATCCTAGGAGTCCTTTTATCGAAATTTTTTTATGTAACTTCGAGTTTTCTTTTATCTAAGTTTGAGTTTAAAATTTCTCAATCTGCCAAGCTTTAAGCTCAATTTGTTTCATTTACATATCTAATTATGAGTATACCATATCTTGTGGTATAAGATTGATATAGTTCGCTTTAAAGTTTGTGCCACTTACACTCTAATTTGAACTTTGTGACAAACATACCTCAAAATGAAAAAAAGTTAAGAGTATTTACGGTCTACAATTAAACCCAAACTCGAGTACATATATTTCATGGGACTCATAACTGAGTTTGAGTTAATTTAACTAGAACTTAAACCCAAACTTGAAACAATAATGTTGAAAAGTAAAAAAAAATTAAAATTATTTAACTAGAACTTAAACCCAAACTTGAAACAATAATGTTGAAAAGTAAAAAAAAATTAAAATTAAAATTATCCTCATCTATCATTCGAGTACATCATTAATTATTACAAAATTTTTATTTTCACAAAAAGCAGTTAATTCGTAAAAGCATTTTGAGTTTGGACAATAGCTTCAAAATCAGTACGTTGATTTTTTTTATTTTAGTTCATATATGTTTATATATTGTGATAGACACATGTGGTATTGTGTATTAATTTATATATTTATTGTATGTGAGAAGTATAGTTGAGAATAAATTTTGAAAAATAAAAATTTTAACAATTTGAGAATCTAGGATTTGATGAATTATGAATAACTTATGCATGTTTAGAATTTATGTTGTAACCAACATTAACCCATGTACTCCATTATCTTCAGAATGTACATATATCAATATCATTTAAACTGAAAGATCCATTTAATTAGTTTAGCTTTACAAATAATTTGAATCAACTAGCAACATCGAGGTAATGATATTTCTCATTGTTTACAAATAGAAAATGGATTTTCCGTTAGGTTTAATGTTTTTTTTTTTTATTGCAAATCAATCCTTAATTTAATTTCCGGATGTAAACACTATTAACTTTTTATTTTGGGGGTACGATTGTCACAAAATTCAAATTAAAACTCCCAAATTCAAAGGTACAAGTGCATATTAAGCCAATATAGTTTTAGAAATTATGGATATTTTAGCACTTTTTCAGAAAATCAAATATTTAATCTTGTAAGAATTGTTTGTTAATAAAATTTAATTTAAGTACTTTTTTGAAAGGTATTTTAATATAAGTATTTATTTAGATAAGTAAGATTGAAATGAAATATTAATGTTAGATTAATTTTTTAAAAATATCACATAA